GACCATTTGGCGTATCCATGGCAATTCCGATATTGTGCTTGGCACGCATGACTAGCTTCGGCTTTGTGGGGTCTGTGGTATCGACTTTCGAGTTAAGGATTGGGAACTCGGTCAGAGCTTGTGAGACGGCCTTGACAACGAAGGGGAGGAATGTGATTTTGGTAGGATCGCGTTTGTCGCTGGCGAGTTTCTTGCGGATCGCCGTGATGTCGTTGACTTTGAGTTCGTCGGCATAGAGGAAGTGTGGGGTGTTCAGGGATTTGGTCATTGTCTTGAACATTTGTGATTGGATCGGGGTCAGATTGACAATTGACTCTGCTTGTCGTGTGTCTGGTGTCACAGAGACTGGGGCGGGCACTGATGTTGGAACAGGAGAATCTCTCTCTGCTACGAATTTTAGGACATCTTCTTTCATCACACGTCCGTCTTTGCCGGATCCGTTGATTTCGAGGATGTTCACGCCGTGGCTCTTCAGTAGCCCGCGCACGGCGGGTACTGCAAGGGATGCATGCTTTGTCTTGGGTGTCTCCATAATTTGGACAGGAGGAGGCGTTATTGGAGAAGACTCGGCACCTTGAGTTGCAGGTGTAATCTCAGAGGCTGAGGTAGGTTCAGAAGCTGGGGCAGGTTCAGACGCCGCTGCCCTTGATTCGTGCGGCGGGCTATCATCGGGATATTTTCCATCTGCAACTTCGATGTCACAGAGTGCCTACCAAAGCCTGTTAGTATGGTGATTGCAGTATTAATGCCAGATGGGTAAGAGTGAAGGTAGTACACACCCTTCCCGTAGGCACTGTATCATCTGTCTCGAAATGTAGTTTCTTGATAACACCCTCGTATCTCGAAGTAATCTGGTTCGTTAGCCATTGACCCTGAACATAAAAACAAAAGAGGTAACACTCACATCGTCGACAGCTTTATCCGACTGGTATTGACACAAAGGCTTCCATTCCTCAATATGAGCCCCTTCCTCCACGTACCATTGGATGATCTGGACCTCGGTGATACCTAGTAATTGTAAGTGAACAATTAAGGAATAAAGTGGTAATTAGATAGAAAGTACCCTCGCCGACATCCTTTAGAACTTGTGACTTAATCCCCCATAGTAGAGAGCTGGCATGGAATCTCCGGGACAAGAGCGGAGGTAGGGTGGAGCGAATGCGGAGGCGATTCTGGGGTAGACAAGGCCTGAAGTTGCGGGCAGTGAGTCCCCCGCTGCGGCTGAAACTCATGGTAGAAAGAGCAGGGTAGTAGAGACAAATTCAAAAGATGTTTTTCTTGAAATTCTTGAAGAGAAAAGGAGCATTGTGTCTGTTTTATTTGGCACTCGAGCATCGACTGTTCTGCCCGCACGCCGACGCTAACCGATGCTACCCACGTGATCTCCCCGCATTCATGCAAGTATGGGGGAAGTAGGAGAACTATAGCCCTGACGTTATATTTTCATTTATTTATCTTCTTTATATATCGATAGGCAATTATTGTTGCTTGGCTTTATTGTAAAATGTCAATTGAAGTGTGTCAGCCAAACAAAGATTACACATTGCTATATATGGACAGTTAAGCAACATAAGATGAAGCAGACTAAATAATAGAACTCAAATAGCAGTTATATACTACTAATAGAGGCAGTTGGAGTAGAAATCTTATGGCACAAACAAAGGGATTTGGTCTACTTAACTATAGCACAAGACTGTGGGCCAGAATCCTCCCTGGGTGGCTGAGTGGGTGAGAGACACAAGGCCATCTGATTGCTGGGTGAAACAATGACCACGGGTGATACCGCATTGGGAAGCCCAGTTAATGGTGAAACTGGACAGGGTTTTGACCCTACGCCCGGAGTAATTGGGGTACGGATCAATTTTTTTTTCCCTTCCTCTTCTTGCCTCTGGCTTGACAAGAAAAGAGACCATTATAAGACTATAGTCCCATCAATCTCTCTTTCAATCAAGTGAAGGAGCACCTTTACCATCATATCAGATTGTTCCCAACGCTCTGATACTCTTCCTATATCAATGCAAGTGTAATGACGCGGATATGCAATCTCCGAGGTCAACTGCTGTCGTTCCCGTTATATGCAGGTACCACATCAGCTTTCAAACAAGGTCTCCACCCAGAACCTACTACGCTACCCAAAGTTCATCTCGGATAAATATAGGATTGCAACACCATTATTTGGGTTCTAGGCCATGCCTGATGGAGAAACACAATGGTGTATCCATCATGATTATCAGATTCGACTTGGTCCCGTCAATCACCCGAATCTGGGTTTGGTCCTCGGCGATAACTACTGAGCCCACTTCCAATGCTCCACTGCAAGAATCCGATGTACTATGCAAGGAACAAGAGACCTCGGGAATATCGGAACCTGTCCAAATTGTGTCCGCGTGTCAGATGTGGAGACGATATTAACATGATCGCCATAACCTTAACTCAATGCAGAAACTGAGGCCGACTCTGCAAGACCCGAAATCCACTATACCAAAGCACCGAGACATCAGGTAACGAGGTACATTTGCTACATAAATCTTTAACCTGTTTCAAAGCTATAACCATGCCAAGCGTACCAACAACGTTACAAGGTACGTAGGCTGATCGCCGGTGAAGAAGTTTACCTAGATATAAAAACATCCTCGGTCCCTCAACTCCTAGCCTTGTGCTTCAAGTTTCCAATCGCCTCAATCCCCCTTTTTACGGTGATCCAATCATTATGGCGCCCCTGACCAAGACTCTGGCCTCACTGGCCCTGGGTGCTGCTGTCGCCCAAGCCCAGCTTTGGGACAAGGTCATCCAAACCTCCTACGGTCCCGTTGAGGGCTTCCAGTACTTTAACCAGTCCACTTTGGATAAGTACTTCGATGGTGCTGATTCCAACGTCGCCGCTTTCCTTGGTATTCCTTTCGCTGCCGATACGGGATATCAGAACCGGTGGAAGGCACCACAGCCCCGCGAGTCATGGAACAAGACCTTGAAGGCCACGGACTTTGGCCCTGCCTGTCCCAGTGCCTCGTCTTCCGACATTAGCGAAGACTGCCTCAGCCTCAACATCTGGACCAACGCTAAGACCGCCGATGCCAAACTTCCTGTCATGGTTTGGAACCAGGGCTCCGATGAGACCAGCAACAACGAGTGGTGGTACGGCGGTGGCATGGCCTTGAAAGATGTTATTCTCATCACCTTCAACCGCCGTGACGATGCATTCGGATATCTCGCTGCCCCCGAGCTCAATGAAGAAGGCTACAAGCTCACTGGCCACAAGACCTCCGGTAACTATGGTGTTCTGGATCAACTGGAAGTTCTCAAGTGGGTGCAGAAGAATATTGCTAAATTCGGTGGTGATCCTACCCGCGTCACTGTTGCTGGTCAGTCGTTCGGCTCTTCTCAAGTCTACCATGCAGTCAATAGCCCTCTCTTCACGGGCTACTTCCACGGTGGTATCTCCCAGTCCGGGATTAGATACCCCTACGATACCATGCTGGCTGGCCTCGCTACCTCATACGTTAACATGTCTACTGCTATCTCCAATGGCGCTAGCTACATCAAGGCTCACAACGTTTCTACAATCGAGGAGATGCGCACGCTCTCCATGGAGAGCTTACTAGTTGGTTCCTCAGACCGTGTAACCAACAGCTCCATTTGGTGGGTCACCGCACTCTCTGCCGGTTATCCTCTGATCTTCAAGCCCGTTCTGGACGACTATGTGCTTCCATCCAAGTACATCGAAACCCTGATCAATGGCCCTGCCAATGACGTCCCTGTGATTACTGGTAACACCAAGGACGAATCCGGTGCCTCGCCCAGCACCGACTACACCGTTGCCGAGTACGAGTACTACTGCGGACTCAAGTACGGCAACCTCTCCAGCGAGTACTTCAAGCTCTACCCCGATAACAACAACGGTACAATTGCTTCTCAAGCCTGGAACGCTGCTGCCCGTGATCTCTCTCTTGTCGGCTCGTGGGCCTACGCCACTGACTGGTACAAGTCTGCCACTTCGAACTTCTACACTTACTACTGGACCCATGCGCCCCCAAGCCAGAACCAAGGCGCCTTCCACCAATCTGAGATTATGTACGCGCTCGGTGCTCTCTACGCCAATTCCGATACGTACGCTTTCACCAGCGTCGACTTTGACATCCAGGAGAAGATGTCGTCGTACTGGGCCAACTTTGCGAAGACTCTCAACCCTAACAATGGCGGCTCCTACAATGGTAGCAAGTCGTTACCGCATTGGGGCCCCAACAGTGCCGATGGTACCCAGGTTGTCATGGAACTGGGTAACCAGTTCAAAAATGTGCCCATTGCGAAGCCAAAGCAGGTGAAGTTCATCATGGACTACTTCCACCAGCAGGTTCCCTACTAGAGATGTCTTCCTTCTGATTGACAAGCTCTGTAAGATACAACTCAGGGATCCCAATGGTTCAATAAATAACTCCATAACAAATGTATGTACTATATGAGTATGCATGTAGTCAATATATACTATGTTTCTTGAAGATATATCCATGGTAGGCGTAAACCGTACCAACCTTGGTTACCAAGTCGATGACCTCAGCCTGGAATAATCCGAAGAATGTCGACAACATTGAACTTTCCTCTCATGGCATAAGACACTCAGATATAATGGCTTCAATCCAAGCAAACGATGAAACAAATGCGTACAATATGCAATTTCCGGAGTAAGCCCGGGGATATTAAGCCCCGATCGCCAGGGCCGATCTAGGCGCGACACTAATTGTCTGCATCATACATCGTACTCCGTACTCCATACAGACCTTCAAAATCTCCGCTCTGTCTCACAATTGAGATGTCCTCGCGAATCAGGTTTACGCGCCAAGAACAAGGGGTTCCCTATCGGAGATCGTCCGCTGATCCCCAGTGGAGGGGTAACCCACTTCGATCTCAGCTCCCCAGGCAGCCGATTCCGATCCATCTTGAGACAAACCCGCACAGGGACTCGCGCTGATTTCAATTTCAATCCTCCAAATTGTCGATTCACAATGGTTGCCGAGCACCTCACTATCCGCAACAACACCTCCACTCCAATCGTCCTGAAGCGCATTGAGCGCTTCCCGGCACCGGAGAAGGATGGGTTCCATGCCTTCAGCACAATGGCCAGGAACCTCACCCAGGTCCTGACCAACCAAACCCGCAACGAGGAGGTCTCCTCTATCGAACAGGACAGCCGTCCCTTCGAGGAGAAGGATGTTGACATTCACGTGGAGCCGTTCGCAACGAAGAAGACCGAGCTACGCTCCTTCATCCACTCCGACAAGGAGCGCATGCGTCTAACCTTCGAGGCCGAAGGCCAGAAATACCAGATCCAAGCCCCCGTCCCAACAGCAGAGTCTGCAGGAATGAAAGCATTAAATGAGAACCCCAAACACCGTTTCACCGGTGTCTTCGTGGTACCAGAATCCTTCCTTGCGATCTTCTCCTCCGCGAACCTGAACGCCTGGATGCGCGAGCTCCGCGACGACACCCTTGTCTCCGCCCTCTCAATCCCAGGCACGCACAACTCACCCACCTGCCACGTCGCGCCGCCCTCAGTGCGCTGCCAGGCCGTGAGCCCGAAAGAGCAACTCGAGAACGGCGTTCGATTCTTCGATATCCGCGTGCAGCCACAGTACCCCGACGATGCGGCACGCGACGAGCTGATCCTTGTACACAGCGCGTTCCCCATCTCGCTGACAGGCAACAAGTACTTCCGCGACCTGATGCGCGAAGTGGACGGGTTCCTCGAGCGCAACCCCTCCGAGACGCTGATCGTCTCTGTTAAGCGGGAAGGAACCGGTAACGCGACTGATGAGCAGCTCTCGCGGATCCTGCACGACCACTACGCCAAGGCTGGTAGTCGGTGGTGGGTGCGACCCAAGATCCCGACTCTGGGCGAGGCGCGTGGAAAGGTTATCCTCATGCGCCGGTTTAACTTGCAGCAGAAGCTGAAGGAGGAGCATGGTGGTAATGGTTGGGGTATTGATGCTGCTGCGTGGGCGGACAATACCCCCAATGCTAAGTGTCCCAGTGGTCAGCTCTGCATTCAGGATTTCTATGAGGTACTGGAGAGTATGAACATCGAGAAGAAGATCAAGTTTGTCTCGGAGCAGATTGATCGGGCTAGCTGCTGTCGCTATCCGTTCGGTGTTCAGCCTGATATGCATGCGACCAAGGCTTTCCCCTTCTACGTTAATTTCTTGAGTGCCAGCAACTTCTGGAAGACCGATACTTGGCCCGAGAAGGTTGCTGCTAAGGTTAACCCGGCGGTTGTGGATTATATCTGTCGCCGAGGTAAAGAGAATGATGCGGACTGCTCGACAGGTATTCTTGTTACGGACTGGGTTGGTCTGAATGGAGATTGGGATCTTGTGCGCTGCATTGTGGGCATGAATGCCAAATTGCGTTTGAGACAGAACTAGACGTTGGACATGATGGGCACGGATTGGGAGGAAACTTGTCTTTTAGGCGCAGTCTGTATGTTGCCTCATACAGGAAATGCAATGATTCATGGGTTAAACAGGAACTATGATGCACCAAAGTTGATTTCTTGCAAGTATACATTGATCCTGAAGTAGGAAGAGGGTGTCTTGAGGACTAAACGCAGAATATGATCTATTATACAGGAAAATGAATCAAAATGACCATGACCAGATTAGGACGATTCGCTCTTGTCGCCCTCCGGTCCCTTCTCTTCCTCTTCCAAGACGCTCCGGCGGCTCTCCAAGGTAAAGTAAATGCTCTTGCCAGCTCCCTCCAGAGTAGTTGCAACACTGGAGCTCATGCTCTGCAAGGCGGTGACAAGCTGGGAGCGAAGACCGTCCATGCCACCCTCGATGCTGCCGACCCACTTGGTCTGATCGATATCAAACACCTGGTTGTCCACACGGGCAGCCAGCAAGTTAATCTTGCGGAGACCGTTCTGAACGATGGGCTCGTGGTATTCCGGGTTTGCCTTGCGGGTAGGGGCCTTGAAGCCGGCTTCCTTGGGGGCGAGGATTGACAGCGCGGCCTTCATGTGTTCAGGCGAGACGGTAGGGATGGAAAGGACAGCAATGGGGCCGACGAGCAGAGGAGAAAGCTCGTGCATACCCTTCATGTTCTTTACTGCCTCGTGGGCAGTGCGAGACAAGTCGTGTGTCAAGGCCGGGTCATCCTTCGAGCCGGAGATCGCAGGGAGCTCGGCGGAGGTTTGTGTCACGGGGTCAATCGCACTTGGGGGCTTTCCTGAACCCAGGGAGGCCTCGCTGGGGCGGAAGTACTCGACAATGCGCAGAGCCACCTCGAAGATGCTGGTCTGGATGGTCTGTATCTTAATGTAAGGAGCGAGGGCAGGCGCTGTGCGGCCTTCGGCGGCAATCTTCTCGTCCACTTTTTGCAAGGCAATGGTTAATTCTCGTCGGATGGCGGCCCATTCCATGGACTTGAGGTTGTTGTGTTGGAACAGCACAATGAGAGGAGATGTGCGGAGAAGGGAGGTGTATGACCGTAGGAGTTGCGACCGGCGGTATTCGGGATTGCGGTGCGAAGGTGGCTGGGTAGGAGGGAATCGTGATACGGGAGCTGGTGAGCGTGTCATCTGCTCAATTGAAGCAGCTGGCGTGACTGCCGGGGCCGCAGCGCTGGATGCGCTCCTGATAATTCGGAGTTCATTTTGGCATCGAGGGATTTGCTGAAGCGACGAGATTCTTAAACGGGGCGGCATTGTGAAAAATTGATTCAGGTCGTGAATTTACCAATTCCCAAAACAATTCCAAAAAAGGGCGATATACACAGGGCAAGACAGGTTAAGACAAGCCCCCGGGAAATGCAAATGATATTTTTAGGGCCCCAAAAGGGTAAAGCGCCCCGATGGCGGTGAACTATTTTGCCGCCTGTATCGGAATCTCTGAGTCACTTGATTGTTACAATTGAAGGTATCCTTTTAAGCCCTGTGAAACCTCATAGGGATTACTGGGCTATATTGAACATACCGTCGCTTACAAATATTTCAAGTATGGCGACACCTATATCCTCTCCCTCTCAGCGGCCTGAGTCCATTTCGATCGCTCCGCTCCTCCAGCGACTCGCCTACCCCGCGGCTGCCGGCATTCGAGTCAGCGCCCAAGATCTCCCCGACGTGACTGCAGAGGAGATTGCTTCTGCCTTTGCGTTAATCTTCGAGGACCGGTTATCCCATATCCAGACCGCTGCCCTCCTCACATTGCTCCACTCAACCGGCAAAGATAGGCAGCCAGATGTGATTGCGAAATGTTCTCAATGTATGCGAGAGGCTGCTTGCCAAGTTGAGAAAGCTCCACTTATCAAGATTATGAAGTCTCGTAATATGAAAGTAGGAAATTATGAGGGCGGATTGGTATGCGCAACCACCTCTGTTTTGTCATGGAGTCATATTGACAAGCCGCGATGTATAGTGTGATATTGTTGGAACCGGAGGAGATTCTCATTCGACGTTTAACATTTCCACGACCTCCTCAATCGTTGCATCTCCTCTTATCCTGACAGCTAAACATGGCAACCGCGCTCAAACATCGACCTCTGGTGCCGCTGACGTTCTCAATGCCATCCAGCCATTGCCACCCAAGATCGCTGCCGTCACCGCTGAGAATCTTTGCAAGGTCTACGAGAAAACCAACTATTCGTTCTTGTTTGCCCCAAATTTCCACCCGGGCATGATGCATTCCAACCCTGTCCGCAGGGGCCTTGGCCTCCGGACGATTTTCAACCTAATGGGCCCCTTGGCAAATCCCGTTGACTGGGCACTGGAAGCACGCGTAGTTGGCGTGGCATACCAGAGCCTTGGCCCAGTATTTGCCGAGGCTTTCAGACAAAGCGGAGCGAAGAAAGCCATGATTGTCTGTGGTGCAGAGGACATGGACGAAATCAGCTGTGCTGGAAAGACAAACTGCTGGAGGCTCTCCGAGTACCCGAACCCTGCATACCAAGCACCAGAAAACGATACAGATGACTCAAGTGAAGATGACATCAACAATCCCCGCAGCATCGTCAAGGTCGACACCTTCCAGCTCGAGGCAGCGGACTTTGGACTCTCTAGCCACCCTCTTAGTGAGGTTGGCGGAGGCAAAATGCCCAAGCAAAATGCAGAAAAGCTGATGAGTATACTTCGGAATGAGCTTCCACGGGATGACCCCATCTTGGAGTTTGTTCTCATGAATGTGGCTGGTCTACTTGTCACCTCGGGCATTTGCGAGGCCGATACCAGCAACATGGGACCTGGCGATGATGGTCAGGTCATCACCGAGCGTGGCCCTGGCGGTGGTCGCTGGAAAGAAGGCGTTCGTCGCGCGCGCTGGGCAATCGAGAGCGGGCAGTCTCTGAAGAACCTGGAGCAATTCATTGAAGTAACTAATCAGCTCTAAAAGTAGAATTTAGTGACTAGTTTTCGTAGGGTTGGATTCGGTTTGTTATAGCTATGGCCTTTTGTTTTGTCTAAAAAGCTTTCGGGTTGGGTTATGGATGGTTTCATGTACGTTTAGATACCTATATGGAGATTTCGGGTCCATGAGTGAATGCCTATAATTTTCTGAAACAAAATAAATATACTTGTTTCTAATGAAAATGAGTTGAAGCCTGTCCTCACAGGTCCAGCTCTAGACTAGGACTAAGAGGACATGGCTAGAACATCGTATCTGGTTCTTGTAGACTGAGACCTTAGAAAACCTGGTTTGTGTAATTCAACCCCAAAGCGCCATTGTATGCATAATTCGTCAAAAGATAAAGACTTCGAAGGATCTCAGGCCGATTCCTTCGATTTCGCTTGAGCCATCGCAACCTCCAAACGTCCCGATTTTTGTTGGGGGTAAATGAAACATCTACCGAGCCTGGAACTGGACCATACTATTGAGACGCAAAGAATGAAGAAGTCAGCCCATGCCTCGCGCGTATCGCATGATAATGCCCAGGAAAGAAAATCTTACCGCTTGGTACGCTCCTTGTACAGCACACGGTGACCGCAGTCCTTGCAGCGAATCTGATCACCGCGCTTGAGGGGAACACGGGCAGAGCACTCGCCGCACAGGTAGGTGACTGAGGGGCTGTCGATAGCCATGGCATTTCCGAAACCTCCGGCTTGGGTGTCGAAGTTGTTCTGGGTGCCCATCGAGGGGACCTGGTAGGTTTCGCGAGACATCTTTTGGGTTTGAGAGTGAATTGTTGGTAAGTTGGATATTTTGCGCGGGAGTTGATCGTGATCTGTGGGTTGATGAGAGTTGTGAAGTGGAAACTAGCTTGGAGGCTGAGATACTTGGATTCTTTTTCTTTCTGGAGCGCGGGATTTTAGGTGCTTAGTCATGCTAGTGACAGATTAGTCATCATATACAGGCCCCACCGGCCCAGGGGGTAATTCCCAGGGCTTGAAGTAACTAGAAAAAGTTCTCTGATTCGGTATGAAGTTTAGAAAGTAAGTCTTAGTTTATGTGTTTTGATAGCTCGATTAATATCATTGATCGTATCTGAAGGCATTTACACCTTTTTTCTATGCATTTTATCATGTCATAAGCTTCAAACAAATCAGCACGTCATGTATCGTCGACCGCGACTTCAAAAATGAAAATATGGTATATCCCCCAGAAAAATGCAAGAAAGCCCAAGATCCCACGCCATGCAAATGAAGCAAAGAGGCCATGAAAAATAACACCGCAAGGGTGGATCATGTAGCAACGAAATGAAGCAGACAAAAAATTACCAACCACCACCAATCTTCCCCGCAAGCTCGACAACCCGACTTGTATCATTAGTAGGTATTTGATCCTTGCCAACATCACTTTCTACCTTGCGGTAGGTAGTATAGGCAAGCTTAGAGAGGGGGATGTCCATGTATTCTGACCAGGACCGTAAGCGTTCATGAATTTTAGCCTCCTTGTCAGCCAATGCAGGCAGCTGAGACTGAGTCTCTAGTTCAGACTCAGACTCAGATTCCACAGAGAAATAAGCCTCGTCGACGCGAGCAAGCCACGCGCGCTGCTCATGTGGCGATGGCTTCATAGATGCGTCTGGGGCCATTCCTTGGGAAGAACCAATGGATTCTCTGGCGTCCTCAACTCGGATCTGGCCACCGCCATTCGTGCACCCACCAGGGCAGGCCATGACCTCCACGTAGGCATAGTCTGATCCTGAGCTGTTTGTGGATGCAGCGTTACGAGATATAGGCTGGCGCCGACCTGCGGCGGGTCTAGCGGCAGGTTTTGCGCCGGGAAGCCTCGATACACGCGCGGGTTTGAGCTTCCGGACAAGATTTTGGATATTTCGGAAACCGTAATAGCGGGCTGTTTTCAGAATGGGTTGACCTTCTTGAGACATGAGCACGTACTCGACCACGTCAACGTTGCGTCCGCGGTTGATCACAAGTTCACTGCCTGGATTGCGAGCCTGGAAAGTCATGAGAACGTGGTGTAGGTAGCCTCCAGAGGTGCCAGTGGCAAGAGATTGCTCTGTGCGAGATCGTTTGAAGGAAAGGAAAGAATCGAGGGTTTTTTCAGGGAAGGGCGGGGTAAAAGACGAAGGCAGAGGTTGCAAAGGTAGGTTTGGCAGAGAGAACCCTCGGGACGAAGCTAGAGACAGAAGCTCACGGGCAGTGATAACACAGTCCACGTCACGAACGGGCTGCGTTTCAGAGTCTGTGGAATCTCCCTGTCGCCATGACACATCTGTGAGTTCTTCCCGACTAGCTTCTAGCTTCTTGTCAAAGCAGGGCATGATGGCCAAATGCCAAATCCGAGAAGGGTGGACCCCGAGAGACTTGCTCAAAACGGTCTTGAGGAATGTCCCCGACAGAGCCTGCGGGGACTTGAGTCGAGAAAGATGTGGGAGTATAAAAGGGTGAGTTTTCTCGGCGTAACAGATCCATCCAGGACATGCTGAGGATAAGATAGGTCGCTTGGGAAGAGAGTCATCCGACTGGCTCGTTGTTGACGATTCACTTGAGCTGAGTGAGTCCGAAACCTCGTCTGCAGTGAGTACCAGTACAGCCTCTCTCATGGCATTGGTGTCGACAACCCATGTAAATCCATTGCCGTGTTTGCCCCCACCCCGCAAGCCCTGCGGGCCACTAAGTAATTGGTTGACCATGTACCCCGCTTCTTTCTCTGAAATCCCATAAATCGTTGCCAGACTAGCCCTGACTTGCGGGCTGACACTCGCGACGAAGATCTTACCTTCTCCAGAATCTTCGGTACTATTGACTGTGACCCCATGATGCTCATACTTCAAAGGAATCTCTGGATGCGCATCAAGTGTATTGAGGACCTCGGCATGAGATTGAAGTGATATCAACACAGCTTCAGCAGATGTAACACAGCCAGAGCAAGCGAGGCAGTCTGTCAAAGAAATCTGTGCGGGGGGTAGATTCTCGGGCTGGACTTTGTCTTCCGTTGTTACTTCATATGCATCCTATAATTAGGAAATTAGTAAAAGAAATCGAATACCACATAGTAACAATGAGGCCAATAAGTGGACATACTTCGTGATTCTTTGTGTCTTTCGGTGGAAGGGTTTCAACTGGTTTGATACACGCGACCCCCGGCGAAATGAAATCATTCAGATCGTCTGCTGACAGGATCGCGCTCATTGTGGCGGAATACTGCTTTGGGCGATTCTGAATGAGGATAAAGAAATAGCCTGGATTTGGCTTACTGGATTGCAAGGAATAATCAGAATAAAGACATCAAGACCTTGGGAGGATTAAAATAGTTCTGCAAGAAGGCGACAAGCCAACGGCGTTGCTCGCTTTGTCATGGTGGCGAGATCGGAGATAAGCTCACCGCCTAAATGCGGGCTGTGCTTACTATGATTGGTCGGATTGGAAGTATGCACGTGATCCATCTGATGTTTCTTTCAACTTCTCTACTTCGAACTGTCCGAGTCTTGAGTCTTTGTGTTCTCGTATTCTTTCAATCCATACTATGTAGGAAATATAATGACTTACTTTCAGCCAATTAATAAGTAAGCATGGGCCATAAAGAGCCCCTGGAACCCTCGTCTTCATCAAATTAGCAACTTCTCTACTGCTTCTTTCGCATATCGATCACCTTTAATACAGGTCAAGCCATGCTAAAAAAGAAAGAGCCTGCCCAATCCGATACCTCTAGGTCGATACAGTCCACAGATTCCCAGTTCGCGAACCAATCACCTGCCTCAAGCAGAAACAGTCAAAGCAGTAGTGGCCTCACTGGACTCATCGATACCATTGCTCAGAAATTCTCTTCTGCCTCCACCGCCTCCAGCATCTCCAAGGTGTCCAGCAACATAATAATGGGTAGTCTTGATAGTCAGGCAGAGAGCCCTGACCTTCTCACGTCTCCCGAAACTGAAACCGGATTTTCACTCACACCAAAAAGTCAGCCTAATGTGCTTAAAAAGAAACATCCGGCCCAAAGACCTGTTCTGGCTAAGAATCGGCGCGCCAGTATTCGTGGAAAAAAGGGCAAGGGCAAGGGAGTCAACAAACCTCAATACATCGTAATGGGTAAGGTCATAACAACAACACAGCAAGCCACGAAGGAAATTTTGTCTAGAACAGAATTGGAGGGAACTCGGTTCGGTTATATGGCGAACAGATGGACCGCACCCGCCCTGGACCCTACTTCCGTAGAGTATCCAGACGTGGAAACTGTGGTTAGGGTCGTGGCGGGGGACACGTATGATCGTGCCCTCGAGATGCAAAATGCGGGCAGCACCACCGATCACATGCCAGTATGTGTTCTCAACTTTGCCAATGCTGGCAGACCAGGTGGGGGCTGGCTCAGTGGTGCTCGAGCCCAGGAGGAGCAGCTTTGTTACCGAAGCACGCTCATTGATACTCTCCATACCCGATTTTACCCAATGGACGATCTGGAGTGCCTCTATTCACCCAATGTGAACGTGTTCCGAAACAACGTGGATAGCGAGTATAGTTTCATGTCGGAGAACGAAAAACTACACCTGAACCCTACTGTCAGCGTTATCAGCATGGCAGCACGGAGCCGGCCTAAATTGACCGCCGACCAATCGACGTACGCGAATGTAGCACATCGATATCTCATGATAGCCAAGATGAAACTAATTCTACGCACGGCAGCAAACAACAATCACCGCCGCTTGATCCTTGGTGCCCTTGGTTGTGGAGCCTTTCACCATCCACCCCAGGAGGTGGCCGACTGCTGGTACAAGGTTCTCATGAACAAAGAGTTCAAAGGTTGGTTTGAGCGGATTTATTTCGCAGTTAGAGACGCTCCCAAAGAGAAGAATGTTGAAATTTTCAAAGAGACATTGGATGGTTTGAATATTTGATGAGTCTTTCAAAGTTCAATTTCATTTCTCGTTGTTAGCTTTTCTCACTTGGGAGAGAGGGTTTTGGGGTTTGGGGTTTGGGGTTTGGTTTTTTAAGAAAGGCGCAAACTATATGGGAACTTTTTGAATTAAGTTGTGTGTATATATAATGTAGGCTTTCCCACAGTTTTTAGACAATCTATAGACATCTTCTAATTCCTTGCCCTGATACATCATCTTAACAGGTTTTGGGTATTCTTTTCTTGAAATGTGCTTCCGTCCGGCATTGCTTTTATGTGAATTTAACCGTTTTTCACCCTTACAATAACTTTCACCCATTCTTCTTATCTATTATTACCGCTGTCTTTCCTTGCTACTTTTCACCAACTGTTATCATGAAGCAGTACTTTCGCATTAATTCACAAGGGCCGCTATTGTTATCCTCGAACGCAGATAGGTGCTCGCCTTACTCGTCTTCATACTTGTCTTCGCCCACCCGCACTATCCAGGAGAGACTTGCAACGGGGGTGGTTGATGGGAATTTATGTTTACATTTTCTATGAATTACTTGACATTGTCCGGGAATAAACTGCATAGTTAGCAAATGCTAAACTAATAAATCCACATAGAATTCTGACCCCGACGGAGCATAGAAGTGCAAAATTATAGAGACGGAAAAGAGAGCGATATACTCGCATGTTTATGAAAAGAAAAGAACAGGGCAAAGAGAGTGTGCAACATACCTTCAGTTTTTCCAATTATCAGGAAGCCTTCAACACCACCCATTTTCCGTCCGATTAGATCTAGTTGCTACCAGGCTCTTCAATAGTCAGCTCCTCTTCACATGTTCCGAAAAGCAAGACCCAGCTATCCTCGGGCGTTTGAGCAAGAGAAGTTTCAATCTGGCTATGATAATAAACGCTGGTGCCCAAAGGAACCAAGAATTTACGCTCAAGCCTGGCAAGCACTTCCACCATCCAATGTTGACAATCCTGTACAGGGACTGCTACCACCGCTGATTTCACCTTGTTGATATCCCTTGCGGAAATACAACCGACGTATTGTATTCTCGATATACCGAAACTGTCCATTCTCTTCCCGGCCTGGATCTTGCGCTCGTAGTCCCGATTCTGCGTAGGACCTCCAACGACGTGATACCATGTACAACGCAACGACCCAGGGTTAGCAAGCAAAAGCATCCAATGCAAAGGGGCATTACCTCTCCGTTGGCAGAATGCAACATGGACGTTCCATGAGTCAGCCATGTTTGACGAAATAATAGTCCTGGTTGTGGAAAATGATCGAGTTTTTTTTTCTTCTTTTCTGGGAGCGAGATTATGATTGTTCGATGGTAGGCTGGTTAGTTAGGATTCAAATGAGACCTGAGCGTGATATATTTTAACGATTGGGGCCGTCTACAGGTGTTATATATATGTCCCTTCGTTGATACTATCCCCTCACATACAATGAAAGATAACCACTCTTTATGAGCGGAAATAGAACTGTGCGACACAAAGCCTATTCTCTCGGATTGTCATGAGTATAATCGTTGATAATTGGGGTGGTATATATAGTTTTTACGCATATTTCGATGTCTACTCTAAGAATTATGTGATATAAGGTCCATTGCTGGCATTGAAGTGAGTAAGAATACATAGTTATGGTTGATCTATAAGCTTGTTACATATGTCTTGTTGCCTATTCGAGAACGCTGCATAGGATGGCTGTTCATATTACCAAAATAACAAAATAACAACAAAGAACCTTTGAAACTGATCCCTGGCATTGATTTGTAAATAACTATTGGGAATTGTCCTTTCCTTGTATCTTCTCATGTTACCCTTTCTATCTCCCACAAGTCCACCAACATGCCACGAAATGCATACCCCGCTCCCCTAGTCATTACACCTCTGGGTGAAGAGCATACACACACTATTATTTCGCTCCATGGAAGAGGCAGCAATGCTGAGCGCTTCGGTTATGAACTTCTTGCCGCTGCAAACCTACAAGCTCGACTTCCCACGGTGAAATTCATCTTTCCGACTGCAAGTAAGCGGCGGGCAACGAGGTTCAAAAAGATGCATATCAATCAGTGGTTTGACAACTACTCCATTGAGGATCCTGGAGAGAGAACAGACTTACAGGTCGAAGGGCTCTGTGGGACTGCTGGATTGATTCGTGGCTTAATCAGCGAAGAGGCTCGCATCTTGGGTGCGGACAGCCATCGAAAAATCGTACTATGGGGGGCTGAGTCAAGGTTGTGCTACGGGTATTTTCACTCTGCTAGGGGGCTGGCCCGACGCCACTGAAACAAGCACAATCGGGGCATTTGTTGGGATGAGTGGATGGCTGCCCTTTGAGCAGCAGTTGCACGAAATCCTTCAATGTGGTGAGATTCCTCCGTCGGCTAGAGACGACCAGGAACCTCGATCCGATGATGACTCAGACTCAGACGACGGAGAAGCAGATATGCAGCAGTCGAACAGTGATGGAGAGTCAGACGTAGATGCAGATGTCTTTTCGGAACTGGACTTGGATGATGATCCATTCAAAAGAAGCAGCCCTTCGCATGATGATTTTGATCCCTTTGCGGACGATGAGGAAAAATCCTTACTGCTTGAGCACGCTATCAGCCATGTTCGGGACATTCTTGATCTTCCAATGATCTCAGCAGACGATCATTCAATGGAGGATTCGCAATCACAACCAAGTTTCCATCATCTCCAGACGCCTGTTTTTATTGGCCACGGATCTGAAGACCCAAAGGTTTCTGTGGAACTTGGAAGAAAGATGTCGCATGTCCTTTTAGCCGGTTTTGGGATGGATGTGACTTGGAAGGCCTATGATGGGTTGGGACATTGGTATCGCGTCGAGGATGAGATTGAAGATATCTTGAGATTTCTTCAGGATAGGGTCGATCTGCCAGTGACACAAGTGCTTCCCCAAGACCAACGTGAGTAAAAGGATAAAGACCAATGACTATGTACATTTATGATTTACATGGATATACTCATACATTGCCTCCTTATGGCAATTAGATTGTCTGGATTCATTCGTTGCAGTTACTAAGGATATATACGGAATCAATCTCATGGAGGTGAGAGTGGCCTGCCATATGATGATGCGTTTTACTTAAGTAGAGAAGTCTATTTCATCTCAGGGGACTGTTGAGATCCCGATAGCAAATACAGAAGCATTCCAGATTCAGATGCACTCGCTAGTACCTCAGTTTCAGATACATACACCTCACTTAGATGTACGGGTAGATCGTCTTCTGCCAACAACGGCAGGCTTTGGCTTCTCCTCTTCAAAGTACTCACTCTTTACAATTGGCTTCTTTTGTTTTGGGGTTTCTCGCTTCTTTGTTTGTGTCGTTTCTTCCGCTTCTGAGTCGCTTTCTTTCTTTAGGGCCACACGTTTCCGTTTCGAGTTGGCCGGTGTAGATTTTGCAACGTCTTCATCAACATCTTTGGCGACCGGACCAGTCTTCTTCTGGACAGCTGGAACAACAGCACTTGTTCGACCTCCAACGGTAAGGAAAGTGATCTTATCCCCATTGGGTAGGACGGCGGGCTGATTCTTTTTCCCCTTGCCCCAGCGGTGCTTGAAAAGCCAGTGCTCGGGAAACTTCTCTGAATCTGCCAGTACCCCGATAGATGTGGAGCAGACATAATGAATGGCAGAGTGTAGCGCCTTGATCTGATCATCATTCAAAGTGTTGCTGTATTGTTCTGGGTGTATCTTGGCATGATAGAGAATCTCGTCACTGGGAATTATTAGCTTCTGTATATTTCATGGTAATTGTTTGACGAAAAGACCTACCCCATCCAGTTTCCGATCCCACTGATATTTGCCTGGTCCAGAAGAAGAGCCTTGATCGGCACTTTCTTCTTTCTCAGCTTCTCTGTCAACCATGCTTCATTCACAATGTCTTTATCGGTGATTGGGTCAGGCCCATTTTCCTTGAGCGGAGTATGATTTCGGATCTCATCAGCGGGGCAGTCCACCAGTCTAATGCGGCCAAGCCTGCGGGCATCCACAAATGCTGCCTCTGTTTTCGGCTCGTCACTTGTCTCCAAAAGGAACTTCCAATATTTAGGGGGCCACTCCTGATCTGAAGGCTTGTCGGTTCGATAGTAGTATGTATCAGCATCCTTGATCTTCAACCAGCCAGCCATCCCAAAGTGCATCACCGCATGTGGTGGTGAAGACATTGTGATCCAAAAATATTTCCCTTGCTGGCCTGTTCCCACAACCTTCTTCCCTTGCATTGCCTTTTGGAATTCGGCGGCACTAGTGCCAACTTTGCCAAATATAATATCATCATGTTGTGCTTGTACTTTGGAGAGCGTTTTCCCAACCAGGTGCTCACGAATGAAATGCACAATGCGGTGGACCTCTGCTAGCTCAGGCATGTTGGTATGGTATTTCCAGTATTAAGGGTAAAAACGTGCAATAAATGACTTCAAGGGAATATATAAGTGCCTTTTCTCCGAACGGCGATCTGGCATAAGCAGGAACGCGATTCTCCTAAACGCGGATACGCGCTGTCACGTGCAGATAATTGAATCCGCTAGTCCCAAAACAGGCCCTGAGCTGGCTGATTACGGCATGACGCCGGTCATCCACGGAGAGCTTCCAAGGTTGCCCATGCTTTTCCACGAATATTGCCAACAACTATCACTTAACAGGTCATACTACGTCTCAGTGAAATACACTTCAATACCACACTTATTAACGCAACTTACGTTATACAACACACTGTTGGCCGACCTACCTTCATAAATAACGCTATACACTTCCTCATTACAAACTGGAGTGGTTCTGGATCAAATCGAATCGAGAATCTGGGGAGGAAATTGGTGGGAGGATGTCACAGGCCTCATCGACAGCTGCTCCGGCGCTGACTCCTCGGTTCTGTTTTGACGAGAGACTGTTTAGAGGTTCGTTTGGAATGTGCCATCGAATGTGCCGTCTTGATACAAATTTATATTGACTTTTTCCTCTTTTTGTTCAGACTTTCTCCGACTCTCAAGATCTACCATCGATGATTCGATTACACAGAACCTAAATGCATTGATTACACCGGCCCAAAAAGGATTTGACCCATCATCAACGTCGGTGCGACAAACCGACTCTAGCTCTCGGATCAGCTCCGCAGCTTGCCAGACTTTCAAGGATAATGTGTTATTCCCATCATGGCAGACGAGATCAGACGTTCTCACTTACTGCGCTGGTGTGGCTACGAGTCCGGATCCCGACGATCCCGACTTGATTCTTCGGCAAACAGAATCTGCCCGAGACCGGGAACGAGAAGTCGATGAACGTCTGGACCCTTACTCTGCTCGCTTCTTTCCGCGTGAAGCACGGACTGAATCATTGGCCAATCTAATTCGCAATGAGCGCACTATTGAAGAGATCATTCGGGCTCGAACATGGGGGGTGGTGTCAGAAAAATGCAGTGGATCCTCTTCTACTTGGGAAGAAGCTCTGGATAGCTGGCGCCATTTGCATCAGAAATAGCTCATCTGGCAGGAGCTTGCCGCAGTACACTAGGATCGCTATATAACTCAACTCTTTAGATTCGGGGAGTCCTCACCCCAAATTGTACATATTTTAACTGTCCTGACAAGTTTCTTCTGTTATTTTGAATCCTCGCTTGCATGGAATAGAGTAGATTGGCTTTTTCATTTCGAATAGAAAAGGGGAGAATGATACAATATATAGCCCGGCGATACTTACCTACTACCTAAGAGAAACGGCTTGTGCCATAGACTAGTCGATTTCAAAACTTTCAGAGTACAAGTAACAATAACAATCTATTCAAGTTCAACATATAGAAAAAGAGTTGTATTTACTTTTTGGCTGTCCTCTTAAGTCACTCAAAAGTCGCATGGCATGTACATAACAAACCACGTGTGCATCACGAAATATCCATTTTATACCCTATGCCGGCTAAAAGTATAGAGTCAATAAATTTATGTATTTCAGCCAGATCTAAGACTAAAATTTAGTCTACTTCACCTGCTTCATCTGCTGAAGAAGTTGGATGGTGGTTGCTATCTTATCGGCTCATTAACTCTGCCAAGATCGGACTCGGAGAAGTCGTCCCCCGCACACATCGATTCCTCACTCGCACAAGCCAGGTCCCTCGACGTCAGCATCGCCCACAATGCCGGAAACATTGAGCACCAAGGACCATTCCTTGTTTCGTCAAGTGGTTCACCACTTTGAGATGAAACAGTATAAGAAAGGTGAGCCTCTGAAGTGTCCTTAAACCACACGGGTCTGTCTAACCACGTTTTACTTCATAGGCATCAAGACAGCAGACCAGGTCCTTCGCAAAAACCCCAAGCATGGTGATACCCAAGCCATGAAGGCTCTGAATATGAGCCAGATAGGCCAATTGGAGGAGGCCTTTGCGCTCGCCAAGAAGGCTCTCCAGAATGATATGAAGTCGCATATCACATGGCACGTGTACGGCTTGCTATTGCGCCAAGAGAAGAACTATGAGGAGGCAATTAAAGCATACCGGTTTGCCCTGCGCCTCGAGCCTGAATCGCAACCTATCCAGCGTGATTTGGCTCTGCTCCAGATGCAGATGCGGGATTACCAGGGATACATTAAGAGCCGCAGTGCGATGCTGCAAACTCGTCCGGGCTTCCGCCAGAACTGGACGGCACTCGCGATCGCTCACCACTTGGCCGGGGATTTGGCAGAAGCCGAGAAGGTTCTGACTACCTACGAGGACACTTTGAAGGGTGCCATACCACATGTCGCCGATATGGAGAACTCAGAGGCCACCTTGTACAAGAACACGATCATTGCGGAGACTGGAAACCTCGAAAGAGCTCTAGAGCACCTTGAGGCTGTTGGATACCGATGCACCGATGTACTCGCAGTCATGGAGATGAAGGCGGATTATCTTTTGCGACTGGACCGCAAGGCTGATGCAGAGGCCGCATATACAGCTCTCCTGGAGCGCAACCCAGACAACTCGATTTACTACAATGGCTTGATCAAGGCAAAGGCCATCCCCGAAAGCGATCACAAGGCATTGAAGGCTCTATACGATGAGTGGGTGGAGAAGAACCCCCGCTGTGATGCTGCTCGTCGCATTCCTCTCGATTTCCTAGAAGGCGAGGATTTCAAGCAGGCCGCCGACGCCTATCTGCAGCGCATGCTGAAGAAGGGTGTTCCTTCATTATTCGTGAACATCAAGCAGCTTTACGTCAACTCAGCCAAGCGTGACGTGGTACAAGAATTGGTGGAGGGATATCTCTCTGAAAAGGCAGCGAACGGCTCCGCAGAGTCGAACGGGGACAACACCGAGTTCCTGTCATGCACATACTACTTCCTGGCCCAACACTACAACTACCACCTCAGCCGCAACCTCTCCAAGGCCATGGAAAACGTTGAGAAGGCCATTGAATTGTCACCAAAGGCCGTGGAATATCAGATGACCAAGGCCCGGATCTGGAAGCACTACGGAAACCCTGCGAAGGCGGCGGAAGAGATGGAGAAAGCTCGTCTGCTAGATGAGAAGGATCGCCATATCAACACCAAGGCGGCCAAATACGTGCTCCGCAACAACGATAACGAGAAGGGCTTAGAACTCATGAGCAAGTTCACTCGCAACGAGACTGTTGGTGGCACATTGGGTGATCTTCACGAGATGCAGTGCACCTGGTTCTTGACCGAGGACGCCGAGGCGTTCCTCCGACAGAAGAAGCTTGGTCCTGCCCTGAAGCGCTTCCACTCGGTTTCCAACATCTTTGATACATGGCAGGAGGATCAGTTCGACTTCCACGGCTTCTCTCTCCGCAAGGGAATGATCAGGGCCTACGTGGACATGATACGCTGGGAAGACCGCCTGCGCGAGCACCCCTTCTACACAAGAATGGCTATCGGCGCCGTCAAGGCCCATCTACTTCTTCATGACCAGCCGGATCTTGTGCACGGACCGATGCCTAGCGGAATCAATGGACTCGATTCTACCGATGAGAACCAGAGGAAGAAGGCTCTCAAGAAGGCGAAGAAGGAGCAGCAGCGCTTGGAAAAGATCGAGTCCGACAAGCGTGCAGCGAGGAAAGCAGCCGCCGCTACCGCCAAGAGTGCTGATGGGGAGACCAAGAAGGAAGATGACGATCCCCTGGGCAACAACCTGGTCCAGACTCAGGATCCCCTGAAGGATGCCATGAAGTTCTTGACGCCGTTGCTTGAGTCCAGCCCTCAAAACATCGAAGCCCAGTGCCTCGGGTTTGAGGTTTACTCCAGACAAAGTGAGTTAATTTGGTAGACTATTAGACGGGGCCCTCATGCTAATATTATTATAGACAAGCACGTCCTTGCCGTCAAGTGTCTTGTGGCTGCCTATTCTATCGATTCCTCCAACCCTACCCTCCACCTTCAATTGCTTCGCTTCCGCAAGTCTCTTGAGAGCCTTGCAGAGCCTCTTCCCGAGCAGGTTGCCGAGGTTGTCAATACCGAATTTGACAAGCTGCTCCCAAAGACCCAGAAGCTCGAAGAGTGGAACGAGTCTTACCTCTCGGCTAACAAGGGCAGCGTTGCCCACGTGCAGGCCGGCTTGTCTGGCCGTCAACTTTTGAACCCTGAATCCAAGTTGCAGTGCGAGCAAGACCTGCTTGCTACCCTCGATTCCCCCGAGATCACCATCGACGAGGCTGTCACTGCCTTGGACATTCTGAACAAGTGGAGCAGTGATAAGACTGCTTACACTGAGAAGGCCAGCAAGAAGTGGCCTGAATCTTCGGTCTTCGAGCTGAACTGATTTGATACGAGTGGAGGACCGTGTGGACTCCCGCCCCCATCTCCGCTTCGACCATGAGTTGCCTAACTGCCTAGCAACATGATGCAGTGCCAGGAGTTGGGACAACAAAAGAAGGTTAAAAACATAGAGAAAGACACGGGATGAGCACATATACTCTGGTATTGGCCAATGCCAATTTGGAGTGAGTATACAGGTGCTGGGAGAATCCAATGTACCAGTATCTATTGCCAGTCAAGCAAGGACTAAACGTAGAAAAATCTACTCTAAAATTCAAAATACTGTTTCCATCAATGTACATTTCTAAAATGGGGACATCAAACGCCTTTAATATACAAGCCGAGGAGGGAGTCGCAATATGCTAAACAAAAAAGACCAACACATGCCGTGCTGAATGCCAGGGAAGAATCCATCCCGTAACCGTTATAGTATATAACCAAATTTCAAATTGTGAAGATCAGGCAGAAAATATCTGAAGACCTCTTCACTGTGCGTCTTCCCCGTCGATGTTACCCAAGATGGGCTTACGTCTCAGGACCTCGTCACTCTCGCCGTAGCCGTAATCGATCCACATGCGCTTCCAGAAAGGCACAGGAGCTGGCCGCTCCTCGCCAAGAATGTATTCCTGTTGCTCGGCGATGCGTTGAGAGCGTGCCTCATCTTCCGGAGAAAGGGTGGCGCGCTGCATGCGCGAGGCAATGCGCTGATCAAGCACGATATCATCGAGCCACTCGCGCTCCTTCACATTCTCGTCTTCGGGGCGCTTGTGCACGGACTTGTGCCACTCACTTTCAGCAGCCTCCATTACGGTCTGCTGCTCATAGTTGCGAGGGGGGAGGTCGGTGAACGAGTTGTCAGTAGAAGGCGTGGGGTCAACGCTGGCAGCAGTGGGCTCGGAGTCAGCGCTGAGAGCGTTTTCGCGGTATGGCCGTGCGCTGTTCGCGAGGACAAGTGCGGCAACGTCGCGCCCGACTTCCTCGGCAAGGTAACGTTGTGTGAGGAAGCGGTAGACTCGGATCGGGGTGTTTAGGAAGCCAAGGAGATGGGGGAATTCGACTGGGGTGGAGCTATCGAAGGACTGGGGGAGGGTGGGGGGGAGGATGGCGGACGAGTATTCGCTGGGGTAGATGTATGCGGGAGTAGGACCGGCTGGCTTAGCGGGTTTCTCTTCTTCCTTCTCTTCTTCCTTCTCGGGTTCCTCGATCTTAGGCTCAGGGATCTCGTCTTTTTTCTCTTCAGAGAACTCGGGGGAATCGATGCTCGCAACCTCGGGGTTCGCGAGACTAGCGGGTTTCTCCGTACTGACGTCCTTCGATGTATCTGCGGTCAACTCCTCCGGAGGCGGAGCTGGCGCATCCAACGGGCCAAGCCATCCCTCGTGCAAGCCTCGGATATACTCCTTCCAGGTGTGTCGGCCGATGACCAAGTCGCCCTTGGGGCCCGGTTCGTCAGTGACCCCAATGCGTTCCCGGGTGGCAGCAACGACTGCATCCACACCGACCTCTTCGACGGCTGAGCTGGGCTCCCCGGCCTTTCGGCGCAGCTTGCGAATGTTTTCCGCAGTGCCGGCTCTCACATCTCCCTCACGTCGACCTTCAACCACCGTGTAATCCAACGCCGCCGCCACTAGGATGGGCTTGACATATTCCTTGAAGTGATCCCGGGCCACACGCAGACCATCTCCTGGTGGCGCAGCCAAGTAGACTGTCAGTTTCCGGCGCATCTGGTCGATTGGTAGAGTTTCTTTCGAAATATGAGCCACGAGCTCCGACCACTTTTGTTGCACGCGACGCTTCTCTCGACGATCGTATATGAGAGCACCAGTGAATGATCCAGTGATAGTAAGGAAGATCATCCAGTTGCGAGAGGGCAGTTTGAACCGCATATTAGGGAGACCTGTTGATCATAGCAGTATTAGCATTTTTTTGGATCATTTAAATCCGGGGAACAAAGACGTACCCATCATTTTGAACGCCGGGTTAGGTGGCTTCGGGGCCGCCTGGGGCTTGCCAGCGCCTGCAGGCGCAGCAGAGCTCGAGGAGTCTGCCATTGGGTTGTATAATGGAGAAATATGGTTTATACGTTATCAACAGAGTACACCCGGGGCATGCTCGTTCGGGGAAAATTGTTGTCTCGGGATTACATTATTCCGAAAACACGTGACCATATATAAGACTCGATCGTCGGCGTTACAACATGTGAAATGTGAATATCATGTTGCTCAGCTTTGTGGTCACTCAAGTGCCTTGGTTTTGCCTCCCCATGAGGATTTGGATTATTTAGGCGAATCATACAAGAAGAAACTACCTGACAACAAATACATTACAGCATCACCATGAGGCCCTCACAAAGCTTTCTCTTTGCCGCAAAAACCATCTTTGTCTGATAACAGGATTGAACAATGAGAAAGAATACGTAGCACAGCGGGTTTAACCCTGGCAACAATTAAGCAACAATATGGAAATCCGAGATATTACGCAGTAGCCAAAAACATTCGAACCTCAGCTCCGCAAAATAAGCTTTCAGGGTATATTTGGGAGTACTCTCCTGAAACCAGTTTAATTGGTAAGTCTGCTCATTCTCGCTTTGACTCTCCAATGTCCATCTTTTGAGAATGGAAGCCCCCGATCACGGACAGCCCTAATGTTCTCCTGGGTAGTTTCGTGCAACTCGAATTTGAAGCGATGAGCCATAGCAGCTATGGTGAAGTATAACTCAGCATAGCCCAAGCTAAGATACCCGAATTAGCTTGACCTCTGCTAAGTGGGTATCCATTGACTCACTTCATGCCAATACATGCCCTGCTTCCTTTCCCAAATGTCGCGATGAATCGAGTCAGATTCTCGCCACGCTCAGAAGCCAAGATCCAGCGATCTGGAATAAATGACTCTGGGTTGGGGAATAGGGTCGGATCCATGTTCATGAAATAACTCGACATGCCCACCGGGGTCTACAGTTGTCCCAGTTAGTCTTTGGGACAGGTCCCAATGACGGTAGGTACGACTTACTCCAGCTGGAATATCATATTCACGATAAACCAAAACCTCCTCTGGTGCAATTCGTGGCGGGCGAGAGATTAAGCCAAAAGATAATCGAAGTGCCTCATTGACTACACCAGTCTGTTAAGTCATATATCAGGCCAAACGTTCAGACTGTTCATATAAATAGGTATTGGATGACCCACAAGATATGGCAGCTGCTCAAGCTCTGCCAAGGGCACGAAGTTCTTGTTGCACATCACGGGCTGCAGCTCTGCACGGAGCCTCTCTAAAATAGAAATATTATCTGCTAGATAAAAAGCTGCCACTGACAAAGCATTTGCCGGGGATTCTGTGCCTCCACTTAGCAAGATCATGCCTTCTTCTTGGAGACGAGATAGTGTTCTCTCATTGGCAGGTAATGCGGGCGAACTGAGCGCTTGAACCATTGTCTGCTTGCTCTTTTCAAGGTCCTGTTGGTTGTCTTTTCGGAGTGCATTCTGTGAATATTCGGTGACTTCCGCCATGATGGCGGCAGTGGCAGGCTTGAAATATGTCACTAGCCACGATGGCATATATCGTAGCAGCGGGATAATAGAGGGGACGAATCTGTTCAGATGATTGGTGCTTTCCAATTCCAAGATACCACCGCGAATATTACTCTTGAAATCCTCCTCGTGCAGAGAGTTGAAGCTTTGGCCATACGTGTAATGGGTCACAATATCACCTGTCAGTGCACAAAATGCTGCTGTCAAGTCTAAAATACCTCCCCCTGAGAGGCTTGGTCAAAACGCTCCATTAATATCGCCAATTTTTCTTGAATGAGTGGAGTCATATTGAGCACCGACTTCTTGGAAAAGAAGTTGCTCAAAATCCCCCTTCGGAAACGATGGTGATCGTGGTCAATCGTAGTGATCATTGAAAGAGGTGCTGAAAATAAACCGACAAAATTGGGGTCCTTGTTTCTCTTTTTACCACCTGACGCATAAATATGGTCATAATAATGAGGGTCATTGATATGAAGCTCACGAGGGTTGATTCGGACGATTGGGCCTGAGAGAATGTCGGGAGTCAGAGTGTGCAGTGATATTATGCCACGGTAAGTTCTAATAAACCTCACCATATTTTTCGTGCATTTTCTGAATTTCCCATAGGAATATTCCATTGGACACCACATCAAAATAGAACTCATAAAGATGAGTGCTGGCCGCTAATTTGGGGCCAGGGAACTTGCTAAGAGGGTGGAAGTAGAGACGATATAGGGTACGTATAGCAATTGAAGCTAGAATAAAGGACAACAGAGCCCAAAGCTGAATAATCTCCATCTCGTTATTGAAATGAGATATTTGAAGGTGGCAAAGTGAGGATAGTACGTCTGGGTGAATTGGTTGAGAAATGAATAGTACCCAACAGTAGGATTATGTCCGCAGTATATTTAAGCAGATCGACAGCTGGGAATGAGAAATGTTGAATTCGCTGCGCCATTTACAATTCATTAGCAGCCTAACAGCCCTTCAAACCCCCTCCAATGAACTTTGGAAGTTATTTCCTAGCGTCCTTCTCTCTTGATTTGCTCATCGAGTAAGACTAGGTGCACCACTTTACGAAACATTAGGTTTTCAGTACTACCAAAGTTGTGTCGATCATTGAAGCTTTTGACAGATAATAGTCGAGTACACAAGACGGTGTACGTCATGTCTTCTGCAAGATATCGGTGTAAGTATCACCCAAACAGTGGGCACGGCCTTTGAGAACAAATCAGTCATGAGATAAAATGCGACCTGATCGTTTAGCCATAGACATTAAGACTGTATAATCTTTGCCAAAAAATTTTGGACCTAGCTAAACTTGCTTTATGCGGTGTTTACCAAATTATTTTACACAAAAGTATTCACTCATGCCGCTCTAGATGGTTCCATGCAGCTGCAGAAATATCGAAGCAAGTAAGTTCGTCCCTAGTCTATATCTACGTGGACTACTTGGATTAGTGGAGTATGAGAAGTCGACAAAGAGGTTCGGGTCAAAACTCCCTACCAACGTCCAGAAGTCTATGTAGGCTTCTAATCCGTGCGCAAGGGACAATATGGTTGATGGACCCTAGCGGTGTCATCATGGCAGCCCCATAGCATCTTGACTCTGCACCTCCTAACATATGACTCGATAGGTATGACTACTTATAACCTGACTTATAGTTATGCTCCTGATATCGATCTAATTATAGTCCAATTGAATCTTTATCTTTTTCTTGAGCTATGTACTATTATACTATCACTTTTGGTAATGGGCTATACACGTTTCAATATGATAGGAGGAACAAAACTACCTGTCTATATTTGCGAACACTCAGAATAATAGGCTCAGGCGTACCGCATATGCATTGCCAAATGTGGCAAAATGCTTAAATGCACCTGTTGACATTAAGGTTCTCATAGCGGTAGGGGCCACTAGATAAGGGTGTGCTGCACGTATTATAGTGAGATAGAGCCAGTATTTTCGGGAAAACAGGGTTTCGTTTGAGCTTATTTCGATCTGAAGCGAAGATGAATTACTCACACTAATGCAAAGCTCCCAGTTAGGATATAGTTGCAATTTTGTGTTGTAGACCGCTTGTCTTGGAATAAACGCTGTTATTATTAACTATCGGTGGTGTATTGACCGTGCGAAAGGTGATCCTTATAGAGGCATCTGTTCTTCTATATAATCTCATCCTTAGTCGCGTCCGAAAAGGTTGAAGCCATTAGGTCATCAATTCATCTGTTCTCCGATACCATGGATTTTATATCCAACGAAGAATTAAGTAACATACTTGTTGAATTTCTGGATAAGTTTGGCTACAAGGATGAGGATCGTCTCTCTCATAGCGATCTCCAAGCTATATATGATTATACATTGCCATTTCTACCCGACGATGAAAATATAGTTCTGTCTCTCTCGGAATACGTCCACTGTACATTCCCTTTCCTTCCTCTCCAGATTCGCAAGGCCGTTGCGGTGTACGACAGCTTCCAAATGTCCGTTGACGATGTTCCGGAGGAAGAGCACGACAGCCTTTACGAATTATGCATTCGACTTTCCGAGAGACGCAATGTGAAACATCCCACCTGGAACGGGCTTTTCTCTTTCTTTCCAACTCTACTTCAATTCTATGGCCCCTATGCTCAAACAACCATTTTCCGGGGGGCTTTGGAGTTTATCCAAGCTACCTGTGTTGAGAGAACACTTTTCAAAGGGTTCCCAGATTCGAATTACCCGAATTACATTCGGCGCATGAGTGCTCAAGGTCCTGTTCAAGCGGCGATATGTTTTCCGGAGAGCGAATTCCCCCAGGACCAATACCTATCGGCCATCGTTTCACTAGAGGCCGAGCTAGAGTACTATGTTGGAACTGTGAATGACGTGTTTTCGTTCTACAAGGAGAGCGATACGGCGCTTGATCGTACAAACTTCCCTTTGAATGAAGCGATTTGTAGCGGGAAACCATGTTCGGAGATATTAAGACAATTGGTTGACGTCTCCATTGCCTGCCGCAACAGAGTTCGGAAAATGCTGGAATCAATTGGTGATCGCAAGCTGTCGGATCGAGCGGAGCAGTTTTTCATTGGATATGTTCGATACCACCTCGCTTGCTCAAGGTACAAAATTGATTCACTGTGTGCAGTATCAAACAATGCGAGACTTCGGGAGTTTTACGATATGAGCTTGCAGGCAGTCGGACAACCGACGAAAGTGGACCCTGAGGTATGTGAAAGCCCGATGAAAGGATCTTATGATATGAGGTCCGCAGATCCATGTGATGAGAAAAAAGAAGGCAAGAGAGGCATTGGGATAGCTGCAAAGATCTGCACATGGAAACGATTCACTTGGGAGAAGTTGAAGTTCCGCTCAATTATCTCATAACTACATGTACATAGCAAGGACGAATATCTATGGATGCTTCTCGTGACTATTTGGCTTTTAAATGCAGCCTCTGTACGGCGGGTTATTTCCAATTTCCAATTTGTTTTTTGATTTCGGCTCAAGCTTCATCAAGTCAAATTCTTTTGGGCTGCGACGAAATTATTGTAAAGTTAGAACCGAAAGGATCAAAATCAGGGCTGAGCATTTTCATAGTATTTGACTTGGCTTTCTAGCATGTCTCTATCCTGGTTTCTCCATCGTGGATTATGTGATATACAGATCTCAGCGATACAGACTTAACTTCAAGCCAAAAAGAGAAGGTTTCCCGTTGAAGCAGCTCCGCCTGTGCAATCTAGCTGACACGAAGTCTGCATGCATGTGCATGAGACACGCTACCACTACGTTTCATCTTCTGCTTTGATTGAACGCTAAAAGAAAGGCCCGAGCACCTTTTACAAGGAGCGGGGAATTCGGTGAGGCCAAAGCGAGCAGATGTTGTGTAACAGCGACGATCTCAAGTACTTCAGGTCAAAGGATTACGCAATAGTTGTGGCTTCCCCAGCCATTCTACGATTATTTCTTCAAAAGCTGACATACTACTGCGTCTTCCACGGGGACAAGTAAGATTTCATTAAGAACAGGTGGCATCCCAACGGTCATGGAATCTGAAACCTTTAACGGCGTGTGCACTCCCAATCCGTGGACCTTTACACTTCTCTTCGCTACATTTGGTATTGCATTCCATCACGTTATTCGTCCACTCGAGGTCGACTATCAAATACTTCGTTTCTTTTGCGTTTATATTTTGGTATGGGCTATCTTTGTTGGGACTTACCATCAATATTGTGACTTTAGTATTGTTGCAGCTGCTGCATGGGCATCTTTGGCAACTTTATGTTTTAATACGGGCTTGACGCTCAGTTTGTGTGTTTATCGTGCATTCTTTCATCGATTGAAGGGATATCCTGGTCCATTTGCCGCGAGATTAAGCAAAGGCTATGCTTTCTCGTTACAGTGGAAGAATTTCCAGTATTTTTCTGAACAGATAGATCTGCGTCAGAAATATGGAGATTACGTTCGTACCGGTAAGATTGCCCTATAAGATTACATTTCCAAGAACCATCGCTGATTGCATTGGTGTCTACTTTTGAAGGCCCTCGGGAGATTACCATTTTCCACCCTTCGGCAGTTCCCCTCATTTACGGCCCACAGTCACCTTGCAAAAAGTCAGCTTGGTACCACCAAGTGTCGAGGCACGACAATGAAACATCCATAAACACTACCAGAGACCCAGGATCACACCGTCTTCGGAGACGAGCATGGGATCGTGGGTTGAGTCTGAAAGGTGAGCATGTTGAGCTTGAATAGAAACCTCAGCATCTGATCTATACCTAGCCCTTACAACATATGAGCCGCATGTCAATTTTAAATCCAATGTGCTGGTTGGGCAATTGAAGTCTCAAGTGAACCAGCCACTTAACATTGCGAAGTGGACAATGTTCTATTCGTTCGACGTGATGGGTCTTGTTGGCTTTGGCGAAGACTTTAATCAACTTGAATCTGGCCTAGAGCATTACGCTATTAGAGGTGTGCATGACCAGATCTTCATGATTGGGCTTTTGAATCAGATTCCGTGGTTATCCTATCCGTTGAATGCACTCCAGCCATTAAGCGGGGGATTTGGGCTTTTCAAAATCTACTGCAACAACATGGTCAAGAAATGCGCACTGGCAAGTTCGAAGGAATCCTTTTGGGGACGCACCTAAAGATCCTGATCTTATGGAGCTGACTATGATATCATTCTTATAGAAGTACCAAAAGTTGAACGACGATACACCGCGGGATGTGATATCGTGGCTTCTGAAAGCGCAATCCGAGAATGATCGATCGGCTCCTCCTACAGCCAAAGCCCTCGCCGAGGATGGAAATGTCCTGATATTGGCTGGCAGGTAGGGAATAAGTAATCTATAAACTGTTTATGACCTAACAGTTGAACAGTGACACCACTGGAAACACCCTTGCATGTGTTCTACACTATCTAGTTGCGAACAAACCAGTCTATAAAAAGCTCCAACAGCAACTTGATGAGATTTTCCCAAACCGAGAAAGATCCTACGAATATAACGAAGTTCGAAAACTTTCTTATCTTGATGCGATCTTGAAAGAAACCATGCGACTGAAGCCCGCAGTTCCAGGTGGACAACCTCGTGTCACTCCACCGGAAGGTCTACAAATAGGTGACACCTGGATCCCCGGTGACATTAACGTCTTGGTTCCCCAATATGCACTCCAAAGGGACGATCGATTCTTCCACAGGGCTGCCGAGTTTTTGCCAGAGCGGTGGTTAGAACAGAGAGCTGATTTGAATTTGGACGAACGAGCATATTTTCCGTTTCAAATTGGTAAGTGCCACTTCGATCGAATAATTCAGAATTTATTCATGCTTAACATTAAAAGGCCCTCGTGGATGCGTCGGCAAAGAGTTTGCAATGATGTCCATGCGCATATTCATAACGCATATTGCTATGAATTTTGATATAGCATTTGCCCCCGGGGAAGATGGCAGCGAATTCGACGCATGTGCTCGGGATTATCTGGCAATAGATGTTGGGCCATTATACTTGGTATTGTCTGAACGAGCACCACTTTAGGTAGACTGTGGCTCCAACATCCTCTTCTCTGTTCTTGCAAGGCGGGGCGGGGCAATGCATCCTATTACATGAAATATTTCATTCAGTTTGGTAGCCGTTCATCATATGATGTTTCTTTTCCCTATAAATTCAATGATATAAACCCTAGTACCAGGGGCTATGATATCATTGGGCCACCTGGGCACCCAACTCTCTGTATATGTAAGGACACTCGGTGGGATTCTAAGGCTAGACTCAGAGGCTTACCGGGCCGACCCGACCGGGGTAGGCTGGACTGGCTGGCGCAGGCGGAAACATTGAAACGCTGACTCCGCAGATAATCTGAGGTAAAAGAGAACATGGAGGGAACGTTGAGCTTCTTGCAAACGAGACACCTGGCTTTACCGCGCTCCCACCCCCTTCAACTTTATATTTTATTCTTCTCTTCCTGGTATACTCCACGTTCTATACAAGGACCCGATTGGGAGCGTCTTTCTTAATCGGGCCTAGCGTTACTCCGTCAGAGCAGATGATAACAGTAGAAAGCCATATAGCACTAGCCTCCCCTACTAGGGCGCTAGAGGAATAGTGGGCCTATTCTAAGGTTCTATTGGAACACAAGCGGGATAATGGGGTTCTTATAGGCTGGTCTGATTGGCTCGGGCTACCTAGGTACCCGCCCGGGGCCAGGGCCCAGAGTTGTTTCCACGGATCTTTCCCAGGTTGGATCCAAGGTTGTGACACTGGGACAGACAGGACCTCTGGAACGGTGAGGCCTTCTTTTGTTATCATGTCAGATGATTTAGCTTGTCATATATGATTGTCTATATTTAATCAATTTAAAATGAATGGTTCTCATATACCTAAAAGATTCCAGCCGTGACACCAGGACGATCTATATGGAAAGCCCAGGTGGTTGGGTTGGACCTTATATTGCACACCGAGGCTCTCAGTTTTATAGACCTAGTTGTGATTTAATCTGATTTCTTCCTGCTGGGATCATGGCTATGAAATTGAAGCTCTATGTGGCAGCATTGCTCCATTCGTACACTTTCACGGAGTTGATCAACCAGTACGCTTCTGAGAATGCCGACGGATTCTGGGCCACGTATTCCTTACAGGTAGCAGCCTTTGCACTGCACTTGGGAGTTGATGACCACGCGCTTCCACTAGCGTGTATGTATGTTAGCGCACCTCTTATTACGTCAGGGGAGATCATGTCTTACGCCCAGCCACACAGGTTCGTGTTGAATATAATGTCGTTGCTTTTGAAGTGAGATGCAAAATCACAGCCTGAGGCCACGAACCGGGTCAACGGCGTGCCCCAAGTGGGTGGTTCTGGGGCCCCTGCCATGATGTCTGCTGGGATGCTGCCACGGGGGAAGAACCAAATTGAAATGGCGCTTGTTGTCCATTGCATTACATACGCACCGCCATGGACTGCGTTAAAGCCATCCCCGTATACCTGGGTATTTGTCGACGTCTGGGAGCAACCGCCAGAGGAGGTACTGCTGTCACAATCGGGATCGACAAGGACCGAGCCAGCTGCTGAGCCTGTATTTGTGACGGTGCAGTTCTTCCCAGAGTGCAGGGTGATGATTGGGGTTTTCTGGAAGTTGACGCCTTCGATAATATCGATCTCGCCGCTGTTGGGCCAGTCTGGGCCACTGGTCCAATAGGCCGGCCAGACGCCACAGGCATTACCCGGCATGTGGGCGATATCAGCGATATAAAGCCCGTTGGTCCATACATTCTTCGTGATGACTCTGACAGATTCTCGGCCGCCAGTCGTGCTTTCGGTCACATTATCAACACCTAGGTACACCTTGCCGTCCCTGATGCCTGCTAGGGATTTCGCCTCTGCGGTTGCAGCATCCACATATTGAGCGAACCCGCCAGATCCAGTGCCGTTTCGAAATTCAAATCCGTCAAAAAAGTTGGTGGCATCGTATGAGTTGGCCAACGTGTATTTTGCCGAGGCTATCTTTGACAGGGCAAGCGTAGCCACGCTGACAAGGATAGGAAGTCGGACCATGTGGATGAGCCTTTTACTAGATGGGAAAATAAAGAATACAAGAGTTGTAGGAAAATAAAATGGTTTCAACATTCAGTGCAATCATCCGTACTTATATATCCCTTTGAAAAGTCAATGCGGCCTTTACCATGATAGCAAGGCATATATTGTATGTACTATTACCGCATATGCAATTCACATGTTCAACTGGTAAACAACTTGGTTCTCATATGCCACTATAATTACGTGCTACGTGAAAGGTCGAATCTTGCCATAGTTATGGCCATATCTAGCAGTAAGCGGGGTTCGGTTTTATGAGGGTGGCCATACAACAGGAGAAGATAGATTAAATCCCCGCGTCTTATCACATGTGGAGTGAAGCCGATGTTGCATTGCACAATTTATATAGGAGAAAAACTTAGATATAGACTGGATAGTGTTTATTCATGGGTCTCATAGCCCCGTTTGTTCAGTCCACCTGGGCAAGATCGATAATGTTGCATCGTATCTGACCTTGGGGTTGCGAAGTATATCAAATTAGACGAACTATGCTTAGGTTTGCAAGTAAGTTTAAGCTAGTAACTAGCTCCGGCTCTCGGTGGCGCATAACTAAATGGGTTAGTGTACTATATTAACAGTGTAGATCATTCTATATTACAGCATTCAGTCCCAAGAGAACGACATGAATGTCAAAAATCACGACATTACTCGTAGGATTATAGCTAACTAATATCTTCTAGTCCTAGCGAGTGTAACCTTATACATACAACGCTGCAATCCTGCAGCGTTCCTGCAGCGTCACGACATCGCTTAAATGACCCCTGATGAGAACTAGTGGCTAGATTATATATAAATCGTGCGTTTGAAGTGCCCGGACGAATTGGAATTTCTATTCATTCAAATCGTCATGAGGTTTGTTGCCTTCTTCTCCTTTTTCGGTCATGTGGTGGCCTTGTGGCCTGCTCCTCAATCTTTCACCAACGGAAGTTCTACTGTTTGGATAGCGGAGGACTTTCAGGTCTCCTACAATCAGCAGGATGTAGGTCAATAGGGCTACTTTTTCTTCTATCAAGAAGCTGACAATGATGTTAAACCTCAGCTTCCGCAGCCCAAAGCTGGAATAAAGACGATCTCAAGCTTGGAAATTGTCGCGGCCGCTGTGCAGAGGACTCGAGAGTCTATATTCACAAGTAGTATTGTTCCTTGGAAGTTCCACCCTCGCAATGAACTGGATAAATCCGAACCCCCCGCGACTAGTTCAAAAACGTATATACGGAAACTCCAGATCACGCAAACGACAAACGACAGCAACTCGACATTCAAGCCCCTCGCAGGCACTGTTGATGAGACTTATAACTTGACGATTGCAACCAATGGTGCAGCAAGCATCTCGGCAGTATCGTCTACTGGTGTTATCCGCGCTCTCGAGACTTTCACACAATTATTCTATTCGCACTCGGTCATTGGCACTGGCGTGTATTCCAATCTCGCCCCAGTCAGCATCAGTGATTGGCCAAAGTTTAACCATCGAGGCTTGAACTTGGATGTTTCCAGAAATTGGTACCCCAAAGAGCACATCCTGAGGACCATTGATGCCCTTTCTTGGAACAAATTCAATCGTTTCCACATCCATATGACCGACGCACAAGCTTGGCCCCTGGATGTCCCCGCACTCCCAGAACTATCGCAAAAAGGTGCATATCAGGCTGGACTATCTTATACGCCCCAAGATATCGAAGATATTCAAATATACGGTATCTATCGTGGTATTGAAATTATCATCGAGATTGATATGCCTGGTCACACAACAGCGATTGGATTCGCATATCCAGATCTCATCACCGCATTCCGTCAGCAGTCATGGCATGATTATTGCTCTGAGCCCCCTTGTGGACAACTCAAGCTTAACTCCACGCCAGTATACGAATTTGTCACCAAGCTGTTCGACGATGTCCTGCCCCGACTTTCTCCATATTCGGCATATTTCCACACAGGCGGCGACGAGATTGAAGCTAGCGACTATCTTCTAGATGACACTGTCAACTCCAATGACACCGCAGTCATCACGCCCTTACTTCAAAAGTTCGTGGACCACAGTCATGACTTGGTTAGGAAAGCAGGCCTTGTACCAATTGTTTGGCAGGAGTTGCTTCTCACGTGGAATATCACCCTTGGAAAAGATGTCATAGTTCAGACCTGGGATGGTGGTTCAGCCCTCAGTAAGGTGACTGCGCAAGGGCACAAAGCTCTCTTTGGGGATACCGACAGTTGGGTTTGTGAACGGTCTATTCAATCCTCTGTGTCAATTGCTAATAATATCTAGTACCTCGCGTGTGGTCACGGCAAATGGTTCAACTTCGAAGACGCCGACATTCCAGCTAACTACCCATACGCTGACTTTTGTTCGCCGATTAACAACTGGCGTGTGGTGTGGGAGTATGACCCAACCGCTTCCCTGTCTGTTGAGCAGGCTGCATTGGTCATCGGAGGCGAGATCCATCTCTTTAGTGAGCAAAGTGACCCATCAAACCTGGATACGATGGTCTGGCCGCGGTCAAGCGCCGCGGGAGAAAATATGTGGTCTGGGCGTCGAACTCCAAGCGGGCAAAATAGGAGCCAAGTTGATGCAGCTGTGAGATTGTCTGATATGAGAGAGAGGATGGTTTTGCGGGGAATTAACCTTGCACCGGTTCAGATGGCGTGGTGTACGCAATATGGTGGTGACTGCACCTGGTGAGGTTTCCAGTTCACAGAGAGACGTCATAAAGGATTTAAAGATTAAATAGAATATTGCACGAAACAACAATCCTTTGCTTTTACTTCACACCTTCTAGAATAATTTGAAGATTACAATATGCCAAGCCAACTACTAATTCTCAATGTTTAACTCGCACCCGTAGGACACTCTTAAAACCGCCTCCACCTATATAATACCATTTTGACCAGGTAGCAAAGTGGTGCCCAAGCAAAAGAGTGTCTATTATTATTAGTGAACCCATCCATATACCGTCTACCTAGGTAAATTGGAAAAATAGCGGACTTTTATCGACTTAGTTGGAGTGATATATATCTGTCATCTATACCATATCTTGCTGTACACGTTTATTTCTGCCAAACTCCTGTACTAAATGATTACAATTTCGAACTTGCTTTGCAGGTTTGCTTCAAGTATTTATGGGTCTTATCCATTGTCAGTGATCTCGTATTTATCGATTGTCGTTGCATTCTCTTCTCACTTCGGATCAGGGAATGCACACGAGCCAAGTGGGACATACTCACTTGTTCAACCGCATCATATTCGTGAGCCCACTTGAAAAATGCAGGGCTTGTAAAATCGGCAGCAGAATTAGGCCCGATATCTTTGATAGAATCCCAGTCGACATCGGGATATTTTGGATACGAAGCCGCAAGATGTTTGTTACCGAGAAACATTTGCGTGTTCCAAGCAGCATAGGACTTGATGCGTTCAACCCGAGGCTTCCTTATATTTTCCCAGGATCTACTAATTAGTGAGATATCCAAATAAGAAGATGACGAAATCAATGTTCGCAATACTCCTATATCCTCAATAATCTGGGATAATCCCTGTTTCAGATGAAATTAGCACAACACTCCAGTTGTATATATCTCCAATCAGTCTCGAGTCTTGACGTGAGACAAACCTGTGCTGCATTGGGCTGCATTGCATGCGCCGCGTCTCCTAGTAGAATGGCTCTGCCAGACTTGCTCGTCCAACGGGCAATGTTTGGCATTTCGGCAATTTTCCATCTGTCGCACTTGGTCGCCAATTTGAGAACTGCAGAAAGAGGTGGGCAGATCCCCTCAAAATGCTTCCTCAAAAAGACGATATCGCCATCCTTGGTGGGTTTTAGCTTCACAGCTGGCTTGCATAAAGCTAGATGCATACCTCGTTCCACATACTGGATTCGCCATCATCGTGATTGAGCCCGAACAATCCGCTCCAGAATTCACTTTTTCTAGGCTTCCGACCGACAACAAAACGTTCGTTGCCGACCCAAACACATGGTTCAACTTGCTGGAGCAATAAAGCGGCATCACTATCTGATTCAAGTTCTCGCTGTGGCACTGTTACGCCGTAGAATATCGACCCGCTAACTCTGGGTTCCACCGACGATCCCGTAGATATGTCAAACAAGGCTTTGGTGCGTAAGCGTGATCGAATCCCGTCAGCAATGAGGATGAGATCACCAAAAGTTGTTTTGCCCCCTCGGAACTGTAAGCTTGGCCTTCTGTTTGGTTCATCCGAAAAGTCTTCCACGTTACTGCTAAAGATAATTTCGGCTCCAGCCTGGATGGCATGTTGGTAGAAAATATCTTGTAGAATGGGCCGATGAATTCCCCAATCCGGGTATCTGGTGAGAGATGCTGGCAGGGCACGTATCTTATCTTTGCCGGTCTTCAGGTCTCGGATGGAGAACGGAAGACAGGTGTCCGCGACTTGTTCAATGGCGTCTCCAAGGCCCCAGGATTGCAGAATGCGAGACGCACCAGGGCGAATCATCAGCCCGCTTCCCTTTGGCGACAATTTATCTCGCTTTTCAAAGACCTGCACAGGATACTTATTAGGTGGAATCAAATCTCAGCAGTTAGTCTACTTCCCTGGACAATGTGACCGTCCCTGGAAAAGCAGCACGCAGCTGCGAGGCCACCTAGACCTGCACCCACAATGAGGATTTTCATATTTCCCGGTGTTGGATTTTCTGAAATATTCTGGATTTTATCACAATATATAATTCAGAATGAAACAGGACAAATGGAAGAGTCGTGAACTTCGTGGTGAAAATGGGTTGATGTTCCCTGGAATGACGTCTATCAGTTCATGCGCACAAATGCAGTCAAATCTATATCCTCTATAAATCATAGAGCTTCAACAAAGTCAACTATGTGAAATGTTTGCGATGAATCATATTATACGAAGTCATTACTTTGTTTGAACTGTAATAACTCATTTCACATGATTTGCATGCTGGCATTTTTAAAAATTGGTAGCAGATGCAAGGTCCTCCCACTCATCACAGATCTTTAGCTTTGCCTGAGAATTTTCTCTTATCGCACTTATTGCGTCAGGTCCTAATGGAAGCCTAAAGGGAAGTTCTTTGCCTGTACATTGACCCTCACCTCTGACGGCGTCTACTATCAAGGCACCCGCTTTGAGAGGATCCCCGGGCTGATTCCCATCCGCAGCATCACAGCCTGCCTTAACCAGCAGATTCGTCTCCACATATTCCGGCAATGGGTTCGGTGCTCGGTACAGAATATTGCCTGGTGTCATAACACTGGTACGAAAGTAACCAGGTGTGACCATGCAGGTTCGGAGGCCAAATGGCTCGATTTCCAAACTGAGGTTAGGCACTAGTCCTTCGAGTAAACCCTTCGAACCTGCGTATGCGCTGGCGCCCGGTGCACCGTAGTAAGCACCCACAGATGACATAAAGATGATAGTCCCAGTCCGCCTCTCCCGCATATATGGAAGGAAGGAACGTGTAAGATTGAGAGGACCAATGGCATTGGTGTGGATGGCATGGGTAAGGAATGCTTCACTAGAGCCCATGTTAGGTCTTTTGTGCAGCCCACTGTATACGTTCGGTTTATGACTCACTCAATCTCTTCAAATATACCCGCATCAATGTAGGCAGCATTGTTGACAAGGACGTCGATTTTCCCGTATATTTCCCACGCTTCTTTAGCTTTAGCATTGAGCACTTCCGCTGATGCCGTGACATCTAATTCCATCACAGCGGCTCCTGCCTCCTTAAGTGGAGCTATGCGATCAAGAGCATCCGAGTCTCGCGCCCTAGCTGTTGCAATCACTTGATCACCCTGGTTGCGATTGATTAGCAAAAGAATCTGGATTATATGAAAGCGAAACCTCATTTACGTACCGCCGCAAGGATCGCCCGGACCAGGCATTCTCCCATGCCAGAGGAGCAACCCGTCACGAACCAAGTGAGTTTTCCAGTCATGTTGTTATAATTCCTACGTCTAGAAAATGATGAAGATGATCGAGAAATAGCAGAGCGGATAACCGTCGTATATTTGGGGGTTACTCCCCACATTAGGCGCCCCGCACAAGGCTTGATTAGTATGCGAACGGAGTCAAAGCGGATCCACTTTGGGCGGCCTAACTGCAGATCGTTTACGTAGCTCGCCGCGATTCCAAGGTTAGGCAATCAGCTCCTCCACTAACTTGGCTTTCCACTCCTCTAAAAATCCCTCGACAAATTCACGCTCATAAAAGGCGTCATTGAAATGACAAGTGAGATGTAGTTCGCCCTCACGCGTCCATAGGTACGTCTGCAAAACCCGATTGATAATTTGAACACCTAGCCACCAGTCTTCAATCTCCACCGTGGTTGCGGGGCCTGCATGAACTGTTGGCAGACGGTCTTCGATAACACCAAGTGAGCTCAGCTCGGGATGTGCGGCACCTGGTGCTTGGATTGCTAGTTCTAGCGGTGTTGCCAGCAGTGATCCGATGGTCTGTACATAACATGGCAAAATTTTGAAAAGTGGTTCTAAATCGCGCTGGTAATGGGAAGTCAAAGTGGTAGCGATGGTATTGTAATCCTTGTTGGCAACCAAGTCAATGCTACAGGGCCGGCCTGTATGATACAGACCAGTCGCTCCCTGAGGCCCACTCCAAGGCGCCGGAACCCGATCGCGAACATCATATGTGTTGAAGCAGACTAGGCGACCGTCCATAGGAGTTAGATGTGGCCGCACAGCAAGAATAAGGGCAGATTGGACAGCTGCTGTCACCTTCAGGCCGCGGAGCTTACTAGCCGCGATGAGTCGCTCACTAAGTTCTTTGGGGAAAAAAGTACTTAGACGGCGCGAGTTCCCTGGTGTTGTATTCGGAAGAGTCTGGACAATAGAAGAAGGCGCTGTCCCATTGGCAATAACGGCCAACTCAGCTTCGGTGGCCACTTTCATTTCGTCCGTAATGTCAAGTGATATACCAGCCGCTTCATCCAAGCTTGGGGGTATGCGTGACACCTCAGAGCCATCAAATTTCAGGGTAGACTGAGGACCTTCAGCTAACAGAGCCAAATAGTCGTGCTGTAGCAGTATCATGCCTGTTCCATCGGTGCGCCAATGCGGTGTACGGAAGAATAACTCCCTTGACTGTGGTAGATAATGAAGCATGAATAGGGAGGATTGAGGGAGGACTGCATCAAGACTCTCAGCGCGGCGAGTCTCGTTGTAGTGCACAGCAAATGTCATTTGCAGCCAATCTTCAAGGATATCTGGGGACGGAACCGTGTAGACCAACCGAGAACTTGTTTCATCAGAAGTAGCTGCGATCTGCGGGTGTTGGTACCGTAGCCCTTTCCACGCTTGGCGTAATTGTGTGACAGAAGGCAGATTTTTAAGCTGAATGACACTGGATATATGGTACTGTTCCTTCTGGAAAGGCGAGCCAGTTGCTGCAACGCCGCGATAAAAGAGCTCAAGCGTGTCAAAGGGACGTTCGTACTGGCCGAACTTGACCTGCTTTAATGGCATTTTATCAACGGTGGAAGGGAATAGGATAAGGGATTTACGAGGTAAGTCTTTTTCAAGGAAAGGGAAAAAAAGGGGTAAAGCCAAAAAAGACCTGGAAATTGCTTATGGTCTCACCGCCAGGTGATCAGCGTCACATGACTCTTACCCCTCGTAGAGGACGTCGCTACAGATAGGAAGGTTGCAATAGTAAGGCCACCCGTGTCGGCGTCAAACACAACATGTTACTACTAAGCCACTTCCTGTTTATACTAGGCCCGCTTGTGTCCCGAGGTCTGTTTATTCCGTATCATAAAATAGAGGTTCCAATCAATGGGGTTCAAGTCCTGTATTTATGTATCGGCTCTACGAACAATTTATATGGAGCCTCGATTACATGGCATAAATTACTTGGAATGGAACATATAGGATTTAGGTAATCAATCATCCGCGGGCGGGTATACCTGTCGGCGGGGCTCTCATACTTGATGTTGATTGGTTGCCTTCAGATTAAGCTTTGACCCACCATCCAACCTTTGTTCCGCCCCACGAGACATGTTTTACTCGTATATGCAGCCTTACGGCTCAATTGGGCTTGTGGTACTAGCTCAATTTATCACTGAATATTTACACGATTCCTGTCAAGCCGGGACCACTATGTTCCAGGTCATACCAGGGTGACCGGAGGTACTACGTTTATTTGCTTGTGATCCATGATTAACCTTCCTCAAATAAATTAAAATATCTAATATTGACAAACCTAATTCCCATCGAAACGGTAATATTTTACATGTGGAATACTCGAATGCGTAGGAAACATGAACAAGGTCGCACCTAACCCAAGACCTTTCCAACTAGCAATACAACAACAACCCGCCATTTCAGGCAAGAAGACACATCGTTGATAGCAGCCCCCCCACCTTTTGGCCGGGCAGCTTATAATAGGGGTAGGGTACCCGCAATATCTTACAGTGAGGGAAGACGACATGCTTGGGCTTGTTTGTCCCTGTTTCTATAGTGAAGCGGATGGAACGCCTAGCATACGGGCTTTTCAAGTTGACCGGCTTTTTTACTAGCCCACGCCCATCATTAGAAGTGGTCATATTTGCCGGCGTAGAGCATTTTGTATAGTCCATTTGCCAGACAAATTTCCATTCATTATGGTAGACTAAAGGAATGATACAGGGTCAGTTGTATTGCGTAGGTGCGAGCTAACAACATGAGTGCCCAGTGTCATTCGCACAAAAACTGCAGTTAGTTGTCTAATACTCCGTGACATTTACGCCGGAGATTTCGGCTTCCATCTCGGTCTTTCTCTGCATGAAGACGAATAAGAGATGTTCGACCAGGCCGTAGAGGTCGCACGCAGCTCTGACGTGGCCGACGTAATGGTCGGTCATAACAAAGACTCCGATGGAGAAGGGGATGATCGAACGAGCTTGAACGCTCCGGGCCGCACGAATAATCTAGTGAGTGCCATCTGTGCTGCCAACCCCAATACCGCTATTGTCGTTCAGTCTGCTAGCGCAGTTAGCATGCCGTGGATTGAGCAGGCACACGCTATCGTACTCGGATGGTACCAGGGACAAGAGAACGGCAATGCTTTGGCGGATGTGCTACTCGGTGAATGCAACTTCTCCGGGAAGACTTCTATCACATTTCCCACCTAATTATCCAACCACGGATCAAGCAAATGCAAATGGTACCCGGAAGAGGCAGCCCAGGACCGCTCCATCATTGGCAAGGATGTTCTTATCGGTTACACATCATTTGAGGAACGCGAGGTCGGACCTTTATGGCCGCTCGGATTTGGACTCTCATACACATCTTTTAGCTTATCTGGAGTTCGTTTTCATGGGCAAATGAGCACATTTACAGACTCAATGATTGCTATGCATGCTTGCCTATCGATTGATGGGGAGCACGATGGCCATGAGGTGGTGCAAGTCTACATCTCGCCATCCAGCCAGATTCGAGCGAAGGGGCTGGATAGTTACCCGAAGACTCTTGTGGGCTTCAGAAAGACCTGGATGCCAGCAGGTAAACGCGTGAATTTCAAATCACTGTTCGCAGTGAGGAACTAAGATGGTACGGTGAAGTCGTCCACTGGAGGGTGGACGCAGGCACCTACAGCTGCTTTGTTGGAACCAGTGTTGCTTCCATTGATAATACACTGTCATTTGAAGTAATTTAGGTGGATTTGAGATTTACAGTCCATAGAAACTCGCGGTTTTCTCACCAAGTGCCATACACGATGACAGTTGAGTAATGTTCGCAGTATTTCCTCGGATTGGCGTAAAGTTTCTCACGCAAAAAGGATCCATGTGTAATTGGCAATCCGGGGGATTCGTTAGGAGAGATGAAAGTCCCCATGGAAATGTAAGTACGATAAGGGCAATGAAAGAGCCAAATGTATAAATATGATACTGATGCGCTGTGTTGAGGGCCACTGCAAGTTACTTGTATTCCCTCTCCATTCCAATCCTGTCACCCCTGGATCCAATAGAATAGCCCCTTAGGTAACTTATTTTGGACCTGGGCTGCATGTGAACACTCCAAAATGTAACTGCGGTGAGAGGAGGTGGGTTAAGAGCTAGCGAGTGATAGGACCTGCCCAGGTGGAAATGTCGAGTTGAAGGAGGGAAACTGAAAGATGACTAAGCTAGAATATGACACTGTATGGCACGTGACCATCCAACCCCACGATGGGTTCCAAGGTTGAATTTGTGATATCCTGTGATTAGGGATATCCTACTTAGGAATATTGCTGTTTTTAGGTGCTACAGCTCCATTAAGCCTGTAAGAGACCCGGAAACTGAGAAATAATACTCGGTGAGAAAAGATATATGGAAAATAAGTTCTTGTCTTATAAAATCTCGATATTACCCCCAACAACGCTAGATACTGGCAATTCCCTTCGAAATATTTAGCCGCCTACTTTGAGTGATTCATTGGATAAAAAGAAAAGTATCACAGACATTGGGAACACACACAGTTGTTTCAAGTCGAGTGGAAACATGTAACATGTAAACAAGTCAACCAGTCGGGGGCTAGATTGCCTCCTGAGCCACCGCTTCTTTAAACTCCCCGCCCTCGTCAACTCCCTCCCGACTTTCTTCCTCCCCCCCATCTACCTTGAAAAGTCCCTTGGGAGTTCGAGTCAAGATGGATCCCAACAATAACAATCGAAACAACATGAATTACGGCTATGACCGTAATTACAATGCCAACAACCGCGCCTATCCCACTACCCCCTCTGCCTTCCCCCAGCCCATCTATCAGACTCAGGGGGCCCAGGACTACGTCGATCCCTCCAATCCAGCTTACGCCCCGGGTTATTTTATGCCCAACAATTACCCAGCGCAGCAGGTGCAACCGCAGTATGTACAGCAACAACAACAGCAGCAGTACGCGCAACAGCAAGCATTGCAATCGCCCCAACCCGCCTACCAAGCACGCCCAGGCTACCCCGATGGCACCAACGGTTTGATTCAGCAATTCTCCAACCAGGACCTCAACGCAAACCGCGCAGGATTTTTCAATAATCGGGCAGGTTCCCCGGCCCAGCGGCCTCGCACCGCCGGTGGCTCCCCCGCCCAAACACAGGCCCAAGCATCACACCTGATCCCCCCCCGTCCCCCGCAGCCCTCGCCCACCCCCCGAGAATGAAGAGTTGCAACGCTTCCCCGACCGGTACTCTGAGAATGTGCACAAGCGAGGAAAGGCAGCAAAGGAGCTGGTGACTGTGTTCTTCCACGAGAATATCGAACGGGCCCGTGACCGTAATATGCGGTAAGTATCCATGCCCCAAATGGAAGGCCTGAAACCTCTTCCCGGAGTTGTGGCTTATACCTATGATGTTCGACCCTACAGATCGGCGGAACTTGACAAAACAATCCGTGAACCTACTATCCCCATCGAAAAGAAGCGCCAGGATGCCGACTTGATTTCCAAGAGAGAGTCCGATTTCCTTCGGTTCCTGCGCACAAAGGAGACGCCGGCGAACTTCCAGACCATCAAGATTATCGGAAAGGGTGCTTTCGGTGAGGTCAAGCTCGTGCAGCGCAAGACTGATGGCAAGATTTACGCCCTCAAGTCGTTGATCAAGACCGAAATGTTCAAGAAGGATCAATTAGCCCACGTCCGTGCCGAGCGTGATATTCTGGCGGATTCGAAGGATAACCCTTGGCTTGTGAAGCTTCACGCGTCGTTCCAGGATGCTGCGTACCTTTATCTGCTGATGGAATTCTTGCCCGGTGGTGATTTGATGACCATGTTGATCAAGTACGAAATCTTCTCCGAGGATATCACACGGTTCTACATGGCCGAGGTCGTAATGGCAATTGAAGCCGTACACAAGCTTGGTTTCCTCCATCGGTAAGTGAAGCTTTTTTTTTTTTTAATTGCCGGTTGGGACATTGGCATGTGCACTATTGTGTCTCTCTACTTAAGAACACGGTGCACAAGCAACATACGATACAATCCATACTAATTGATATTTCATGTGCAGTGATATCAAACCTGACAACATCTTGCTTGACCGTGGTGGACACGTCAAGCTTACTGACTTCGGTCTGTCAACCGGAGGCAAGAAGACTCATGATAACGCTTACTACCAAAACCTCCTCAAGAACTCCACTTCCAAGGATCGGAACCGCAATTCTGGATACTTCAATGATGCCATCAATCTGACAGTATCCAACCGTGGTCAGATCAACACCTGGCGAAAGTCTCGTCGTGCCATGGCCTATTCCACTGTCGGAACTCCTGATTATATTGCTCCTGAGATTTTCAACGGTCAAGGCTACACTTATCTCTGCGATTGGTGGTCTGTCGGTGCTATCATGTTTGAATGTCTCGTGGGCTGGCCTCCGTTCTGTGCCGAAGACACAAATGACACCTACCGGAAAATTGTCAACTGGAGAGAGTGCTTGTACTTCCCTGATGAACTGGTTCTTGGGCGTGACTCTGAGGCCCTGATCCGAAGGTAAGTTCCTATGTCTATCCAAAATCTAAAATGAGCACCCGCTAACAGAATCACTTAGTTTCTTGTGTGACCCAGACCACCGTATTGGCAGCGAAGGTGGTCAGCACGGAGGTGCGACGCAGATCAAGAACCACCCCTTCTTCAGAGGTGTTGTTTGGGACCAACTGCGCGGCATCCGTGCTCCCTTCGAGCCGCGCCTCAGCTCGAACATTGATGTGTCGTACTTCCCGATTGATGAAATTCCTCAGGAGGATACCAGCGCGATCCACCGTGCTCAGGCCCGTGCCATGCCGGACTCGCAGGAAGCCGAGATGAGTTTGCCATTCATCGGCTACACCTATAAGGCCTTCAATGCCTTCCAAACCACTTAGATTGGTTTGTTGTGTTCCGAGACTGACCAATTCCGGAGGATAACGGAAGCAAGCAGGGCTTGCATCCTTCGTTTCTCAACGGTACTCTCCTGTCGGTCAGAAAAAAGCTCGGATTTGTTTTCACCTCGTTGCCCATTATCATTGAGCATATCAGCGATGTTGTTTTCCCGAATCATGACCCATCTTCGGTTTCACTTGTTGATACGATACATACATATGTATCTAACGCCTTGCATCCTTCTCAAGACGATACACACACTACTTGTCAAATCTTCGGAGAGACCCAACTGATTTTAGGATAGTCAGGATATTACCCTAAAAAAATACATTACATTTGTCTTTTCTGACTTGCCTTGCTGACAGGAATAAACAGCAGACCATCTATTTGTAGATTCCGAAAACAGGTTTCCCTAAAAAAGAAAACTGCCACCATTTGGTCTTTGCCGAAGGGGAGATATAATAAACATTGGAACTGTTGATGGCATGTCTGCCATCAAAATTGAATTTCATTGTCATGAAAAGGGAGTCGCTCGAGAATCAGATAAAAGGTAAGTATCAACATAGAACAACCCCGAAACGCCTATCCCGATTCCCGCCATGGAGCCAACCGCCATCTTTTGATGCGTGTCCGAAAGAAAAGCCGAGCGAGACAGATAAATGAGCAAAAAGGGCAAATAAGGAATTTCAAGTCTGCATAGGCGCCAGACCAGGCACACCACTGAATATTTCCTCCCGCTCAGTCTTGAACATAACCTGAATCCAGAATTCCTTGCTATCCTCATCGAACCAAGTCCAGTAGCGGTCATCCCGACGATCAATTTCCCTAGCCTGCAACTTAAACGCGCAAGTCTGGTAAGGCTCCGCAGCAACAACCAAGTACTGATACTTATTATCGGGTGTCTCAACCTGCTGCTCAAAAGCCGACATGAAGCGCACACGTGGTGTAATACCGGGAGTGATCTCCTGGAACTGCAGCTGGAACAGCAGGCCCTGCTGGCGTGTCAGAGGATCCAAGATCTTGGTGATTTTGTATCCCGGCCGGCCAATCTTGATGAGCTGTTTCTTGACTTGCACGCCCGCGACACCGGGTAGAGACGATGGGTCCTGGTTCTTGCCTTCGCGCGCCTCGCGCGCTGCTCGTCGTGCGAGGTTCGTTTGGTGCTTGCGTCCCTGCGTGTGGGCGAGGTAGGAGCCGTCGTTCTGGTGGACTGTCAGACAGAGTCGGCATTCGAATGTGCCTAGGTGGTTCCTGAAGATGTAGGGGTCTTTTTCGACGTCCATTGTTTCCATGGCGAGCTTGCGCAGCCGCTCGCGTCGGTCGGCATTGGTGGCGGATTTGGAGGCGACACCGCCGCCGCCGAATTTGGAGCCTGCTCGGTTCTGGGGGATGTGTTAGTACGATATGATTCTAGATGAAGAATATGGCAGTGCGCCAGCTGAGTGTGTACGTACCTGGTAATCCATCTTGTCGGCGCTGGAGCTTGAAGAAAGTTGGTGGAGTTGACTATCCAGGTGTTTTGCGAAAGCGGTATCTGCACCGACCGCCTTCCTATCGTAGCTAACATGCTACCGTCAACCACGGCAGTTATTGCTATGGTTGTGTGGCCTTGGCGCAAAATAAATATCTGATTCTTCATAGGTTATGACAGAATTACCTAGTCACAATCTAATATTTGGCTCATTAAAAGCTCCTCTTGCCATTTGTATATCAAAATGTAAGGAAATCATATTGGGACTTCCAAAGTATTGAACCATAGTACCCGTGTAGACCGCCTTCCTAATAGATATGCTATTTACTTTACATACTAGAACATCTATGGATGTTCCTTCATTGACTTTGTTTTGTGAAAAAAAAGCTTCCAAAAAATCTTTCCTAGCTGTAGTGAGACCTGATACACCATATATGCAGTGTATTACGTAGGATTACATGGAATGTGCTTAATCTTCAGCCATTCCCGGAGCCAACTGAAGTGAGATGCCGATGATTATATAAGCTTTCTGTTTGGGCGATATCATGGATCACAGTACAAAGTAGCACTCACCAAAACACTGGAACAAATGACCTGTTAGGTCAGGCTTAAGCTATGGGTGTCCCTGCTGTAGGCGAACGTCGGTCATTTGATGGCCACTTAAGTACTATTCGATATGTGGGCACTGTTCAAGGTACCACCGGCGATTGGTTGGGTGTCGAATGGGACGATGCAAGTCGTGGCAAGCATTCAGGAGAGCATAAAGGCGTCAGATACTTCTCATGTATGAATTTCTTACTTTTACATCCGGATTATTGCTAACCTAGCTTCAGGCAAAAGCAAACATCCCACGGCGGGGTCTTTTGTTCGCCCCTCCAGACCTTCAGACCAGCCTCTGAGCTTTCTAGAAGCCCTGCGGGAGAAGTATGCTTCTGAGCCTGTGGACGGTGTGGCCCACAATGAGTTGGTCAGTGGAGCAGCAGGTCGAGGCAAGGCAATTGAAATTAGTGGCAAGGTTGTTGAAGAAGTTGGCTTCGACAAAATTCGGAAACAGCTCGCTGAGCTCCAAGAGTTACGCATCGTCTTGCTTGATGGTTTACGGGTTGTTGGGGTCCTTGCAACCTATAGCCAGGCTCAGGTCTTCCATAGCGAGGAAGTGCAAAAGATTGGAGAAACTTGTCCCAAGATCACGGAACTTGATCTCAGTCGAAGCTTATTGAGCCGATGGCGCGATGTTTGGGACATTTGCAACCAGCTTAAGTACCTGAAGAAGCTGAAGTTGAAGTAAGTCTCAAATTAGATCAATTCATGAATGGGAGAGCTAACTAGAGAATAGTGGAAACCGATTTCAAGTTTTGGAGGATAACCTGACCTTCAAGGGGATCACCGAGCTACATCTGGAAGAAACCCTGCTCAGCTGGGATGAAGTATGTGTCATATCCACCACATACAATCCAGAGTCAAGCTGACTTCGGATATAGATTGCTGCCATTGCATATCGATTCCCTGGCTTGACATCTCTCACAGCATCTGCGAACCAGCTCACTGAGATCACTTGTGCACTCCCTAGCACTATCACAACATTAATCCTCGAACACAACGAGATAACCTCAATATCAGCTCTCCGACACCTCGCCGCGCTCCCAAACTTAGAGCACCTCTCCATTCGTGGCAACAACATCAGCACCGTGAACCCAAACACCACAGATACAACCCTAGACTTTCAATTCCCACAAACACTCCGCTCCCTCGATATATCGCGCAACAACATTACCTCCTGGACCATCCTCAACAAACTCCCCAGCGCATTCCCAGGCCTAACCACCCTCCGAATCACCGCCAATCCCCTCTTCGACCAGCCACCCCTCCCACCCTCTGTCACAGAAGCCTCTAAACCAATGACCGTCGACGAAGCATTCATGCTAACCCTATCTCGCTTCCCACCATCCCTCACAATCCTAAACTACAGCACTATCTCACCACAAGACCGCTCCAATGCAGAGATGTACTACTTATCCCTCATCGGCAAAGAACTCTCCGCAACGACTGAAGAAGAAGAGCCCACCATCCTCGCTACGCACCCGCGATACAGCGAGCTGTGTGAGCTATACGTCGAACCGACTATTACAAGAGCGGTTGTGTCGGATTCCTCCGGTGCGAGAGTCATCCATCCGCGGTCTGTAGCAGCGCGTCTGGTTAAGATGGCGTTCCGTCTGCCACTTGGAAACAATGAATCCAAGAGCCAAGTCAAAGAGATCCCTGGTTCGTTTGATACGTACCAGGTCAAGGCGCTTGTGTCGCGGCTCTTCGGGCTACCGGCGTTTGGGTTCCGGTTGGTCTGGGAGACGGATGAGTGGGATCCTGTGGAGAAGGAAGTTGGTAATGAGGGTGTTGTTGAATGGGATGAGGATAGTGAAGATGAAGATCGACCTGATGTTGGCTCTGGGGTTGAGATAACCCGGGATGGTCTTGATAAGAGTCGATTTGTGCGTAGGGAGGTGGAGCTGGTTGATTCAACAAGGGACATTGGGTTCCTGTTTCAAAGTGAAGCGGGAGAGGTTAGGATTCGGGTTGAAGTTATTTGATTATGTGCCTGCAAGATAGTGCTTTAGATAGTATTCGGTCTACGCCTAGAAGCATTTGAAAGATTTATGCATATTAACGAGAACTGATTCGCTAAAATGTGAGAGTAGAAAGAGAGCCTATGAAAGGGCCCTTATCTGTAAGTCCTAGACTAATTCACTCGACTCCACGCCCTTCCTGAGGGAGGTGGAGAGAAGTTTGATCTGGCTGCTTGCCATTGACCTTGGTGGTTTCTAGGTGATAGTTGCAACCCAATATGTGGTTATGTTATGCGATGGTTGCACAATGGGGGCACCTTCGATACCTTCCCAATGAATTCGGTATTCCGCTCTAGTTTTCGGGACGTTTGTTGATCCCGGTAGACCAAGGACAAGGAGCCATTTATTGCCATCTCCGCTCATTCAGCTATGGGATTTCCTCCGCGTCAGCCTGAGGTTGCTTAACTTGGGAGCATGCTCGCAAAACTATGCATTTCGGATAGGTGCTTGATAATTGTTCATTGCATGGGCGAACCAGGGCGTGAGACCCCCTGAGCGACTTTGGGCAATAGGAGAACACGTCAAGCGCCTGGCCTGTTTTAGGTCGTTGATTATCTTACGTGGCAGAGTAATACTTCTCAGTAGGAGTTTCACCCACGAGATCAGTACTCTGATTTCATCTCTCGGAGTATGCACTCTACAAGATTGATTCAAGTTTGAAGCACTCGTCGTAGATCAGCCGACGAGTGAACTATAGCATAAGCAAGTTAGGATCTGGTATAGTACGTCCGGGAAATTAACTTACAAGGCCTCGGCATGTGCCAGTGGAGCACTCTATGAAAGCACGCATTGTGCGTGTCAATTAAACACAAGTGATGTGAATGTCCCATTGTTGACAAGTCCGGGTTGCGATTTCCCTGTAAGCTTTCAGCTGCCATCCTGGGTGTGCCCTCCTATGAGTACCTTCCTATATTGTTACTTGCAGAGCATTATAATATTCTATCTGGCACTCGCTTCGGTGGCGGGAAACCGTACGTTGGGGTATTGTTAGAGCGGTAGGTCGTTTCCTTCACTATTCTCGGCATACTTGGTGACATCTCTAGTACCGTCGTAATGCTATTAGTAGTACATACATTTGTATCCCAACTGTATTGATACAAATCACCAGAAGCAATGGCGACTAGAAGGCTCCACGCCCACTACCGTTAGCTATCATTGGTCAACTCCCCTCTATCTCTCAGTCCCTTCACCGCGTACGTACTTCTGTGCTTGGTGGCTTGGATGACTTTAGGCCCCGTGTAAACCAAGTAGACCAGGCGACCTTTAGTATCGGCTTCCCTCTTCTATCTTTCAGTTGCTTCGCTCTGGACAAGAGGGTTTGACGCTACCCTAGGAGCTTTACCCGGTCAAGTATGCAGGCCGTCTAGTGAGAACCCCTCATAAATTTAGCACAATTAGGAGAAGTCGATAAGGCTTGGGGAGAAGGCCACGGGTAAAGCGTGATTTTTGATTCGGATGTACAAAACTCCCTTAAGCCCGCAATATGATAACAGCATGCGTCGTTGCGTGCTCACATATATTAACCATTGTCAGAGCCAACCAAAGTCTTGCTTTTATCCTAGCAATAGCCAAATTGCTCATTCCCGCATGAAATTATGCAGACTACGCTTTCTGGCTTACACCCTTTGGCCAGCACTTAGATTATGAGTTCTCTTGGATCCTTGCCCACGATATATGTACTCCCTTTTTCATGTTACATGACGTCTCATGCCACCATACTAAGCAGCCTACAAGGCAGTGTCTCCTGTATATACAGCGTAGATATGAAACTGTTCATGTTGTGAAACTAACCACCCCATAAGTATAGTGATCACAAGACCATGTATATCTGCAAAATTTCATGAGTCTTCTTGCTCATTCATATGTTCTTTGAATCCCTTATTTTGATCGTTATCCCAGCTGCGTGTTTAGTGCCGGGCTACACCAGAAAGGCATATTTACCAATCAAATCGTGCTACGGCAGCGATGCGTTGTCCTCAGAAAGTACATTTGTTGATTTAGAGCGGGGTATGCTGTCTCCCTGAGATGTTTTTATATACCTATCCAAGGCCATCTTCCGATCATATTCCTGATTCACAGCGCAACTCCTTAACACCATTTACGTTCAAAAAAAGTCCCTCGACCGGTACCAAGATCCAAAATGGCACGCAAGGGACGCAAAGGTGCGAAACTGTCGTCTCTCCACCCTAGGCTCCATGACAATGTAGCACAGGTATTAGACGAGGAAGGGCTTCAAGTGGATTTCTTGGACGCCGATGACGAGGCAACCAATATCGAGGACAGGGACACCAATGTTATGGGTCGATTTATATGCCCAAACAGCGGATGTAACTCCAGTGGTTGGTCGAGCAAGAAAGTCGCGATTACCATTCGCATGTACCCTCAGCAGCGATATAATGCACGGGTGTATCACCAGCGATGCAAAAATTGCAACGCAGTCGGCCGACTTGTCCTAGATACTGAATGCTATGTGGAAAGAGTGACTTATTGGCTCAAAAAATGGAATGGAATTGAGGTACAGCCGCCTGACTTCTCTGGCCAGAGCAGAGGGCCGCACAACAGTGAACTGTGTGAAGGGTGTAAAGTTGGTCATTGTTCCAACTCAAGTCAAGACTTAGCCTTGATGCTTGCGAGGTAAGCTGAGTACCAACGATTCTTACACAGTAACTAATTATTCTAGCTTATCTATCTGAGTGTTGTCCTATGACGCACATATTCTTGGCTTGTAGGCTATCCAGAGCGAGTGAGTGAAGCTTAGAGATGAACACAAAGGTCGAAAATGCAATAATGCTTGATCAGTAACTCCATGTTCCTCCTTCATTCTTAGTCTTGTGGTGCATGACGCTCAGCAAGAAAGAGGGCAAATATGCGTAAGACAATTATTATCCTCTTTTCTAATTGAATTATCCTTACGCTACCTTCGCCATTTGCTTATGGTGATTTCTTTCTTGCTGTATATCATATAAAGAATCAAATTACGCTGCCCGGAATTGATATTTCTCGCGTTTTTGTACTGTATAAAAGTGGGTTGGGTGACAGCGGTTGCGTTAGGAAGACTGAGGACGGACGATCCTAGAGCGGGTATTATTAGGTTGGGGCATGTTCATTTAGAGTTAACTATGTGACAGTGCATGACCATACTGCTCCATATTTTTATCGTTGTTACGACTCTGGAACAAACCCTTGGTTACGGATTTGTCTATATCAGGATTCAGGGTTAGCATCTCCCGTGACTAGGGTTTGAAAGAGCTGGTCAGTTACTTATACTAAGACAGACATACATCGGCTACCTATTAACCTTGGAGACTCTCCTATTGAGTATATACTCATCATTCGAACAAGCAAAAGAGCAAGTAATAGAACAAAACGATACAAAGGGAAAACTGGCCATCACTATCCTTTATTGTCCTTTCATTTTGAGCGGTTTGCCATGTTCACTTTGGTAACTAACTTCTAGTTCTTCCTCTTCTAAATATTCATCCTCGCTTGCTCACCAGAAATGGCTGAGGCAGCTAACTAATCGTTAGTGCCTAGAAGATGAACAAGGCCTATATATGGCTTGCCTGCGCTAACTTACTACTAAGTTCTAGTACTACCGTTGCTATGTGTAGACGCCCTGCATAAATAAGGAAAGATTATTTTCCTATAGTGGCTTAGTGCTCCCCTTCCCTATATTACATTAATATGCCCGGCAGTTATGAATAGCTACGTTCTCTATTATATATATACAATTTAGGTTCCCTATATGTATTTATCTACGTAAAGAATTATACAAGGTATACGCTATCGTACGAATATCGTCTACGGAACGATTTTGGTAGGAGTTCGAATAGTTAGTTGCAGGAATGTAGGCTGCTAATAAATCTGCAAATGCATTGGATCTAAAACAAAAGGCTTACATTTTCCAATCGCATTTGCAGATCAAAGTTACATCTTAGGCAAAGTGATGTTTTACTTGTTAATCAAATCCCAGAGGTAAAAGCACTACAGCAGAAAGGAAACAATTTCGAGTGACAGACATTATCCGGTCTATATGTACACAAGACAGATGGAATCATTACAATTCCACATATTCGGGGGAAGAAAAGGCCAAAACGCCGTAGTGCTTTGCTCGCTCACTGCCCAGTCCCCTAAAACCCCAATAGAAAGAAAAAAGATAGAAAGAGATGTAAACAGGCAGAGAATTGACATCGTATCATTCAGAGCAAAAGAAACACAACGCCTGACCATGATGCTTTTGTTTTATCGACCGCAAAAGAACAAGATGAAAACCCCGTGAGGACGCAGGATCGAGGGGAGGGTGTAATGGCCCTTGATCAGGAACTCATTATGCAAGGAGGAATGAAAGAGTATGAGGGGCAGTGCAAACGCTCGGAAGCGATGTTAGTCCTATTAAAGTAGATTACCCGCGAGCAACCCACCATGAGCGGACTGCCATGCAGCAAACTCGCTTGTAGACTTGTGTTGTGCCCTTGCCCTCGGCTTCTTCTTCGAGGAACTTCTGTGCGACGAAGAGCCTGGTTCCTGCCTCTTTCTCAGTGGTGTAGCCCACCTTAGGCAGGCTATTGGGGAAGTCAGCCCAGCGCTGTCCTAAGTGACGTGCGACAGAGATAGAGTATATAATGTCACGGTTCTCGTATGTGTCCAGCAATTGTCGACACCGACTGAGGGTGTCGTCGATCTGCTTAGCCGAGCTTGCTTCATTGTCATAAAGTGTAAGGAATTCTCCGACCTGGTCCCAGAAGTCCAATTGACGGCTCTGGAATTGATCTGGAGTGTTCGGGGGGTTGGCAGCATCCATGACCAGCTCCCGCGACAAGGGGTTGGAGTCCAAGTGGTTCCAAGTAAGCAATGCCTCGACCACGTTCAACCGCGCGCAAGCCACGCAGAGATTCCAGTCTCGCCCTTGTTGTCCAGTTTCCCCATCCGGTACCTGGCGACACAACGACATGCTTTTCCAGATAATCGAGGCTTCGAAACTCTCTAGACGAGCAAGAGTTTCACCGTCTTGAAGATCCCATTCGTTGAACGCGATGATCAAAGCTGAATAATCTGCCATAAGCTGGGCATCGGCCATGAGTAATGAGAGAGCATTCTCTGAATACCAGCGAACCTCGAGGAGCTTGTCGATGGCAGGTGCGTATGTGGCCAGGAAAACTGCCTGGATCTCCTCAAGGCGGCCGGGGGAAGAGTTGCGACAGGGTGGGGAGGAGGAGGGGCGATTCCCCTCAAAGAGAAAAGGTCGTTGACATAGAGGTTTTTAGCTACAGAGACAAATTGTTAGCCACCCATGCGCAATGCTGCAACGCGCAGATTCAGACAACAAAGTATATGAACTCACCTTTGTACGAAGGCTCTGAGCCCTGTTGACGTGGCACGCCAGTATTCTGCATATCTGTATGATTGGATTGATGGTTTGTCGCCAAAGAAGAATCGATGGAAGCTCCGTGCTCGTGTTGATCGGCAGAGGCAGTGGGCGATTCGGAGTGGAGGGAAGGTGCGAATGGTTGAGACGAAGCGGGCATGTACCCGGGAGGCGCAGAAGGATAGGAAGGATAGGAAGGCGCTGACGAGGTAGAAGGGCCTTGTGGATTGACAACCAGCGAAGGAGGAGGGTTAGGAGCGGGTTGGATAGCTGATGGTGTAGATGCTTGAGTCCGAAACACAGGATCGTAGCCCAAACATTCACGTTTGCTTTTCACACAATTTCTGCAGACCGGATGTGCTTCGTCACACTAAAAGAGAGTCAGAACTTGAAAAATATGCCGATATTCAAAAAAACCAAATAAAAAAAAAGTTGGAGGTTGAGAGGGAGGTGGATTTAAGCGGACAAAATAAAATGGCGGGGTCTGACGGGCACAAGCGAGAGGGAGACTCCGCCCCGCGAAAACGACATTTGCGCTCACCTTGATTCTTCGTTTGCGACAAGTCAAACAACCGGTTTTTGTTCGTCGCTTGACTTCTTTTTTGTGTCTATTGCCTGATAACATCTTGTTCGGGTCCCCCGGGAGTTGGTATCGCATTTGCGCATTCCCCATATTAGAGGGATATCCAGCCATGTATTGTCCCATAGAAGCCATCGGAGGCATATTGTTTGGAAGCGGCGATCCAATCGGTGCCTGTGGCACCTGTCCTTGGGAACTGGAATTGTGATACATGTCGTTTTGCTGATAATGTTGTGGCTGTGCCTGAAACTGGTGGGTATGTGTCTGCGGTGACTGCTGGCTTCCGGCTTGTTGTGATTGAGCAGGACTATGCGAATATTGGTAACCGTTGGTCGAATGATAATGAGATCCACCATTCACACCCCCATTGTCATGTCCACCCGTAGAGTCTGCCATGCCGACGTTCGCATCGTGATGATTTAAATGACTATCGTCGCCAAAATCATGACCATCCATTGTTGGGATATCATCGGTTCCGATTGCTGGTAAAGAATGGTCGAGAGAGGGGAGACTTGTATCAATCGCAGGCAGTGACATATCGGGGGGCGCAGATGAACCTATTGAAGGCAACGCATCAAAGGAGTGCAATTCTGGATCATCAAACCCGTTTGACGTGTCCATGGGTGGGAGTGATGGATCAATCGTTGGAAGTGATGATTCAACAGACGGTAAAGTCACGTCTGGACCTTGTGCTGGATGGGTGGCTTCTTCTAGCTGGTAAGTGCCCGCATCCTGTGGTGGGCCTGCGGCGGACAAGTTTGGCTCTGCTGGCACTTCTGGTGCTCCTAGTACTTCCGATGTTGCTGGCACTTCTGGTATGGGTGGCACTTCTGGCGGTGCTGGTTCCACTGGTGGTTCTGGCGGTACTGGGTCTGCTGGTTGAGCTTGTTGAGCTTGTTGTGTTGACACTGCCGGTTCTTGGCTTGGTTCCACGGAGGGTTGGTTCGTTTCCACTGGAGGCAGCTCATTCTGGGCTAAATGTTGGTCTGTCTGGACAGCTGGCGCATTCGGTTCGGTCGCAGGATTGGTGGATTCGCCAGGCGGGGCGCTCGAGTCCGTCGGCTCCGCCATATTGGAATTCACAGTCTCCCAATGAAAGTCTCGATCGGATGGGAAAATTGGTAGGTATGTTGCAAGTAGGCTTCGGGGATGAGGTATTGAGTAGAGGTCGAGTATTGAAGTATTCGAGTAGGCAAGGTCAAAGGTCGTCTGGTTTGTGGCTGAGCGAAGAAATCACACCAGGTCGAACGGATGGGGAGTTAGAAATCATTTATTCCCTATAATCTGTGAGGTTCAGTATTTGTTAGTCAAAATCTTCAAACAGCAATCTCGTGAGTGTTCCGCAGCGGAGGGTGATAGGGCGCGGTAAAGGCAGAGTCCGTCCTCGGTGTCGATCATGAGCATCGCCAGGAAAGAAGCACCGTGCTAGCGCAGGCCCTCCGTTTCCACGTCTTTAAATCCAATCGGTAGATAAACCATGTGCTGGATATAGTACTGAGCGCAAGGACTGTGCATTTGTACGAATTTCCACATCAAAGATATAGAGACCTCGTGGCATGTCCAGATATCGTGCTAGCCCATTGAGGTTTTGTAGGTCGCATTCGCGGTGGCCGACCAGCCCTCAAATGCAACCATCTGTTCACCACTCCCACAGGGTCTCGGAAAAATATCGCAAGGTAGAATCCAGCACTCAGTGACCTTTTTTGGCAGCAGGAATACTGGACATAATATCGCACAAGGTAGTTGAGGCTCCGGCGCGAGACGGTGCGCATGTCGAGGGATTGGCAGGGCTGCGGGGATCGTGACTCTCGAATTTCCAAGACTTACCAGGTAGATAGATTTATAGAATTAGATCGACAGAAACAGGAATCACAGGGAGACTATGCAAATGCGAGGGTCGGCGGTCAAGAAAAGCGCGAAAGAGAGGCTTAAGGAGCTTTCCTTTCCGGCGTTGAAACTCTCCGCTTTGATTGCGAAGGAAAAAAAATTATAGTGGCAAACCCCCCGTGGACCGCTTTCTACCCCAACATTGAACATTCCGAGGTTTTGTATACTTTCAATATTATTCACTTTTATTTACGCTATCTCTACACTTTTTTTATTTATATTGTTGGATGTTTTGCTGGTATTATCCTTTTATATTAAATTTAATTAACACAAGGTTGAGTTGATAGTGTTGTACTTAGTCTTCTGGTCTAAATGCCCAGGAACGCTGTAGATCGTCCTGCCAAAAGGCATTGGCACGATTCAACCCTACACAGCCAGTGACTCATGCTTCAGAGCTACACGTCTGATAATCTCAATAGGGTGACGCGTTTGAAGACAGACATTCCATGCAGAAGGCTGGCTTAGGCTTGCAAATGATCATCTGGGAGAAAGGGTTCGAAGTGTACACCCTGGGGGAAAGGCTTTCTGCCATAAGTCTTTTATCCAAGACCCGGCACATCTCTGATATCTTTTAGCATAGCAAAATCCATGCACTGTGTGTCTGTTGCATCAAGCAACCAGTCGCAGACTTGCAGACTTGGGGGTCATGGGCCAAGATATCAGGCCCCACGAGCAGTCAGAATGATCAAGAACATGACCTTGCATTTCAATTTGAGAAACGACAAGGAATTTTTGCAGGCATCACATCATCTCAAGATGTGACTATTTCCTCATTGCCTTCGGCTTGCGCTTCTTGAAAACGACACCGGGCGTAGCATCTTCACTCTGCGGTTTCTCTTCACTGACTGGCTCTGCTGCCGATTGCGCGAGCTCTTCGGTCTTGACCACAATTGACTCATTCGTCTCTTGAACCTCCGGCTTGGGAGGAACATCTTCAGTCTTTGCGGTAGGGATAGGTTGCTGGGCGGCTGTCTCCTGGTCATCAAGCTCGACTTTCGGGACGAAGGTTTTCGTTCTCTTGATATCTTTGGTGGATGCAAACAGGTCATCCAAGCCCTCGTCCTCTTGTGCACCAGGGTATTGCTTCATCCTCGAACCCCATCCTTTGTTGACAATAGGCTCAGGCACATGCTCATCCCCCTCCTCTTCACCTTCAAGTTTGCGCTTGCGTATTCCGACCGACTTTGTGGGGCCCTCCAATCCCTGCTTGACGTCGATCCTTGTCTCTGATGTCGTCTCCCAATCCCCTGCCAAGGCCATATCAGCGCGGAATTCCTGGGGGACGGCGACCCCCATTGCCACGAGCTGTGCCATCTGTTTCTTTCGCTCCTCTAGGGAAGCAGGGCGTTCTGTGAATTTGGGGGCTGGCGGTGCTTTTCCTTTCGCGCTGTCCTTGTTAGTGGAGGGCTCGCCGCTGACGGCCTGTCGCAATCGTTCGACTTCGGATTTCGCGCGTTGTGAGTCTCGTTGCTTTTGCTCATTGTCGTTGTGGATTTGTCTAAGGAAGCGCTTGAGGCTGCCTTGATGCTTTGGGCTGGCTTCGTGTTGGGTCTTTTCGAATGGCGTGTCACGGATGAAGATCTTGCATTGTTTGCACCAGTAGCGCGGCTGTGAAATGGTTAGCAAGGTTCTAGACAGGTACAAATTCACACTTACAGCTGATTTCCAGAATTCAGACATGACGGAGTGCCGAGTTCAAATAAGACAAGTAGGTGGATTGATCGGGACATGGATCGCATTGATATTGCCCGGCAGAAAACTACGTAGTTGCCCCACTCTGTTGGCCAATCAAGCGGGAACTTCCGTTCACCACCTACGGTGTTACAAGGTACAACTGCCTGGACTAATTACAAAGTTGTCACTCCTATTCGAGGCAAAATATGAGAAAAGGGTTGAAGAGAGTTCTTTATTGTAGAGAGTGGGATTTCTTTACCAAATAGGACGATGATAACAGATCCAGTAGGCTTCTTACACTCATTTCAATCTTCAAATTCCGCATAAAGCCACGGATCTTGGAGTAGCTCTTTTGCAGTGCTTCGTTCTTCTGGGCGCCATTTTATCATCTTTTGTACGAACTCAATAAACATCCTCTTATCCTCATTTTGTATGTGACATATTGAATTTTCAAAGTTGAAGTTCGATGGTGCAATAGTCGTGCCTTTGAATTGTCCTATTAAAGTAAGTCAGCGAATTCTTGTTGAAATAGACAAGATAATACTATACTCACCATCGGGTTTATAAAAGATATCAGTTCTTGTTCCTTTGTTTAGAAGGTCCTTTGGAGGAGGGCCTAACAATGCAGCAATATGACCAAGATGGTTAAGCTCATCACAGTCTTGAACTTGGATGGGATCAACCACAGCTTTTGGTCTTCAAGAACATCCCATAACTAACAAAATGACGTCAGCTTTTATATGGTAACAATATACTTCTAGACGTACTATGACCCCTAAGCTCCAAATATCGGCCCTATACGAATAGCCTGCATCCACAATAACCTCTGGGGCTCGATATATTTCAGCCTGGATACACTCGGAGTGGAGGTAGTCAAGTCCGTGAAGCATCATTTGAAGTTATATCTTCAGCACGTGTGAGGGCGGTGTTTAAGTGCCCAGGCCCGGGAAATGGCCTCATATAGTAAAGTTGCCATAAGATTACATTAGACATGGAATGGTCTGGGTAAATACTAAAGAACAGATCATAGTGTGAGTATGAAAAGAGAAAGGGAGAGGTGATCCCTGGCAGGAGGCTGGAAATGCACGGCCAAAAGTCCCATGCCTGATTTTCAAGGAAGTCTAGTTTATATACTATACTGTCACGGTGTCACGGTGAGACTAACTAAAGGGCACCTATCCAACTACTTGGCCCATTCCAATTCTGAACAGGCCAATATAACAATAAATGCTCCTTAACGCCACGCCAGTACGCATAGAAATAATTCATTGAACAGAGTAAAGTCTCGACTCCCGATCAAACGCAACGGACCATATCCGTATATAGCCAGCGCGGTTCTATGATTCGTCTTGATCCTAGTAGGGGATCAACCTTTAGAAAAGGTGCTAGGCATTAGCCGGTACGTAAATATCATCCTGGCTGGCATTTGCCTGATACCATTAGTCAGTGGTAACTAAAAAAAAAGAAGATTTTAACGCAAGTTAGGAACATCTTTCTCTCGGGGTGTGAGGTTTATTGAAACAGCCAGTGATATATGTACGTGGAGCAGAAACATACATACATGCACAAGTCTCTCACTACTATTTTCACAGTTCTCGTGTCCCAAACCAGTCAGAGCTTAAAGTCCGGGTGAGCTTGAGGGTCGTCCAAGGTCATTTTTAGATACAATCTTACTATGCCATGAACTGTTAAAATCACTTTGCCCAACACGCTTTAAGGCCTGTCTTTAAAGGTCCGCCTGTTCCGGGACCGGGCTCTTCAGTTTTCCAGCCTCAAGAGCCATACGGATGTTCCCAATTGTCCATTCTTCTATGGCAAGCATTGTCTTTTGGCAAGTCAGTTCCATACCGTCTTTTATGAGAAAGTAGATAACTCACCTCACTCGTCCAAGTACCCATATGGGGAACCAGAATTACATTCTGGTTACTGAGCAGCCCGGGATGAATCTGAGGCTCTTGCTCAAAAACATCGAGACCAGCTGAGAAAACTTTACCGCTATCCAGGGCATCAACTAGAGCAGCCTCGTCCATGACAGCGCCGCGGGCAGTGTTGACCACCACCACGCCGTCCTTCATCTTAGCGAACTCAGCTTTGCCGATGATGTGGAGTGTATTTTTCTTCAAGTCATTCGTATCAGAACATACGTGGTTTCTTTTTGGACCCGGAAATCACTTACATTCAATGGCAGGTTCAAGCTGACCACGTCACTGGTGGACAAGAGCTCATCAAAAGAAACATATTGAGCACCCGCAGACATCTCATCACTGAGTTGGCGGCGGTTATGATAAATGACCTTCATCCCAAAGGCCTCTGCCTTCTTCTTCAAATTACGTCCAATACCACCCATTCCCAGAATCCCAAGAACTTTTCCTTGGGGATCATGGCCGAGAGGAGGCGCCGGGTTACCACGCCATTTCCCTTCGCGCAGCGCGTGCATACCGGCGTTGAAGTTGCGCAATGCGCCAAGAATCAGGAACATGTTCACGTCGGCAGTGGCATCGTCCACTGCAGTTGGGACATTGGAAACCCGGATTGGGGGGTTACGTGCACTGCAGGCATGAACGTCCACTTGGTCATATCCGGCTCCTATAGAGGTAGCATGTCAACATGTACCCATTTGAGCACTCATATGCCAATCTCGACTCACCACAGTGCGCGATATATCGGAGTGAGCTTGGTAGCACATTCAATAGCTCCTCATCTACGAGCCCTGTTAGGGCCACAGAGCCAATTGTTCGGTATATCGCAACAACGCCGTCCAGCTTGCCGTCTTTGCACTCTTGGATGAACTCGGCTCGGTTGGTTGCCGATGACTCAACTAGCTCTGCAATTTCACTCAATGCACTCCAGGCTGCCTGCGCACTATATTTGAAGAATGTTACTATCATGAAATGGATATCAATGGCGCAAAGAAAAAAGGAGGGAACGTACTGGTCGATACTTCCAAGGTGAACAACCTTAGGCTTGGGACTGGTAGAACTCATTCTGATATATTAATGGTAGTTAATGCTATGTTGAGTGAGACAATTAGTTATTTGATCAGGCGAGGGATGTAAGATATTCAAAAGATTCTCTAATTTTACTTCGGGTCAAAGTATTCCGACGCCTTCTCTTGACATATCTCAACTTACCGATAAGCAAGCTCACAGCCGATGTCTGACCAAGTCAATTGACTTGGTTGTTGGAAGAGCGTTCAAAGAGTCAAACAGATTCAAAGGAAGAGAAGATAGATATCTTCAAGTCAATAAGAGTCATAAACTCATAGATTATATATACTAAGCATCGGCCGAGAAGGAGAAAAAGTGCCCCACGCTTATCGGGCAGTTCCCCGTCTTCTCCATGGCTTTAGTGACTGAATAATGAATCTTTGAAACCTTGAAAGATCTGACTGATACCGGCTGTTATGCTAATCTCCGTTCTATAGAGAGAGATAAACTTTTGGTGCTCGGTGTTTCGTCCCGTAGCCATCGGATCGAATGCCGAGGTCCTTATCTGTTGACATATCAACATGTTAGCCATCAGCGGTGCTTTTATCCTAATGCTGTGGGATATTTAGGGATATTTTTTAAAAAAAACCAAAAAAAAAGGTTCAAGACCATGGCGAATTCGTGTTTTCAAATTTTAAAAATGAAACTCGCTATGATTCAAGTAAATGTTCAGCCATGTGTGTACAGTACAGTGTGTCGAGGGACCGATTCCAGGCTCACTAGCCTTCAACCAGAATCCGGGTCCAGTCAAACTTCTTCCAGCGTTTTCTGAAACCGTCAACCCTGCGATCACTGCGGTTCCAGCGTCCTTGCCGTTTGATGACGTCCGGCGCAACATCCAGCATTCCGCCAATGATCTCTCGGGCAAAGAGATCTCCACGAGGCCAGCGATTGTTGTCTTCCACAATATGACCTAGGCCACCGTCTAGTTCGAACCAGACGTGGAAGTAGGGCATCTCCTTTACAAGGGTTCGGCGGAAGGCAGACCGGCCTAAGCCTTGCTTCGATTTAGCAAGAGTATCGATAAGCTTGCGGTGCTGCGACCATTCCGACTCAGCACTAAGAATTGCTTCTTTGAAGAACGCAGGAGAGGTCTCTCCTAGGCTGTAGGGTAAAGGCACGACTTCCATGGACGCATGTCGCTTGCGCTGTGGCTGGGCGGCATTCTCGTAGAAGATTACATCTCGACCTTGGTCGTGGTACATGCGCGTGAGACTCTTCATGAAGTTCCGGATTTCTTCCCACTCATCATCGTCGCATTCCATCAAGTTCGTGCGATGTTGGATTGGTACGATGGTAGCACCTCCTTCACTGATTTCGGGTTCGGTGGGAAGCGTGAGGAAAACCCTGGTCGCGAGGGACACCACTGGGGCAAGTGGAGGTGTGCCCTTGTCTTCGTTGTGGCAAAGGGGACAGTTGTCCAATACCCGGTTCATCTTGTGGAAGTCACTGATCGTTGAATTCTTGAGGTCAATCTCAGATCGGTGGACTCTTTTGGCCAGCTTGGACGCATTGTCGTCCATATACTCCAAATCGTTCTAGACATAGGTTAGCAGCGGAAACAGGAATCATCACATAGAAATCCAGGACTGACCTCGAACTTGGCATCACGACCAATTTGATCTGCCAACCGCCGGCCCTCCCCGCCGAGTTGGCCACGGGTTTTGCGCTCTTCTCGCACCATGTCTTCAATGGTCATATCTTCGTTTGCTTCCACCTGGCCTCTTTCCCGGCCTCTCTTAGTTTCGACGGCTTTGACCTCATTCCTTGAGCCTGCTAGCATTGGGTTATGCATGACATCAAGGACCACGACATCAGACTCCTTGCGGTTTGACATTGCTGCCACGGCTGTATTGTACTGTTCCTCAAGATCGGCGGCATCCGGTGCTTTTCTGAGCTTTGCCTTCATCATCTGGGCTTTCAGACGATTCAATGCCGTCATATCGAGGTGACGGGTAGTCTGCGGAGGAGGCGCAGTGTCCATTTTCTTGCCTTGACCTTCCGTCTTGAGTTCTTGCTCTGGATCACGAACATGTTCGAGTGGACCTCTTCGGATATCATTTTGGAGTTTCCTTTCCTGGAACAGCTCCCCGCTAGGTTTATCTTTGCCCACGTAGGACTTGCCGTACGTTTTGCGCCGACCAATCTCGGTTTCCTCCTCCCGAGCGTCGTCAAAAGAACGAAGGTCCCCAAAGCGCTCGATAGCGATATCCTCAATAGACTTGCCGCTTTCTTCCGCCTCTCTGTATACGCCTTTGAGCTTCGTCATTCTCCATTGTGATCCAGAATCCCCAAAGGTATAGTCCACCTCGTGCGAGGCAGGCTCATCTTCTATTTCGTCGACTGTTTTTCCATCTTTGAGGTCACGTAAATGGTCGTTGAGCTCCTTGTCGTGGATCTTGAGTTCGTAGTCTGCCGAAAGCATTATTGGTTTCGGCTCCTCCTGTCGTGTCGAATCCGGTCGATGAACATAATCAACGTCGAGAGCCGAGGGCGCTTCCATCCAGGCATCGCGTTTGATATTACTGGGCTCCTCTTGTACTACTACTGGAGGAGCAGCAGACCCCCTCGTCTTTGGAGTTCCGGTGATGACGTTTATGGCCATGCTCGTCTCCTTGGTCGTCAGAACGACGTGAACGCTTGTGTCGGTGGCCGTCATCGTCGCGACGCCGGGACTCACGAACGCGCTCGCTGTCCCGATCGCGAGATCTGGAGGAATGCCGCCGGTGATGGTTGGTGGAACGATGGCGGTGTTGTCTTGAGCGGTCTTTGCTGCGGTCGCGATCGCGATTTCGGTCTCGATGATGCCGCCCTTCGCTTTTTTCGTGTCGCTGCTCTTTCCCCTCTGCCAATGTCTTCTCAAAATCTTCTAAAGTCATGGTGCTCCTGATATGTGAAAAGGGGGTGAAACTGAAGTAAAGGGCAAAAAAGTTGGAATGACGTTGATAAAATGCCGGGCGGTCCAACCGTAGATCTTTCCCCGCGACAAAAAAAAGATTTCGAGCAGAAAAAAGTAGCTTATCTTTCTTCACTTGTTTTCCACCCTTGAACAATACATTTCGGCCACAGAGCTCTCTGTATTTTGATCGCTTATCAAGTCTTCCTTTTCATAAACTACCTTCACTATGGCATCTCCGGTGTCCGTGGTCTGCGTGGGCATGGCAGGTAAGGATGCTGATATGCTGATCGCCCCTCACTTATCCGCAGTGATCTAATCGTCAGCATTATGGATTGAATAGGCTCAGGCAAGACGACCTTCATGCAAAGAATCAACTCTTATCTGCATGAAAAGAAGACCGTGCCATATGTGATCAACCTCGACCCCGCGGTGCACTCGGTTCCCTTCGAGAGCAACATCGATATCCGTGACTCTATTAATTACAAAGAAGTGATGAAGCAGTACAACCTGGGCCCTAATGGAGGAATCTTGACTTCGTTAAATCTCTTCGCCACCAAGGTCGATCAAATCATCTCGCTCTTGGAGAAGCGCACTGCTCCGAACCCCGAAAACCCTTCCGTTAAGCCAATCGAACACATTCTGGTCGACACACCCGGCCAAATCGAAGTCTTCGTTTGGAGTGCATCGGGTAGTATCCTTCTCGAGACTATGGCGACATCATTCCCGACGGTCATCGCATATGTTATCGACACACCTCGCGCAAGCTCTACCAGCACCTTTATGAGCAACATGCTCTACGCATGCAGTATCTTGTATAAAACCAAGCTCCCCATGATCTTGGTTTTCAACAAGACTGATGTCAAGGATGCTGAGTTTGCCAAGGAATGGATGACCGACTTTGATGCATTCCAGCAGGCTCTGCGACAGGAGGAAGACTCGGGGGCATTTGGAGCTGAAGGCGGTGCCGGTGGGTTTGGTTCTGGTAGCGGATACATGGGATCCCTTCTCAACAGCATGAGTCTCATGTTGGAAGAGTTTTATCGACACCTTAGCGTCGTTGGTGTCAGCTCCATGACCGGTGATGGCGTCGAAGAGTTCTTCGAGGCTGTGGAGACAAAGCGACAGGAGTTTGAACGCGATTACAAGCCCGAACTGGAGCGCAAGAAGAAAGAGCGGGAAGAACAAACATCATCCCAGCGGGAGCTTGAACTTGGAAAATTAATGAAAGACATGAATGTGTCTGGGTCAAGCCGGCCGAGGAAACCCGCCGAAGAGCCTGAGACTGTCAGTGAAGCTGAAGATGAAGAGGATGAGATCATCAAGCGCGGGTTGGCAGATGGAGAAGACAGTGATTATGAGGATTACGTGGGCCCTCATGCTGGCGATGATGAGGGTCTTTCCCAGCGCTACCAGCAGGCTCTGTCAGGCTCCCAAAGTGCTCCAACAGAACAGGACAACAGCTTCACAAGATATTTGCGCGCGAGCAACATGCAACAGTGAAGAAATTCCTCACAAAACAGCATTTTATGGGTCTCAATTATTTTCAATGGGCTCTTTCGGTCTTAAAGGAGTTTGTGGTCTTAGAGGCGCATTTCATTCATTGCATTCATCCTAGTCAATATATCAAAGTAATCAAATATCATGTTGATCTACATTTGTTGCGTAGAGAGCTACAAACTTGGAAGTTTTGCAACATCTTAGAACTCTTTCACTTCACTGCATTCTGTAGCTACCTAGGTACATGAATCAAATGGCCATTCAATGAGTCTCTTTTCGTCCTTTATCATCCTCCGAGCTCAAGTGCTCTGTGTGTTCGGTGGATGTGGCCTTCTCCACGTCAGTAGTCGTCGAAACCTCACTACTATTGATCTCAGGCACTTTTGAGAAGCCAATCTTATACCAGTGCATGGAGAAGAGGGTGTCTGCATTTTCCATACTCCGACCCTTGCATTCAGGGAAAGCAACAAATACCCAACAGGTGGCGACAAAAGTAAATGCCGTGAAGAGCGCGAAGGGCCCATAAGCGTGCATATCATGCGTCATGTTTGGGAAGCCGCGCGTGATGGCGAAGTTGAGCAGATTCTGGTACACAAAAGCAATGGTCACCACAGTACCTCGAATAGGGGTGGGGCAAATTTCCGAGGCCGTCAAGGAGAAAGCAGGCGCCCAGCCAAACCCATAGCCGATGGCGAAGAAACAGATGGCCACGATGGCAACCCAGGCGGCAGCGGATGGATCATTTGATCCCGATAGATCAGAAACGCCGAGATATACGGCCAGGTAGCATAGACATATAACGTTGATGCTTGAACCAATGAGCAGAAGAGGTCGACGACCAAAGCGGTCGGTCAGGACAAATGCATAGAGGAAGACACTCGCGACTTTGATCATGCCATAGACTGCAGAGAAGAGAAGACGTTGCTGGGAATTGAGACCAATGGACTCCAGGATTGTCGGTGCATAGTAAGTAATCGAGTTACCACCCGACATGATGAAGAAGGTCTGAATGATAATGACAAAGAGGAGCAGCTTCCGAGTAGGAGGGTCTGTGATGCAGGAGCCCAGAAGTGACTTGAAGGACTCAAATGCACTTTGACTATCGGCGTCGGTGTCAAAGCGACTCTTGTATTCATCGAACTCGCGTTCAAAGTACGGGCTGCTATTATCCAAACCACGGAGACGTGACAAACTTGCATAAGCTGCATTTTGTTTTCCTCGCATCATCAGATATCGCGGACTTTCAGGGAAGAAAACATAGCCGGCAAAAAGAACAACAGCGGGAATCAGTTGAAGAACCAAGGTAGCCCGCCATTGCCAGCTATCTTCGGCCGATATCTGCTCAAGGGAGCCAAAGTTGATCCAGTAGCTGCCAGCTACTCCGGCCATAATGTTAATATTATAAAATGTGGTCATCATGCCGCGCATCTCAGTAGGTGCGATTTCCGAGATGTAGATGGGTCCGACGACCATTCCAGCTCCTGAGCCTAAACCTGAGAAGATTCTTCCCACCAGTAACTCTGCCAGGGATCCAAAATTGACCGCCATCAAGATGGCTCCGATGGTGTATAGGGTAGCGGAGAGCATAATGACTGGTTTGCGACCTCGTCGCTCTCCAATAGGGCCGGCAATGAGAACGCCGGCCGTTTGCCCCTGCCATAAGAACGGGGTTAAATTTGGCACTAGGGATTCGAGAAGATGATAGTGAAGGACACACCAGAAGCATTGAGGAAACGACCCAGCCTTCATAGTTAGAGACTGTTGAGTCGGAAAGGTCCCCCCAGCCAAAATCTCGTACAAAAGGCTTCAAGGTCATGGTACCGGATATATTGGCAGTGTTGAAGCCATGGAGACCCCCACTGTATGATGCCCAGATAACAGCGAGCCATATGTAGATTCCTTTGGCTGGAGCAGGAACACGCTTAATAGCCTCATTGGACCAGCCACCGCCGGCAGCACCCATTCTGCTGGAGGTTTGTCACGACCGAGGAATGGAACGACTCAAGGTAGGGCTATAGGTGATAAAAGGCTGATGTGGGTGTGAAATGGGTATAAGGGTAATACACGTTCAATTGCAGAAAATGTTCAACCAGCTTGGAACAGATCCTGTATGTCTTTATATACCAACTCGCTTCAAGCCACAGGTAACAAACGCACGGGATATGATCCCCACACTGTCGGCTGAATGTGGCCATACCATGATCGAAAGGATTCTGCGGGGAATTTTGCTTCAAGGGCCACCCCGTGTCCACAGAAAATGGCAGGGGTAAAGTTAAGTTGACAATGTAGAGCCCAGTGACTAACTGATGAGACTGCATTGGCCAGTCTTGTGAGTGAGTGCCAAGTCTGGGGAAGGACTGTTCCGAATGTGGGGAATAAGGAGGGTTCCGGTGGCGGCTTCTGGCTGAAACTAGGGAGTTGGGGAGTTGGATCACTCCGGATACATGATATGGGACTGGTATGGAGCTGGTATAGAGCTGGTTCCATTGGGACATAGGTAACCCAATCAACCTGGCACTGTCAAAGGGTTATGCTGGAGATCTATAGAAGATTCTCAGTGAAGATGAAAACGGAAGGTCTCCGTTCTTTGGCTCAGTTCCAAAGGTGCGATTGACCATTTTGAGTAATTACCTGGGGTCCAAAAAGGAAGATCGTGACTTTATAATATACATGAGTGAGTTTAAAGGAACTAGCTTCCAAGGCTACGTTAGATAAAACCCTTTCCGATCTCAACAAAGCTCGTCAAGTATTTAAAGTGTCAACTCTATGTGATAAAAAGAATATGCAATTATCCCAACTGTTTACAGAAGCCCGCTCAGCCAGTGCCTTCTTTCGAATACTGAATGGCAATCACTTCTGAAGCATAGTGGCCTTGATATGGTTCAATGCACTTCCAGCACGGAGCCAAGCAATCTGGCCCGGATGATAGCTGTGATTTAAGGAAGCTTCCCAAGCCTTACCTTGGCGTGGTTCAACCCTCATCACAACCTGCTTCCCCGGCTGGAACTCTCCGTCTTCGACCCCAAGTAGTGTGATACGATCACCTTCCGCAACCCGAATATAATCGGCCGGGTCGTCGAATGTCAAGGGAAGCATGCCCTGTTTCTTAAGATTCGTTTCATGGATACGAGCAAAAGAGCGCGCAATCACCGCAACGCCTCCCAGGAAACGCGGTTCTAGGGCTGCATGCTCACGTGAGCTGCCTTCGCCGTAGTTGTGGTCGCCGACAATGCACCAGCGGATACCGAGACCCTGTAGGCTCCGTGCGACCTCGGGGACGACCTGGACTTCATTTGTGAGGGGGTTTCGGGTGTGGCCCAAGTTTTGGGGGGTGTTAGGCAAGAAGGCATTTGATGCGGTTGTGAGCATGTTGTTGCTAATGTTCTCCAGATGGCCTCGGTACTTGTACCACGGTCCAGCTGGGGAGATGTGGTCAGTGGTGCATTTGCCAGCTACTTTAGTCAAGAGCTCCATCTGATTGGCACACTGCGGCTGCCATGCTTTGAACGGTGTGAGAAGTTGGAGGCGATCTGATTTGGGGTTCACTGCGACAGATAGCCCGGACGCGTCGACGGGGGGTTTCTGGAAGGTGTCTTTGCCGCTCTCGAAATGCACAGGGAGTTCGCGATTCGTGGGTGGTTGGAATTGGAACGACGAATCCCCAACAGGGACGCTGTCGGTCAAGGGGTTGAAGTCTAAGCGTCCGGAGTAGGCAAATGCAGTGACTATCTCTGGCGAAGTGACGAAGGAATGTGTCGCGGGGTTGCTGTCATGACGGCCAATGAAGTTGCGGTTGTAGCTGGAGATGACCGAATTCCTCTCTTTTCCTTTCACATCCACATCTTTACGGTCCCAGGATCCAACACAGGGACCGCATGAGCTGCTTAGCACGACAGCGCCGGCCTCCCGCAGCTCATCCAAAATTCCGTCTGCTTCCGCAGTAGCGCGAATCTGTTCACTGCCAGGGGTCAAGAGGAATGGAATCTTAAACTTGTTCACTCCAGCCCGCTTTGCTTGAGCGACTAGCTGCCTAGTCTTATTGAGATCTTCGTAAGAGCTATTAGTACAGCTGCCGACCATGGCATGGCTTAGGTTTGAGGGCCAGTCTTTCTCAGCAACGGCACTCTTAAGCTCGGAGATAGAGTGAGCCAAGTCTGGTGTGAAAGGTCCGTTAATATGAGGCTCGAGAGTGTCGAGGTCGATCTCAATAACCTGATTATAGTGATTGTCCGAGCCCTCGTCAGCTGTCAAGAGAGTCTCCTTCACCCTAAGAGCCGCCTCGGATACATAATCACGGTTAGTGGCACCGAGGTACCGACGCATGGCCTCAGAGTACGGGAAGATACACGACGTTGAGCCAATCTCTGCAGACATGTTGCAGATAGTAGCCATGGCAGTTGCTCCCAGGGTCTCGGTTCCCGGGCCGAAGAACTCGATCACGGAGCCTTTTCCGCCAGAGACAGATAAGATGCCGGCTAATTTGCAGATGATGTCTTTGGTTGATGTCCACCCACTGAGCCGGCCAGTGAGGCGGACACCAATCACCTTCGGGGCCACCAACTCCCACGGCATTCCGGACATGGCGTCCACAGCGTCAGAGCCGCCAACCCCAATCCCAAGCATTCCCAAGCCACCTGCATTCGGGGTATGCGAATCGGTTCCAATGATCAGACCACCGGGACTATTCAAGCAAATATGTCAGTATTTCCGGAGTGTTGTCCCAAACGAAGATAGACTAACACTCCATAGTTCTCGAAGATCACGGTATGAATGATTCCGGATCCAGGCTTCCAGAAACCAATGCCATACTTCCTCGAAGCACTGCTCAGGAAATCATATACCTCCGCATGCTCAGAGATCGCACGTTGCAAGTCCTCGGATGCGCCTTTCTCTGAAATGATCAGATGGTCACTGTGTACTGTCGTGGGCGCCATCACGTGTGGGAGCCCTGCACTGATGAATTGCAGGAGAGCCATCGTCGCAGTAGCATCATGGCAGGCAATTCTGTCAGGCCTGAGCTCCAAAATTGTCTTGCCACGCTCGATGGTTTCCAAGTTCCATTCCTTGTCGCCGGTGATAAGGTGACTGTAGAGGAGCTTCTCGGTCAGAGTCAGTGGTCTCTGGGACTGACGCTTCAACGCATTCAGTGTTTCGAGTTGCTTGGTGTAATTGACCCCAAGGATTGTCTGGTGATGATTGAATCGTTTGGTCGTCTGCGAGAACCATGTTCTAGGCGCTTGCGCGACCCGCGAGAAGGAATTTCGCATCATTTTGCTTGGGTGCGACACAAGCACTCCGAGGATGGAGAGGAGCTAGATATCCAAGTCATCTCCGAGAGGCTTCTGCTTACCGAACACAATTTACCTACATCATTTGCTCTGGTCACTCATGTTCCTCCAGAATGCGGCCAGCTGGAGCGTTCCGGGTGGGGCCCGGGCCACTCCGCACCTCTCAACATCGTCGGCACCTGCACTTCGAAGTTGTGATAGTTATAGCTCAGTAAGTTCAATTACAAGTTGTCTCCATATCGAATTGTCCACAACATGCTAGCAAGTGCAAAAGCAATCCAGGCGCTAGGGAAGTTCGCGTCGTGCGACGTCAGTTTCTCCCTCTCCGCGTCTCCGCATTACCACACAACTTCAGGCTGACCATCGCAAATTCCAGGTCGGAGATGCGCTCGTCCAAATAGGCCTCCGTCATGGAGGATATCTATCGGGTCTCAAAATGTACAGTCCGGGGTCCAATGGTACAGTGGCGAAGATCTTCGGACCCGCCTACACAGTGCGCATGGTGCCTTCAGCTGACAAGACCTCGCCAACACCGTCTTGCCATTTCGCAGACGCTATCCCCAAGGGGAGCGTGGTCTTTGTTTCGCAGCCAAAGGGCCTTATCAGCGCATGCTGGGGTGGCTTGATGAGCACCCGCGCGAAGAAGCTGGGGGCTGCCGGAGTTGTCATCGACGGTCGGTTCCGTGATATTTCCGAGCATCAGGAGTTGAACATGGGCCTTTTCGCTCGAGGAATCAGCGTTTTGGGATCCAATACCTTTACTCGCTCGTCAGAGCTAAACGTGCCTGTTCAGTATGACAATGTCGAGGTCGATGAGAAGGTCACTATCACCCCCGGCGATTACATTCTAGGCGATCAAGACGGAGTGGTGGCTATCCCTGTCGCCCATATTGAAGAGTGCGTACGTCTTTGCCAGGAGCGATACGAAATTGATCAAAAGACATTAGAAGGTCTTGAGGCTGGCGAGGAGATGGGTCCCTTAATCAAGAAACTGCGGAAATAATAAGCCTGTACCTAGTAGATTAAGATGAGAAACTGAGATCGAGCCAGCCTAGTACAATTCAACTTACAGAACGGTACAAATCTTATAAAATCTTTTCAAAGTTGTGCGATAATCGACAATGACAATAGATGGTGTTTGGACTTATTAGACCGATCTTTGAATGCTTGCAGCCTTTGGAACCTTAGAAGGGATTTTTAGTCGTCCGGCACTACCTCCAAGGCTTTGGGAAGAGACTCCCCGGCGACAGGCCCGTGAAGTACCCCGGTGAAGTACCCCGGACGGACCCAAGCTTTGGGTTTTCCCCACAGTCAACCTCCGATTTGCGCTTTGCTTCATTTGACTTGTTCACTTCGTCACTTGAATAACTGGCACTCGAGAGGAGTTTCCTTTCCCTTGCCCTGCTTCAAAATGACAGAAGCCCCCCACCAACCAGAAAGGTACAGTCCGCCTGTCGGAGGTGTCGCCAGAAGCGTATCAAATGCGACGGCGGCATCCCGGCCTGTGGAAACTGCGCCCGTGCAAAAGCTCCCTGCGTCGATGTGCACGGCGGCAACAGTCATTTATCCATACCGCGAGATTTCGCAGTACAATGCGGGGCGCGGATTCAATGGCTGGAGCGCACTTTGCGCTCATTGCAGCCCGACTTTGACATATCGCAAGGACCACAGGTCAATCAGGAATTTATTGAGACTCTATCGTCCTCTCAAGAGATTTCCCCGAATGAAGCATCTTCCCGTGGAGACAAGTCAAACAACAAGCGATCCCATTCCGCCACAGAAGAGTCCGAGGTTGGCTCGCCTCTTTCGGCCAAGGCACGCTCGGTTGCGATCGACCTAGGCATGCTCTCATTGCAGTCTGACTCACGTCAACAACATTACCTGGGCTCTTCCTCTGGCTTATTATTCACGAAACTTGTTGGGCTGGACAGTGTGGTGCAGTCGCCCAGAGAGACAGTGGCGCTCAACGGCATTGTGCAGTCGCGTAGGTCACCACTGAGGATACCAACGGAAAAGTTAAAATCAATATATAAGAACTTGAGCAAGGTAATGACACAACTCGGGATTTTGAAGTCAGTCGTCTGCCTTGCATCCGGCTAATAGATCATTGATAGGAGATCCCCTCGCCCGAAGAAGCCGGCATCTTGTTCAGCGTATATTTTCAATATGTTCATATCGATCAACCGTTCCTACACCCAGCGTCTTTGATCAACGCTTATCGGGCTTTGCACACCTGTGCTCAAGAAGGGTACGACGAAACCACTGGTTCTCATGGATGGATCGATTCTGTGAGTCCCTTTTCATATAATGGCAAGATTGATATCGCCTTTGGAAAAGCAACCACGCCTATCTCCATCTCAACAGCCGTGTACCACATCTTCATGGTATTTTCGCTTGCAGCAACAGTTCTTACACGAAAGAAGAATTACGACCATTCCCCCTCCAAATTCTATCGCATAGCAATGTCCACATCTTCGGAATGCTTTTCTCACATCTCAGTGCATTCACTTCAAGCTATGCTTCTACTGGTAGTGCAGAGCTTGATTGAGCCTGCTGGTGTCGATGTGTGGACATTGTCACATGTTGCAATGGCCCATTGCATCGATCTAGGCCTTCAACGAGAGCCGGGTGGATCGTCAGCAGAGAACCCTGCAGTCGTAGCCACAGTCCGGAGATTCATATTCTATACTGTCTACTCCCTTGATCGGTAGGCAAAGTATCATGCAACCTTTGAGACAAGCTCTAACATTCAACAGGTCAATAGCCACCATTCAGGGTCGCCCATTGGGCATTCGTGACGAGACATTTGATATTCGACCACCGGACGAGTCAGATATATCGGATATGATCATCATACCCACTACTGACCTCTTAATCCTCCAACCTCCCCCTCAACACCTCGCCCTCTCTATCTACCGGTTTAAGTTGGACCGATATATATCCGAAATTAAACTACTCCTATATCATCTTCCAAACCTTCCAACAAACACTCGAACATTCGTTTGGCCGACAAATATTCCGGATATCCAACACCAAATCAAGTCAAATCTTGACGATTGGTTAACCGAGGTCTCAAAAGTGTCTCCTTCCCACGATATGGAGGTAGAAGAGAAGCTGAAGCTCCATTATGAAAAACTGCGCATGGAGCAGCTTTACCACAATGCCGTGGCTCTTCTTTTCCAGCCCTCCCAGATGTTCCCTTCGCCAAGTCAGGACGCCCTGTTACTGTGCTACCATAGCTGCAGCCGGCGTTTGCAGGTATACGATACGCTCAGTAACCAAGAAATGCTTCTGTACAACTGGCGCAACATCCACGGGATATTCTCCTCAGGGGCCACAATCGTCTATTGCATATGGGCATCCCGTCGTCTCCAAACCACGATCCCCTTCGAGAAAATCCTTCGCGATCTCCGAACCTGCTCAAACCACCTGAGCATTGGAAGTCAATGGTGGCCCTCTGTACGAACCGGGAAAGAAAGCTTCGAGAAAATGATCGACTTGATGATCAAGTTTTTGAGCAATGCACAAGAGCCTGCTCCGCCATCGACTCTGCCCCCAACTGCTATGAGAAGAAGGTTAGGGTCTCCAAACTCAGTTGACAATGATGTTGCGGAGTCCGAGGTACTCCAGATAGGTCTAGGGGTGGAGCACACTATTCAGCCTCTGGACAGCGCCCAGATAGCTTTTGATGACATGGATTTCTCTGCGACGGCGTTTGACCCACTTAATGCCTTCAATTCAGATGAAATTTCAATAGAGGTTGCAATGGAGACGTTCATGGCCGACTATCTACACGATGACTGGGGCTGGGACCCTTTCTCGGGATCGGTTGGTCTTACGGACAACTCTCGACCTCCCCTTTGAGTACCGATACACTTCATCATCTGGATAATATCCATTTCATATTCACAGCCAATAATCTGAGTTCTCATCTTCCAATTCTGAGGGTGGTCAACCGGTTTGAATAATATATTCAGAATAACATCCGAATGAAGACTCTACAGGCGGTTGTCCATTCGCATATCACATTAATAGGGTCTTTTTACCCTAGAGTATGGTTTCTTGGGAGTGGACAATATTAAATTAGCGCGGGAGAAATAACACTGAAGCCGTTTTTGAACTCGGCTTTCTCAAGCAAGAAAGATATAGAGAAGAAAGGACACAGAAGAAACCCATGGATACGAGTATTCATGGTCCCCAGGGCAACGCTCGATAACGGTACTCTGGCACCATAGGCTATAATCCTAGGCTTGTTGATTCCAGTCAATTTCGATCTTCTTTACCTCATCTCGTTGCCCAGTTAGGAGGCTGATCCTCTCAATCTTGCCTCGCTCCCGACCTATTGACTAGAGCTGGTCCACTCAATCACCGACTCGTAAACCGTAAAGCTTAAAGCTCCAGACACCTTTGGATCATCATGTCAGCCGTGTATTACAATTCGAAGGGGCTAAAGGGAAACAAACGCTCAGTCGAACAAGACGAGGTGTCGTTCCTCGCCACAAGGCAGAGACACTCTCCTGAGAGATCACAGACCTCAAACAATCCAACGAACCCCTATACCTCTGATGACCGTCAACTGCCTGCAGCCTAGTCTTGATGGAGTCAAATGGCATAGTCGCATAGACCGTCACAACGCCAGCCATTGCGCCAGCTATCACCGTGTGAACCGACTTTTGCGACGACACCTTCTCCATCTGACTCAGAAGCAAATTATAGCTCGTGAACCTGATCATGGCATTGGCAGACTGCTTGAGAGTCACAGGAATCACTCCACGGTATATACCGGGCAACCCCTCCCGGGCGATGATGGAAACGATACCATGGCCCGTCGACCTGTACAATCTCGGGCCGGCGCGATCGTCAATCATTTTGGTTTTGATAGTCTCGCCCGGTGTGACGACGGCTACTGCCTCGGCCACACCGGCCATTAGACCTGCGAAAATGTTGCCCAGTGATGTCGTCTTCCCGGATGCGTCAACAGGAATAAGTTTGCGGACGCTGTCAAATGTGAAGAAGCGGATGGCAGATTTTGAGGCGTTGGAGATACAAAAGGCACCGCTTCCAGCGTATATTGCTCGAATACCATGCTCACTGATTGTGGATATGAGAATTTTGATCGGAGACGGTCTGTGTGCGCTGCCTTTGAAGAGCTGTTGGCGGGTTTTGAGGTATTCGGTTGGATACTGGTGGTGGACTGCCATTAGCCATCTGCTCTCTCCAACACAAGTGAATTGGGGTATGCAGTCCGCTCATACTGTGATTATGCTCTCGAGTCCGCCTGCTGTGCCACCGGCTAGTATTGACTGCCATGGTGATATTTGCTTCTTTGTTGTCATGATATGAAAAGATTGTATAGTATAGTTACAGGGAATTTTATTGAAAGTCTACGTTATATTACCATTAGTTATATTTTCTTAATGATATAGGCGATCCTGTGGTTTCGAGCCCGGCCATTCCTCGGGGTTACAACTCTCCAGGGACAGGCTACGGTATACAGAGACCCGGTATACGGAGACCCGGAGGCACGCGAGAACGGCGACTTCAAGGCAAATCAATACAAGTTTCCTGTTCTCCAGGATTGACCAATCGTGATATTCCGGATTTAGAAACGTGTTTCGGACAGTTCATCTCCGCGTCGGAGCGACCCTTTCGCCTCCTTTTCTATACCCCCACATTTCGGAGCGCTCCAGCGTAGAGCCTACCCGTCATTCCCCTGTCTTTTCTTGCTCAATAGGCCATCAAGATGCAGGGTTCTCGTGACAAATCCTGCCGGATCAAACTGACCAAAATGGAATACCGTTCAATATACCAGCACTGTCTACCTTAGTCTTCTCGGATCCCGCGATTCGTATCATTATATTGAACCCTCCCATCCCACGCGATTTGGCAAACACATTTTATGTCTTGGATGTCATCACAGTTAGTTCTTCAAAATGATTTCAGAAGATAGCACTGCAGTGTTGCAGTTGTTTCCCAATGGTGGTTGGGACGTTCACCACCACATCTTCGAACGTAAGATATATCCTCCCAAGTACAAATAGCACGACAAGGGGATCTAATTCATCAAACTTACAGCTGAGCGATTCCCTTATTCCCCAGATCGCCATCTCACGCCTCCTCCTGCAACAATAAGCCGCTACAATGACTTCAAACGACAGCTTGGGATCACCAACTCCGTCCTCACCCATGGCCTTTCCTACGGCTCGGACTGCAGTTGCCTGACAACCTTCACCACAGATCTGGGTCCGGATATTACTAGGGCTATTGGAGTCATTGACCCAGAGGTAGTCACTCGGTCCCAGCTTAAAGACATGCACGATGCAGGCGTCCGCGGTATCCGGGTAAACCTCTATCATTATAAAGCGATGCACGACCTCGAGCGGCAAAAGGTAGCTCTGCGAGCCCACGCAAATGCACTTGAGAGCCGTGCAGGCTGGAGCATGGCTTTCACGCACGTCCACCCGGAATTCTGGCCGGAGCTCAAACCTGTCATAGCGAATGATGTCGTGTCTAACGGTGTTCATCTCGTGACGGATCATTTTGCGTTGCTGAAGGGGGCAAGCATGCTACCCGCTGGGTGTCAGGGGGATATCACCAAGCAGGAGGGCTTTCAAGCATTGATTGAGCTGGTACGGGATGGACATCTGTTTGTTAAGATCAGTGCGCCGTACCGTGTGAGCACGGAGGCACCACACTTTGAGGATATGAAACCTCTCGTTCGTGCATTCTTTGACGCCAACCCGCGACAGGTCCTCTGGGGGAGTGATTGGTAAGTCTGATGTTCTTAAGATTCTTTAGACCGGAGTATTGGATAGGGAAGTTGACTCGAGAGAATTTTAGGCCTCATACGCCTTTGATGAAAGTACGGACTAGAGAAGAGGCCCTGAAGGATACGCCGTATCTTGAGGTGGACGATCTGGCTTGGTTGAAGAGTCTGCGGGCGTGGCTGTCTGATAAGGAATGGCATTTGTTGATGGTGCTGAATCCACGACGTCTGTACGATTGGTAGTGTGATCATACAGTAGTACGTACCCATATTCAGTCCACCACAGCGACGACGGTTCTTCTCAATGGGCAACGAACTTTGCCCACGACAATTCGCGAGCTTCACAAGTGACTAAATAAATATTATAGAACTTCCTAGTAATTTGAAGTATTTCGATTAACCTTGAAACCTTGGAAGCCTGATATGCTGACATAAGAATGGATGTTAAAACAAGTCAAACAACACTGGAATTGTATGACGTCACTTGTTTATAATGCTTCAGCCTTAAAAAAACGTTCGCTTGGAAGCTTCATCTTCTCAGGACCTAGCCATTTTTGATACGAGCTACTTGAATCCCGCAAGTAGATTTCAATTCAATTGAAGCACATACTAGCAAACTGTCATCATGGATGTGAGCCAATCCCATTACTGTCTCCAGAGCTTCGCAAAAATAGATCTCGAAACCGGAGCTAAAAGCTAACTTGACAGGTCTTTCGCACCTACACATACTCGACGGCCGCATGGCTGGCACTTCAGAGTTTACCTTTGATTGCTGGACCGAGCATGATAGTGACCATGCTGCTCGACGAGACTCGGCCTGCTTCCCGTATGTGGTCCACATCCTGAAAATGTCGCGCGCACCCCGTTTACAAGCCATGCTAACCCTTTGCCCTTAAAAAGCCATGGAAATCTACTTCGCCCGATGCCTCGGCTTCAGTTTTCTTACTATCGCCGTTTTGACCATCATGTTAACCGGCTCCATCCCTCTGACATCCGAAATTAAAGAGTCTGTAACAACAGATGAGGACGATCCCAAGGCGCCATACGCTATACCCACTCTTATGGTGACCTCGATCTTCCATTCCGCATGTGCTTTCTACGCGTACACCTGGTATGTTACCGGTGGTCAGGGTCTCTTTGCTGTTGGTGTTGCTGGATACTCTAGTATTGCGGCCATTGGGCTGTGGTGCATGCTCTTTGCTAGCAGCAATGGCAGGATCAGTCGCCGGACGGGTGCAGACAAGAGGACGACGGGGTTCCCTTTCAAGAATTCGGAAGCAGCAAAGAAACATCGCAAGGGTCTGTAAGCTGCCAAGGATGTTCATTGGAATCAATACTGCATCTATGGATTTAATGCGAATGGATGGTAATATTTCGATATCCTAATCTTTGAAATAGAATAAATACGCATTTCATTGCCGCTTCAAAATTTATAAAATTTAAAATTTAAAAAAAGAAGAGAACCCATTGATGCCCAGGCATGTTCCTTTTGTACCTGAGAGCCCCAAGATGATCCGAGCTTCCCTTAACCCCACAATGCCGCTTCAACCGTCCTTCTTCTCCCCAAAAGCAGCACGCCTCTCCACAACTTTATTATTTACAAGATGGACTCTGAGCTACGAATGTCCTCTCCCCGCCTAGGACCTTCTATGCCGATAAACGACCAGTCCAACCTACAGTTAGGCCAATTTGACCAAGAATCACAATCCTTCGGCTCATTCCGTCCCCCGACCGAAGCCGAATCACAGCTCCAGAACGCGACGCATGCCTTTCTTCGTCCTACACGGTCAGGCGAGCCAGCGAACGATTTTATCACCGCATCTCCATCCACACAACACCAATCACACCAAGGTCACCCTAGCAATGGAGTTGCCTCGCACTTACAACCGCAAGGTCAATCCTCCAATGGTTTACACCAATCGCAGGACTACAACAATGGCGTCGCTCATGCAGCGAATATGAGCGGGGCATTACATGGCGCTGGTACTGGTCAAATGGGGCCTCCAGAATCGCTGTCGCAAAACGAGCTAGCGATGGGGAATAACGCGCATCAAGCTCAGAATAACAGCTTAACAACGTTGCAGTCCTCAAGTCAACCGTTTCAATCGGATTTTATCGAGCTAGATTCTGGCTCCGCAGATCCAGCGTCCTTCACTGGGCCTGGAGAGCTGCAAGGCTTCAAAGTGGTTCCAAATCCTCCGCATCTGGATTACTGGAGAGAAAGGTTGTTCAATGTTGATGAAATGATCACCCTGAGCGAAGAGGAGTATGCAGACTCCATTCTTGGGATTGTTGCTACTCTGCCGAGAGGCTGACTTTGGGTTTTCTACAGATTCCAAACCTACTTCCCCCACGTTGACAATGTATACTCTCATCGCTCAACTCAACGGTACAAGCGTAAACCTTTCGTTTCCCATTACTGGGACTGTCGACTCAAAGGACGACCTCCCGGGACCCCCAAGTCCGATGACCCAGAAAAAAGAAGCGCAAGCGTACGGCCAGAGAACGGGATCTCTGCCATGTCAAAATCAAAGTCGTGGAATACTTCCCAGTATCTGAAATCTCAAATACGACTCATGCAGTCGAGCCCGTGCCATCTAACATCCTGCCTGGTATGTACACTTTCTCTCTGAATGATGACCCTGCGATCCGAAATGTCCAAACATTCGGTATGCTCACCCCGAACCCTGGTCTACCACCAAATCATCCGGGATCGAATGGCGGGAGATATTTCACTATACAGCGGGTGAATGGCAATGGTGCCAACGGAAAGAATGACGGAGTGAGTGGCGGTCATCAACATACGCTTGAAGAAAGCGACCGTGTCAAGAAGAGTAGTGTGCAACGATATGTCCTGAAGGAAAAGAAAGACAAAAAAACGAAAACGGTATGTCAATCCTGTTTTGTTCTGTTCATTTGCGCAGATGTGGACGAGTATCCCCGCATAATCCCGGCTACGTCACATGTCTACATTGACTTCATATATCCCACATTCCAAAGATCAAGTCTTCATCTTTTTGTTTCCATTTCTAGCATTCTAGATTGTGCAGCTTTTAACACAGAATAAATAGGACCGAGTCATGTCTCGAACAGGCCAAAAGTCATACCATACAAAAGCGACGGGTCTAGCCGCCGAAACTGCTATCAAACATTCTGCCGACGTTAATCTCAAGCTATTTGGGAGCTGCTTCTGGTGAGATTCCCCCAGATTTGACTCGTTCTGACGAGAGCTTGTTGTGTATTGACCTGACCTGCATGTTTGAAGCCCCTTCGTGCAACGGGTATGGATTGCATTGGAGCTGAAAGGTATCCCGTACCAATATATCGAAGTGGATCCATACGAGAAGCCCCAGTCGCTGTTAGAGGTTAATCCAAGAGGGCTTGTTCCTGCTTTGCGGCACGACGACTGGGGATGCTATGAAAGCAACGTGTTGTTGGAATATGTAAGAGAACCGAATGACCAATTTCCCATTCCCCTTACTGACGAATCCCTCGCAGCTGGAGGATCTGGGCGTAGGAGCTGCAATGCTTCCAGGAGACCCGAAGCTGCGCGCTCATTGCCGGTTGTGGGCAGATCATGTAAGTAGACAGGTCTATTTCGGTGATCATCACTGATATCCCTCCAGGTCAATCGGCATATCGTGCCGAGTTTCTACCGTATACTGCAGGAGCAGGACCAACAGAAACAGATCGAGAAGACGCAGGAGCTGCGAGACGCGATGGAGAAGCTGCTCGAAGTGGCGCATCCCAAGGGACCCTTCTTCATGGGCCCGCAGATGTCCCTTGTGGATGTTCAGGCTGCCCCGTGGATTATTCGACTGCGGCGGGTCCTGAAACCATACCGAGGATGGCCAGATGCTGAGGAGGGAAGTAGGCTGGCCCTTTGGGTGAATGCAATCGAGACCAACCAGCATGTGCAAGCGACGACTAGTACGGATGAGCTGTACCACGACAGCTATGAGCGATATGCCCGTGAGTATTGCAAGTCGTTTTTTCAATGGCACTGCTAACACTTCATGTCGCAGAGAACCGCCCAAACACATCCCAGGTCGCAAATGCAATTAACGCAGGACGAGGCCTCCCTTAACCAGAAAATATCCAAGGTATCTGACGACCAGCGTCCTGGGACGAAAAGATATTGGCCAAATGTACATTAGCCTGTTCGAGCACCTCGATTGAAATTGAAGCCACCTCTCCCACTTGCATCAGGGCCTCGAGGACTGCGCACTGGCTGCTGTGGAGCCTGAGTGTCGGAACCGCTTCGCTCGACTTGCGGACGGCCACCTCTCTGTAGGAAGGGTGCATTTGACTTGGCCGAAGTGGAGGGATCGTAGAGATGTCTAGAGGACTTGCTCGAGGCCGACGAAGAATCTCTCTTCTGGTGATCTCTTCCGCCGCCACGTCCTTTGCCTCTCCCCCTACCCTCACCTGTAGAATTTTGACGAGGCGGGGTTGTGCTGCCAGGGGACGAGGTACCCGAAGCTGTAGCAGATGGGCTTCCGAACAGACGTTCGCGCACTTCTTCATATTTCCGCTGTTTCTCCTCCCGATTCTTCAATGCGATAGCATGGCGCTCCTCGGGTGTTGGCTGGGGTGGCTTGGTATCATCGTCCGAGTCCTCGTCATCGTCTAGTCCGAGTCGGCCCAGTCCAGCAGTTGCGGCGGTAATTGTTCTCGAGGATGATGACGAATGTCTTGTCACAAGCTGAGGTTTCCGACTCAGCAATGTAACTGCGGGCTTGAAGTCTTGCTTCAGGGGAACATCGGCACGCGCTTCAACAAAATGGAATGTTTCTGTGGATTCGCTGCAACCCAATTCAGTCTTTTGAACAGCCCAAATAAATGCGATGGCGCTAGCTGGCAATTGAAACTTACGCTTCAGCCCATAGCTGGCGATTGAACTCTGCCTGTTCCGCCCTGCGTTGCGCCTTGGTGACCTTGGATGAGACTTTCTTCTCAGACGGCGGGGTAGACTTGGAGTCGAGTTTCTGTAACCGATGACCATCAGCATGTTATTCATGGTCTGCAAGAATTGAACAGGTTTGAATAGCAGACTCTTGTCTGTCCCAAACGCCACATAGTTCCCCTGGTATTACATACATCTGCTTGGTTTTCCCATGAGTCCTCCCAGGCATCAGGAACCACACCGGAGTTTGCGCTCATTGCACGTATGATGACGATAGCAGGATTAAAAATAAAGAGGAAATATCCAAAACAAATCCAATGTAAAATATGCTAATCGCAAAGGCCAGCAATAATTGGTATGTTCATGGAGTATATAAGCTGGGGAAGAAAGAAGAAGAAAATTCATGCGAGAGCCCCCGGGGCCACCGCCTGTCGACCGTTGATCTCTCCACTCCCCGCGCCTTGAAGTTTTGAGAACTTTAGAAATTACAAATCGACCATCTAACCCATTTGGTTTAATTTCCAACAATGGCGATTGGTAGGTCTCCTCTATTTCCTCAAAGCTATACGAAGTAGCCGAAGAGGCACAGTGGGCCCCGCGATATCGATAGCGCTCCATTACCCACATGTGCAACCCGCCTCTTCTTCCTTACAAACTACAAACCCGGGGGTTACATCCATTAACAATCACCTACCAGATCCCAAAGATCCAGACGGTGACTCCACAATGACCTCCTCCGTCGACTCCATCCGTCCCGACGACGGCACTAGAACCGGCGCCCGCACTCCGACCGGTACCGCCCAAGCTTCTTCGGCTGGCGTTGACGTATCGGAGCTTTCCCCTCCTGGATCCCAGACAAAGCAGGAGGCCGGTGCCTCTGTTGGTGACATTGGGACTGCGCTGGAACAGCACGGCGGACAGACTGCAGAGAAGACAACTGACGCAAGTGTCGCTGCGTGGAAGAGCAAGCGTGCTCAAGAGGATTACCATCGTGCTATGGAATATCTTGTTGATAGAGATTTCAAGCTAGGTATGTGGCTTCGTAACCGTTTGATCGAACTTGAGTTGCTTTGCATCCATGGATAGCTGTACAATGTGCTGACTAGCTGCCTTATTCAGATGAATTCGGGGATCCTTTTGATGAACGTGACTTGGCAGAGAAGTTGCTATGAGTCTCTGCATATTTGGAGACTGTCTGCCAACATATGATATGAATAATGAGATACGACTTGATTCTTTAGCTTGCAGTTCTTCGAGCACACTTAGCCTATAATGGCCAGGCAGTCCTCGCTTACCCGTGGGAGACATGGAGGCGGAACTGCTTGAATTCACTCCCACAGTGTAAAAGAAAGCTGCTCAAGGGTACTCCAGGGTCAATCCATGCGATCTGAGAGCATCATCACCTGCCATTCTTGTAGATCGATGGCTTTGATATAAAACCATTTTATACCCGAGCTTCGGGGAATAGATCTGTAAGATGTATTAAACCCTCAGAGCCGCTATGATTTCAACCTGCTTTTACCCTGGGCTATATATATTTGCTGTGGCTCCCAATTGATTGCCAGAACCTTTGTTTATATATATATATATAGTCAAGATGTCCATGAATATACCATATTCCTCACTATTTGAGCACTGACATATATTGAAATTGAATTACCACATATCACGCGACTTCGAAATGAGATTGTATATGAGATTGTATATATTCATGATCGACACTATGTCCACGTTCTCCCATGCGGTGGTTGTCAGGGCAACGAAAAGACAAAGCAAAACCACAACGGCCCGCTTCATAACTTTCGCATCCATCACGACAATCCGACATTTTGCTGAGGGGCACGCTCAGTTGCAACCTTTGATTTGCATCATTATTTTTTTTGGCATTATATTTGATAACTTGACTTGATTCATATACCTCACTCGAACATACCTCGCCAAATCAAGATTCCAACAGCTGACACATTCCACGCGCATCAACAACAATGGAGAAGGAGAACCATCCTCCCTCACCGCAAGCATGGTACGCCAACTCTTTGTTTCTTTCTAACTTTGGATTCAATATTTGTTTTGTTTCCTTTATATCAAACGAATCATTCGCGACTCTCGCTCAGGGGCTTGATCACCTTTCCCCTTTATTTTGAGACACACCGCTATATAAACTTGAGACTAACACAAACTGCCTTACGCGCCAGCAGCTCTGCCAACCCTCCCATTGAAAGTTCCTTCAGTTTCACGCCTATCAAAGCCCTGAGCGCGTTGCCGCGACTGTGGGATCGCAAACCTTCGACCCCTGTCCGAGCCGGAGACAAGACACGAAAGCTGTGGAAGCGCATTCGCTTTCCGTTTACCAGCATGAATACCGCGACAGAAAGCCAAACCTCGGGGATCGGCGCCTCGAAAACCTCGGATTATCAGCGCGGCGTGAAGCGCCAGTGTGTTGACCCCGCCGATGCGGACCATGAGACTGAGGCTGAGCAACGTGGTCGGTCTTTCCTCGAGACTAAATGGGAGATGCAGGCGTCTCGGAAACGACGTAAGTTCTTTTTATTTAATATTATGCGATGCGAGCCGTGTACAAATCACGCATCACAACTCATTCTCCCGCTTTTAGAAAGACGCTTATCTAATAATTTGCAGGCAAGTTGCCCGAATTCAATTTCAACATCCACGACGACAACTCCCAGGAGGTGTTTGGTTTCACTGCGAACAAAACCGAGGGAACACTCAATGACGTTGTTGGCGACGTTGCTACGAATGCGTCACCCCAGCCGCTCAGCGATATGTGGAAGACTTCTAAGACGCCAGTTTACAACGACGCTATGGCCACGGACTTCAATATTACAGGATCCACCCAAGACGCGCCGGGTGCGATCGACAGTGCAGGGGAGGACAAGGCCAATGCCATGTCCACCACAGAGTCCGTGCAAGACCTGACGCAAGAGCAGGAGATCAAGTTGGTACGATCGGCACTGCGAAGCTCTTTGGATGGAGAGGATGCAGAGCTTCTCAACGACTTCCTGTCCAGGGCGAATGCGAAGCGGGCTGCCAAGGCCACAAACCCCGAGGATGCGAAATCAACTGAGATGTCTTCCAGCCCAGAGGAGTCGCCAGAGGTTGAATGCTCAACACCGCCACCACGCCGCGTGTTAGAGGAGCTGACAACCAACTCACCTTCACCTGTCAAGTTGCACTTCTCACCTAGTAAATATGACGTCAAGCTTGGTGCCGATGGCGCCAATGACCGGGAGGATATCATCCCTAAAGAGATCAAAGAAGAACAGGCTCCTTCAAGCCCTGCCTATCGTCGAAGCACCCGCACTAAAGGCTCGAGTGCCCCTGCCATGCGCAACACTATCTCATTCCGCCGAGCTAAAGGGACAGAATTCGTTTTTCAGCAGCGAACTGAGACCCAACAGGTTGCTATGGCTACAAAGCGCAATACTCGGCTGAACAAGGGTAAATCTGTAACTCCCATGGTTACCCTGGAAGCTCTGGCTCAACAATCGAGCCAGGAAGAGCTCCAGCTGGACAATTCACAGAATGAGAGCTCAAATTCCAAGGACAGTAGTTTCCGTGGGCTGAACAAACCGCGAAAGCAAGTGTCGTGGAACGAGGAGCGCATAGCGGAGTATGAAGAGTACAGAGAGCCAATGGACGAGGAAGATGAAGAGGAGGGTGACCGATGCACGAATGACGTGGGCGCAACGCCTCGCCCGCGACCAGAAAGCAAGCGCTTAGCGAAGAAAGCAGGGTCGGGTCATCGCAGCAGCCGTAGCCAAACACAAAAGGCGGATGAGAATGCAGACAGTGGGGCTACCCAGAGCGGCCCAACCACGACTACTGCACCTGCTACTCTAACCCCGCGCTCACGCCGGGTGAGGCGTTTGGGCGACTCGGGCATCTTAGGGTCTGGTACCCCAGTTAAGACTGGGAGTCGCGGCACAAGCAAGCCTCCCGCAGCCTCGGCATCCGCTGTGGCTGCTGTTGCCCCCTCCACACCTACCAAGGGCCGCCGCAAGCTTGCTCCCAAATCTCCCAGCTCGTCCAAGCTTCCCGCACGAGCTTCCAAGAGTGCTAACACCACCGCGGATCAGCCTTTCGTCAGCGGCATCCCCACTCGCAGCTCACAAAGCACAGACGATGCGCAGCGACAGAGTATGCTTCAGATGAGCGCAGGGTGCACGCCCATGGCTCGGCGTGTTCGGTCGAGATCTTGATTGTTACCCCATGTGGCGCGATTCTCATTGGATTATACGACTCTTATACCCCTTCTCCACGGTCCTTTGTTTTTTTTTTACCTCGGTTCCCAATTTTGACACTCTTTATCTACCCGGGGAGTTACTTGTGATTTGAGATACCAATTGCTCGTTTTGTTTTCTTTATTTCATGTATGCATCCTTAATGATATTGAACCTTTTTTCACTTCATCTTGATCAAGATAAGATTAACTGCACGGTTCACCTATCCTATGCAGAATGACGTCTGTGCCGTTGCGCCACGCTGCCCTGGTGCCCCTCTGCCCCTCCAAACCTCGGGATTTGTATGAGAGGCATGCTAATTTCCAATCTTGGAAGGTTGTCCTATGTACTCCGTACTCCGTATTCTCATTCTCTGACTACAGCCCTCGGGTCCAAAAATATTCGCGCAGTCCTAGCTTATGCACCTAGCCGCTTTGACAAGCCCTAGACTACAATATTGCAGCGGGCTGTGCGTCTGTCCCGTTGATGATCCCCCTCATGCCACTGGTTTGCATAGATCTTTTCTGAATTGAGTTACCTCCAAGCGTACAAAGCATATACTTTCTGCCTTCCAAGGGTGTTACCCGTACCGATAGCCGATACATGCTGATCCCTTGTTTTGATATTTGCAAAAGCTCAGAGCAAGTCTGCAAGGTTGGCTGCGCTGGGGATTTGCAAATGTCTTTCGTACAATGTAAATTGTGGATGCAGTTGTATCTCATATGGCGTCCCACTAGCAGCGACCACGTACTTTGTCCTACCAGTATGTCCAATCTGAATACGGAATCAGACTGCATCATCCCAATAGTGCAGTACCCATATACTACCCACCACCTTCGGTACTGTAGGTCAGGAAGCAGGTTAACAAACTTCGACTATGTATTACAATCCCCCGAAGTTCCTCCCATATCGGCTTAATCGGGATACGCGATCTCAACACTCGGCATCATCAAACCCGAACTAGAAAGTCTCAGCTAAAAAGTCTAAGAATAATTTCATTACCTACGAAATGAGGCATTAAATCCCATACACAAAATCGTAAGTGCATCCCGTCACTAATCGGCCCAATGGAAAAAGAGAACTTACCCTACAGAGTATACTAGCACGATACATAGACACCACAGCGTAAACCAATAGCAAATAAACACCTAAAGCGCTAATCAAACATTCAATGAGCAAATGTACAAGTAAACACCAAATAATGTGCTCTGACCACACAATCCAAGACCCCTATTACCTTATTCGGCGTTTCGGTGTTAACACCAACCAATATCCCCATCCGATTCTAATATCCCATAGCCAATTATTCCCGTACAACATCCGACATCTCCCGGTCTGAACAGTAGTCAGCAACGCTAAGACCAAATGCGGTAAGCGCGCGAGAACGCTAAGCCCCTTGAGTGGCGCAGGGGTTTCCGAGAGCCACAAGTCAACGCGAGATGACATCGTCCGCAGGGCTCGGAGCACACTGCTCCTATTTTGTATGGAATTGCCTATCCGCTTTTTAGAGTTGTATTTTTTTTCCTTTTTGGAATAATAGGAGTTCTTGTACTCCGTAGTAACTACAACTATACAAGTTGTACGGAGTACAACGGTTGTATATTGGAATATTGGAGTTTCTTTTTTTTTTTTTTTTTTGGCTGCTTTGGTAACTGGGTAACACTATTTCCGAATAAGGTCCACGGGTGTTGCCTTGTCAGGTACAGTGTAACCCTAAGGTTGTGCTTATGTTTTTTCTTTCTCATTCGACGGCGGTTTGTTTTGCTCATTGGTTGAGGATCCTAGGTCATACTTCTACTGTAAGAATATTCATGGATGTATTTACATGTTGTACTATACTGTTACAACTGCAGGGTCCTTTTTTTTTTGCAAATTTTGCAATGTTCTTTTTTTTCAATTATTTCCTTACCATTATCTTAATATTGGGTGTAATCTTATTCCAGGTTGGTTTGGTTTCACTCGACTCGTTCATTGGATGTAGACATTCTTGAAGGGTGGATCTTGGGTGGGTGTTTGGACCTACGGAATGAAGGCTGTGGCAGCCGGTGTGTGAGATTGGGTGATTAGGGCCAGGTCAAATAAAAAGAGCTCAAAAAGATTCCGAGTTATACGTAGGCATGCACATGTGTGGTACAATCTACGGAGTACAGTACAGCTGAAACACAGTAAATAGAGTGAGATCAAATGGTATGTCCAATTCATCTAACAGAGTTCGTAGTCCGTTCATTAACTCATTTCCACCCAAAATCCCCGTTTTGGGGGGTATTATTCTTGTCCTTTTGTAAATCGGTCACAAAATCTAGATAGAAAGACCCTTGGCAGTCTCCTCGGGCCAGACATCGTAGCCGAAGGTATCCCGCATGTTCACAAAGCGGCAGTAGTGGGTCTTGGCCACCTCGTTGACAGCCTCGAAGTCAGCATCGCTGAGCTCGATGCTCTTGAAGTTGGACTCAATGCGCTTGGGGTTGGAGCTCTTAGGGAGCACACTGTAACCACGACGCAGACCCCAGGCAATCAGAACCTGGGCGAGGGTGTTGCCGCCCTTCTCGGCAACAGCGTTCAGGGTCTTGTTCTCGCTGACACGCTCGCCTGTGGTGGGGACCTGGTTCTGTGAGCCCAGAGGCGAGTAGGCCTGGGGCAGGATGTTGTGGGCGAAGCAGTACTGCACCAGCTCTTCGTTGGCCAGGAAGGGGTGGATCTCAATCTGGTTGACCATAGGCTGGACCTTGGCGAACTTGGCCATGGCCTCAAGCTGGGGGATGGTCCAGTTGGACACACCAATGGCCTTGGCCTTGCCATCGGCGTACAGCTTCTCCATGGCACGCCATGTCTCCTCGTGGTTCTCGGTCAAATCCTTGAGGATCACGTACTATATAATAGGTTAGTTAGGAGCTGCTCGTGTGCTCGTTGTGGGGAATCTCACCTTTCCATCGGGGCCAATCTTGGGCTTGTCCTGGCCATCCTTCTCGGCAGCAATGGGCCAGTGGACAAGGAAGAGGTCAACGTAGTCGAGCTGCAGACGCTCGAGAGAGTTGTTGATGGACCAGAGGACGTCATCGTAACGGTGCAGGTGGTTCCAGACCTTGGTGGTCACGAAGATGTCGGAACGCTTGACGGAGGGGTTGGCCTTGAGGAAATCACGGATGCCCTCACCGACCTCATCCTCATTGAGGTAGAACCAAGCACAGTCAAGGTGACGGTAGCCTGTGTTGAGGGCAGCAGTGACGGCAGCGTAAGTCTCGCCCTTAGAGCCCTCGCTGGCGAAGGTACCAAAACCAACGGCAGGGATGGTCACTCCGTTGCTCAATGTGAAAGTCTTTCCAGATGACATGATTGTAGTGTAAATTTGAATATAGTTAGAGAATAGAAAGAGGAAAAGATACGAGCTGTTAGAAGATAAGAAGATAGAAGAGTGGGGAGAGCTTAGGGAGCGATGACGATGTTGGGAAGTGGGGTGGAGGGGGGTGGAGGGGGGTTGGAGGGGCAGGGAGGGGCAGGAGAACCTTGGGAATTGGGAAATTATATAATATTTTTTAATAATTTCATTAATTTCATCTCAATTGAACCTTTGAACTGCAATATATTGCATAGATTGTAGCTCATACAATAGATAGATATTGCAATTTAGCCATACTTTCCTTTTCTATTTGTCGATCAGGAACCCCGACTCTTGTTCTTAATACTGGCAAGAATAAAAACCAATTTAAATCCATCAAATATTACTCCGTATAAAAAATATTAATAAAATAAATGGAATATGTAAGAAAATAAAATAAAAAATAAAAAAAAAGCCCAAAATTACCACTAGTAAATTTCAAATCTCCAGTCCAATGACATCATCAACCGAAACGGTGTTTTGAGCGTTTGGCTTGATCGTCATCGGCTCCATCGATCTCATGTCGGTCCACGGGCGAACTGCGCTCTAACCCAATCGTCCCTCCGTCTCAGACCTCTTCCTACCCACTCGGCGTGCTGCGTTGCTTCATATTCGGCCCAGCGAGTCTGGTCCTGTCCAATCAATGCCTGTCTGATTCAATTCGGCCACGGGAAGGAGAGTGTCCCGTGTATTGGGTACATGTCAAGACAGCGTGTCAGCCACAATGACGCAGGTACCCTATACAAGCCTGTCTCATTGCGAGAAATGGTCCACCCTATATCTTGCCAAATGATGACGATAATTCCTAGGGATGATGATACCCGGTGAGTGGATCCCTCGTAACCTCAATGGCAAAATACCAATTTCGTTTGTCTTGAGTCCGGTATCAGATATGGCTTGTATATATACTCTGCTGAACTCCCTCCTGTGCCATCTTGATTCCTTATCAGTCAATTTTCATTCTTCTCCTTTTTTTTTACAATTTCAATTCTTCCCTGAGTCCTAAATCCAGTGACTCCCAAGTAGAAGCTCATCCATCCTTCTACTTTCTCCCCTATATTCAACACCTTCATCATGGCTCGCTTTGAGGACTCTGATCTTGCAGTCGATCCTGCTTCCCAGGATCCCCGCGCCCAGGATCCCCAGGGTGCTCTCTCCCCCCGGGACCGTGCTGCCTCCGGCCTCGCCATCCCCTCGGGCGGCAACACCGTCGAGATCCCCGCCACCCGCAGCGCCATCAGTGATGCCGCTCAATTTATGCACAACTTGAGCTTGTCTCCCTCCATGAAGGACCGTCGGGGCTCGCGTAACTCTTTCGGCACTTCGCTCCCCATCCCCCGCTCCCCCCGCCTGTCTCGCCTCTCATCTGTGCAGCGCGGTGCTCCTTCAGTCTCCCGGGATATCTTGGCCTCCCAGGTCCAGGATATTAACAAGGAGAAGACTGCTAAGGCCAAGAACATGGCCTTTGCTTTCGACATTGATGGTGTGCTGGCACACGGTAACCATGCCATTGAGGAAGCTAAGATCGCCCTCAAGATGCTCAATGGCGATAACGAGCTCGGCATCCGCATCCCCCACATTCTCCTCACCAACGGTGGTGGTAAGACCGAGGAGGCTCGCTGTGCTCAGCTCTCCGAGATCCTTGAGCAGCCCATCTCCACCGACCAGTTCATTCAATCCCACACTCCCATGCAGGCCTTGGCTGAGTACTACGAGACCGTTCTGGTTGTCGGTGGTGAAGGCTTCAAGATCCGCGAGGTTGCAGAGAACTACGGTTTCAAGACCGTCGTCCACCCCAAGGATCTCCTCGCCTGGGACCCCTCCATCTCTCCCTGGGCCACTCTCACCGACGCTGAGCGCGCCGAGGCCAAGCCCCGCGACTTCTCCCAGATGAAGTTCGACGCCATCATGGTCTTCGCCGATTCCCGTGACTACCAGACCGATTTCCAGGTCATTATGGATCTCCTGCTCGCCGAGGACGGCAAGCTCATGACCAAGGCCAAGGACCCCGTCGCCACCCGCATCCCCATCTACTTCTCCCAGGGTGATCTTCTCATGCCCACCGAGCACAAGGGTCTCCCCCGTCTCACCCAGGGTGCCTTCCGTATCTCCATTGAGGCTCAGTACAAGACTCTCACCGGTGTCGACCTTGAGCGTGTTGTCTACGGTAAGCCCGAGCGTGCTACCTACACCTACGCCGATGAGGTCATGAAGGCCTGGATGGAGGAGCTCCACGGTGTCTCCCGTCTGCCCGATAACATCTACATGGTCGGTGACAACCCCGCCTCCGATATCATCGGTGGAAACATGTACGGCTGGAACACTTGCTTGGTCCGCACTGGTGTCTTCCAGGGCAAGGAGGGCGAGAACGACCCCAACAGCCCTGCCAACTTCGGTGTCTTCAACAACGTCCTCGAGGCTGTCAAGGCCGCCGTTGCCAAGGAGCTCGGTGCCGACTTCAAGCTCAAGTGGAACCCCAAGGTCAACCCCGTCACTCACGGCGACGGTGCCTCCGCTATTGAGTAAATGATCAATTTCTGATCTTTTCACGCTGAAACGAAACTCAAAAAACATGTGATATTGGGCTTGAGAAGGATCTCCGTGGCGTTTTCCTGTTTTTCCTCCCTGTCATGTCATTTCATAGACTTGTTTTCTTTCCACCATCTCTCTGATGCATGTGTCCCCTTAAATTTCGGGCTTTAGGACTTCTGATATCCTTTGTCATGTCGATTTGGATTATCGACCTGAGAAAAGACTGAGATTTACTTTCTATTTTTTTTTTCAATGTGGATGGTCGGTGGATTCGACCTGCTTTTCTTTCCCCCTTTTTAGACTGGATTATCATGTGCTATGACCCGAAGAAGCTTTTGTTTTGTCTTTTCCTTTTTTACCCATTTCCGCATGCAGCTATATCCCCCCCCAATACCATATGCAATTTTCATCATTGATGTCGTCAACCAGTCTCTACCTATTATTTCGGTGTAATTTGTGTAATTTTCTCTTTACTGAAATCCTCGTATTCTTAAGGTTCTATCGTTCCAGAAAAAGCAATCATTGACGACATGGTGATGTATCATCCTTTATTCCTGAAGCTCTTGTGGATGCTTTTTCTACTTCTCCACGTCTATACCCTACAGATCTATCCATGGATGCATATAATGCATATAATAGCTTTGATATTTGACTTTTACACAGAATAGAAACAAGCTACTGTCAAAAACAGCGTATTTACACCATAGCATATACCAAAATATCAAATCCATATTCTTTCAATTTTTTGTGTACATTTTCACACCTAAACCACAAATGTCTCGGGAAAGCGAGGAACTAGAAGAAAAAGAAAGAAACAGATGCCGTTTTCGTCAAATCCGAAGATATACATAGCCAAGAACCTACACTAGCTATATAGTATCTACCCGTTAGAAGTCACTACCTGGCATTTTCCAAGACACGCCCGCTATAAGTCGGGTATATACATAATGTCTAGATCAATTTACGTTCTACTCCGGCTTCTATATCCTGGCGTTCTAGCGGGTATGTATGTTTTGCCCCGGCGATGAGGACGCGAGAGTTGTCTCGGGGTGCGTTTGCGCTGGTTGAGTTGTTCTCTGGCTACATCGTCCGCCCATACATTATAGGATATGCCGAATAATTGAAAGTGAGCATGGCGAGAGAGATAAGACAAGTCTTTTCCTAGACTAGAACATTCTGATGATATCTGCTTCGCTATACGCTATACTTTCTCTATAGCTATTGATGAGTCGCACCATGAAGGTAGCTTGAGTCTCGCACTATTGATAGACCTATATTTAAGTATGGGCTGATAAAAAAATCGGGCTATCATGTTTCCCTGAATCTCACATTCATTTTCTAGAATGGCGTAGAATTACTACATTTCATTTAAGGAAGGAGCACTGGTGTAACCCCTCTTTGCGAGTTTGCTATCTATCACCCGGCATAATACCCTGTCCATATTTGAAGTACCTTTTTTATGTGTATTCCATAGAAAAGGTACCTACATTCATATGTTCACATTACACCAGAGCAGCCCAAACCAGCAGGGGTAGTAAACACTACATTAGGCTTCCTTGCTTTTCAGGATATTACTAGCTATAAAGTTAGCCTCAGTTTGCCAGTAGGGACAGAAATCTTTCTTCTCTTCCTCTATTGTGCCTAGATCCTCACACTAAACAGCCTGCTCAGAGAAGTACATCCCCCCTTTGTTTAGTTCTAATACTTGATGACCCATAACGATAATCTCACCAACAGCTTGACCGATAACTATGGGTTCATACAAAGGTTTTGACATAGTGCCACGTCTAACCAAAAGGCTGGTAGACAAACAAAATTGGGGAAGGCTCTTGAAAACTATCAGAGAGCGTTACCAAAACGATGATCAAGTCGAAGAAAAGCCTAACTACATGGCATTCAAGTCTGACCCAGACCTATTACTTCCACTTGAATGCCACAAGTTCCTTCGTTTTGGCGCAACGATCCCTAATGATGACACCAGCGGATTGAGGAACTATATCGATACTGTTATCCGGGTAGCCAGTTGCTATTTCGGGTCGAGAGTTCGTGATTGGGATGAGGGCGAAGGGGTATCTGGATACTATGCTTTGGATGACGTGAAACGATCGATCAGGTCCTACGAGCAGGTAAGTAGGCCCCGTTGAAAAGGTTATGATTCACAACCGCCCTCTGACTTATGAATAAATAGTTGGACGAACCGGAAGTGCCAACCACCATAGCACAATTTGTGCTCGGTACCGATCCAATCCGTGAGCTGAACTTGCCACTGTATGAAATGAAGCCAGTGCTGGGGAAGGGACAAGGCCTTGTGGCACGTTTCAACATTGCGAAAGGCCAATTGATTATTTCCGAGAAGCCATTTTTCACAACCTCGGATGCTACAAGCGCAGCCATGATGGAAAAACAAATTTCAATCGAACTGC